GGCGAAGTGACAAAAGCGGAAACGACGGCTCTATCTATCTGTTGTGTCTGTTCCCCCAACCAAAATCGCCTCATATTTATGCATTTATTACGAGTGTGTAAGTAACTGTTGTCGGGGATCAGAGACAGGAAGTTGGGGAGAGTTGGAAAAACTGGTTTTCCATCAATAAGCATTCTAGAGAGAGACCTGGAGGGAAACTGTGCAAGAGCGGAAACTAGTCTTGTCTGCCCACGCAAAAAAACAAAAGAGAAAAGTCGATCAGAGGAAGGAAAATCTATTAAAAATTAATAACTTGGGCTAGCCAGCAGCTTTAAATATTTTTAAAATATTGTTCATGTATTTTATGACACATTAAAAATAATTTTAAAATATTTAAAATAATTTTAAAATATTTAAAATAATTTCAAAATATTTAAAAATATTTAAAATAATTTCAAAATATTTAAAGCTTATTTATAATTAAAATAAACATTTTGATTCATCATAAATTGTATTCCTTTTTTTTTTTCTTAAAATCATTTAAAAATTAATAACTTGGTAAATAAAGCAGCTTTAAAGATTTTTAAGATATTTAAAATATTTTAAAGAAATGTAAGGACATATTTCAAAATATGAAAAATAATTTTTAAAAATATTTAAAGCTGCATTTTATAAAAAATAAACCTAATTGTTTTTATTTTTCCTAAAAATATTCTTATCTATTTATTTTTGGTATTTACTTAATTTCATAAATTTGTGTGTTCAGCTGGTTATGATTTCCCAGAAAATGTTGTAATAATAATAAATACTCCTTTTGCCATGCGGGAATATTTTTTTTTTTTACAGATATGAAAATGGTATTTACCAAACGAGCTTACTGAGTCATGTTAACTGAATCATAAAGCTCTCTAAAAATATTTAAAATTATTATAATTAAAAATTATTAATATTAAAAATTATTAATATTAAAAATTATTATTATTAAAAATTATTATTATTAAAAATTATTATTATTAAAAAATATTATTATTAAAAATTATTATTATCAAAAATTATTATTATTAAAAATTATTATTATTAAAAATTATTATTATTACAAATTATTATTATTACAAATTATTATTATTAAACATTATTCAAAATATTTAAAATATCTTTAAAATATGGCTTATAAACTTAAAATTTCTGTTTAAAATTAATTATTAAATATTTTAAGAAAGAGTTTCTTGAACATTTTTATTGATAAGCCTTTCCTTGAGTTCCCCAGAATTTTCTTAATATTTTTTTTCCAACTTCCTCTTAAAGTTAAAGCCTTGCTTAAAGTTTATATTGAATCTCTCATTGATTTGCTCTGGTTCTTCCTGGTGTTAATTGTAGCCTCTGTTTGCATTCCGTTTTTATTTGCACATGCAACACATACATATATAGTATATATATATATATATATATTTGTCTATATCATGGGGAATCTCTTGTGATATACATAGTTTCCAATTAGCCCCTTCTCCTGTTACCACCTCTTTCGTGGCAATTTTCACACTTTCCATGGAGACACACCGCACACACACACACACACACACTATCGGGGCCGGGGGGTAAAGGGAAATTCTCAATTAAATGGAGGATGCCAAAAAGGGAAGGGGGGCGGGGGCGGTGGATGTGGGTTTACTTGAACAGCTTCAAGGTTATTTGTTGTTGTTGTTGGCAATTTGCTTTGATTTAATTCAATTTGAACGGCATCGGAGGCAGCGCGCGTAATTTTTGCCATTTTTAGCGCCGCATTTCCCCCAAAAGGGGGTTGAAAGTTGACTAAAGAGGGGGGTTTCAACTATGGCGGGTTGCTGTGTGTGTGTGTGTGTGTGTGTGTGTGTGTGTGTGTGTGTGTGCTTGCTAGAAACATTTTCGCTTCATTTTGCAGATTGCATGGCCCAGAAGGACGACGGAAAAACTAAAGGCGCGCTCTTTAGGTTTTTTTTCCCCCACAGAGAGAGAAAACTAGAGTGATTGTTTGATTTTAATAATTATTGCTAATTAAATTACTTGAAAAATTATGGATAATATTATTTTAAATTGTTTCTATACACATAAATATTTTAAATGCAAGTTTTTCTTTAATAACTTTCATAATTTTATTTTGTTTTTGTTCTAAAGATTAAAAAAGAAAGTAAATTTTAAAAAGTATTGTTTCTGAGAGCAGAAATTGTTTTAATTTCTCTTTAAAATCCGTTTAAAAAAGACAATAACTCGGCTCTATATGAGCTATCTCACTCTCGCTCTTCCTCTCTCTCTCTTGCCGTGTCTTTCTTTTATCTTAAAAACTCTCTCGTTCGCTACGAAACGCCGAAAAAGCTCTTTACGAATATCAAGCGCTCCCCAGAGAGCCAAAACTGTTCTTATTTTTAAAGTAAAAGTCCTTGCAATACTTCAACAAGTCTTGTACCATTCTAATTACTATTTTATATAAATTAAGAGGATTATTTCCTAGCCTCACAAACACTTGAAACCAAACTACTTTTCTTTTTAAAAGTGTAACACAAAAAAAATAGAAAAAGGTGGCTCTATAAGGTGGGGGGCGCTGTTGTTGGGGCCATTTCTCAAGTGTCATTCAACTGCGAGGACACGCAAAGTGCCGAGGCACAAACAACAACAACAACAACAACAACAACAGCTACTGTAACTAGTTTTAATGATTATTTACATGGAACAAGTGCAATAAATAATAAATACGAGTCGAGTAGGAAGGCAAAGGCACCTCCGGATGAGGAGGTCTATTCACCAGAGGATGTGCCATGGAAGGCACAACTTGCTCTGAACATATACATACGTATCCATGTGATGGTGTGTCCGGTGTCGATTCCAATTCCGATTCCGATTGAACGCTGATTGACAGCAGGGAATTGGTGCAAATTGCCTCGAACTAGTTCAATTATGGGTGTTATCTGTGATGGTTACATTGATTATTGAGTTACACCTTTCGAGTAGAGTAGAGAAAACGAGTCATGAAGGGTTTGTAAATGTTCTAGAGGTAAATAAATAAATTCTTTAAAAAAATCAAGAACTCAAGGACTCATTTCAAGCAGTTTCTTCTTTCAAAAACTTGATGGAAATATTGAATATCTGCTTTGAATGGGTTTTGTGCACTTCGCTCTCTCTTTCTCTCTTTAATTTTGATCGCTTGTGCTCTCTCTCTCTCTCTTCTCTTTGATTTTAATTCGGTTTAGCTCTTCTCTCTCTTTAATCTTTATCGCTTTTGCTCCACTTGAAAACCACACTGAAGTATCCACATTTTTAGCCCCCCCTGAAATCCCAAAAACCGAATCAAAATCAGAAACCGAAACTGGGAACTCGACTCGACTTGTCTCAACTCGAATCGACTTGTCTCAACTCGACTGGAATGGACGTCTCAAGTGGCTCGTCGTCGTAGCTGCTGCTTCTGACTCATTTGCCATTCATTAGAATTAAGTGTGTGTGTGTGTGTTTGTGTGTGTGGTGTTCCAATGGCCATCGTACTATCCCTGGCATCCAATGGTATCCAATATCCTGGCCTGGTAATTCGACACTCCACACTTGCTGGCTGCTTTTTTTTTTAATGACAGGCAATGAAATTACCGTCAAGCCAAGTTATTTTTTTTGGTGTCCTGTGCTACTCCTACTCTACTCCTCTGGCCAATTCAATTCAATTTTGTACGCTGGACAAAAAAGAAATTAACTTTGCAAAGGACACTCAACTGGGAAGCCAACTAACAACAAATTGCAATGCCAGTGGCAGTGGCAGTGCCACACCAACAAAGGCGCATCGAGTTGCAACTTATTCAATTAAAAGTTTTGTCGAATGTCCCAGGACAAGGAGAGAGCTTTGATGCCATGAAGGAGTACATATATCCCAGTGTAACTGATTTTATAGAAATATTTTTAGTTTTTGATTAACATTTTTCACATAATAATAAAGGGGAAACAGGGTAATTGTACAAGGATTTCCTGCAATTTGGTTATTGGTTTCCTTATTTTTTGATTGTTTGTTAACTATATTGCAAGTAATTTAATTAAAAATAGCTTCGGTCTCTCTCTTTCTCAATGTCAATTTCAATTAAATTTATTGGTTTATTGAAAATTTAAATAAAACAATTACTGAGTGCAATGATTGTAGTATTTACTAGCTGAATTTTGATTGATATTTACTAGGAAGGTGTTTGTATATTTTATTTTAAGGAATTGTTTATATTTCTTGGATTAATTAAATAATAATAATAGTTTTAATATAAAAATAATATTTCTGAGGGTTTCTTAAATAAGTTCTAGGGATTTTCTTTGACAATCAAATATTTAAAAATTAAAATATTTAAGAATTATAATAAAATTGTTTTAAAATTAACTAAAAATATTAAAAAATTAAAATATAAATATAAAAATATTAAAAGATTAAAATATAAAAATATTAAAAAATTAAAATATAAATATAAAAATTTAAATATAAAAATAAAAATATCTAAAATTAAAATATAAAAATAAAAATGTTTTAAAATTAACTAAAAATATTTAAATAATTAAAATAAAATAGAAATATATAAAAATATTTAAAAATTGAAATAAAAATATTTTAAAATAACTTAAAATATTAAAAGATTTAAAATGAAAATATTAAAAAATTAAAATATAAAAATAAAAATAAAAATATTTAAAATAATATATATTCAAAAATTTAAATAAAAATATTTTAAAATTAGCTAAAAATATTTTATAATTTAAAATATAAATATATTTAAAAATTAAAATATAAAAATAAAAATATTTAAAAACTAAAAAAAAAAATTTTTTTTTTAATTAAAATATATAAATAAAAATATTGAAAAATTAAAATATATAAATAAAAATATTGAAAAATTAAAATATATAAATAAAAATATTGAAAAAATTAAATTAAAATATTTAAAAATTAAAATAAAAATAAATAAAATGTATCCTTTAATTTTTGGTAATATTTAAACTCTTTTAAAAATCCTTCAATCTTGCTTCTCTTACAGAGCCTTGGCATCCTGGCCTCCATTCCCGCCGGCCTGCTCATCGTCTCCCTGCTGGGCCTGCTCCTCTATTTGCTGACCCGCTGCTGTGATCGCCGCCAGAGGAAGCCCAGTGCCCAGCGTTGCCAGAGCTGTTCGCTGGTCATCATCACCCTGATGACCTGTGCGGCCATTGGATTAGGTGAGTGTGGTGGTGTCCCTCCTTCCTCCTGTTACCCAGAATTCTCCAACTAGCAAAAGGTGGCGGCATAGGATTAGGGCGTTGAACTGCAATGGATCGAAGAAGTGGAAGTGCAGTGGCTGTGCCAAAGCACGTACAAGTCCCTTTTTTTTCGTGGATAAAGTTGTGCATCGCGTGTTGGCGGTTTGCTGGTCGACGGCAATTGGCAATTAGCCAGACTGCCACTGCGACTTATCGGCTGGTCACGTATGTAAACTCACCACCAGCCAAGAAGTGGAGCCAAAAGTTTGGAGGTTTGGTGTGCGTCATCTCGACATGGAATTGAAAGTGGAAGCGACGGCAACGATGAAATAATAATTTAATTAGCCGCGTACAGAGAGGGCTTAATTGAATCAGAAAATAACGAAAAATAACGAAATGTGTGTCGCATTACATCACTGACCTGCCGCAAATGATCTCCAACCCCCGCCCCTTATGATCTCTCATACACAACTCTTTTGATCTCCGCCCGATGTTCATCTTACTAAATGCCCTGATCTTGCTCTATATATTTGCAGGGTTGTATGGCAACGATGACTTTCACAATGGCCTGTTGCAGGCCTTTGGATCTGGAAAGAATGTTGAGGTTCTGGTGCTTACCCTGAAACGACAGGTGAGTTATTAGATTGGGAGATTATTAAGGGAAATGGGAAATCAATTTTAAAAATTAGTTATATACAACGAAACTATTTATTATATTTATTTTAAGGCTAATATTATAGTAATATTAAATATAATAAATAATTATTGAGGGATTTAAGAGAATATTATAAAAATAAAGCTTGCAGGGGGGTTTTTTTTTTTTAATTTTTATTAAATTTTTGATAATTTTTTAAATAAAAAAAGAAGGTTACTATTTTTGTGGGACAAATTTAAATAAAAAAATCATAACTCTTTTAAAAAAGCATTAATTTTTATTCGAAAAGCAGTGGATTTAGTTTTTCTTAGGTTAACAAATCTGCATACTAAATTTTAAATTTTTTAAAAATCTCAATTTTTACTTAATGTTTTTTTGATAATTTTTAATTTAATTTACCCTTGTAAAATTTGAAAAAAAAAATTAAAAATTATTTTAGAAATTATTTTATTATAGAACGATTCGCCTGTTGATGCTGATCAAGAATATATATGATTTATAACGTCGGAAATGTCTGCTTCACGAAATAAAATCGTAAATTCCCTCAAGAAGAGTGAAAATATTTGAATTTTAAAATTAAAATTGATCCTTATTTCTTTATAAAAATGTATACTTTTTTAAATATTATTTTTCCAACTCAAATAAGGCCTTAAACTCTAGCTTAAACTGAAATATAAACCCCTTCTTAAAGTTATTTAGCTTTTATATTTCCATTCTTCCTTCTTGTTAGTTAGTTTTGCCTAATCAAAGGCTCAAGTTTTGTTCATTTTATTTAACAGTTTCAATGCCATATAGTTGGTTTGATATTTGGCTTTAAAATATATACATATATAATAATTGATTTGCCAAAATTGCTAATTTGATTTGCAAATTTTTGATCAGTCTCCATCCGTTTTAGGAAATCTATTTGTGTGTGTCTCTAAATAAATTATGAAATATACTGATGTTATGAACATATACATACATACCTATAGCCATTTCTGTGGGAAGTCTGAAGTGGAATCTTTAACTGAGCTTAGTTACCGCTTAGTTACTCGCTGGTTTTGCCTCTAGTTCTTGGCTTTCATAAACTTGTGCAATATTCCCCATTCAAACCATTTGGCCGCTCCATGTCCCAGGTCCACCGTTTCGCTCGTTTCGCTCCTTCTGTTCATTATAATCAACCTAAAAGCTGGCTGCTGCTGCTGTGTTGACAGTTACGTGGCGGCAGTTCACGTGGGAGGATGGGGTACAAGGATGAAGGAGACTCCTGGCCAAAGCTTTTGCTATTCATAAACTTTGTCAGCACACACAGAGGAGACACAGAGGAGACACGGAGACACAGGGACACAGGAAGAGAGAGAGAAAGAAAGGCAAAGACAGGAGCAAAGAGCCGATAAGGCAAAAGGTTAAGGGAGGCAGCATCAAAGGTAGACGACGACGACGACGACGGCCAGGACGAGGGCCAAACAGATGGCTGGCATTGCTCTCGACTCTTGAGTAAAACGCTATTAATTATCCCCCGCTCACAAAGGAGGGGCTTCTTCTTCCTTCGAACGAAACGAAACGAAACGAAGGGGGCGTGGCAGACGTTGTGCGTGGCATCCCTTGAACCCGTGAAGCAACCCCCCCCACCCAACCAAAAAAAAAAACCAAGAAACGAAGCCTGACCCAACCCCAGACCAAGTGCGGAAGCAAAAGTATTACGATAGAAACTATTTTTCCTTTTCCTTTTACCTTTTGCCTTTGTTCCAGACTGTAACGTGGTGGGTGGCTACCACCCACACTCCAAGCCCATTTTTGGTCATTAACTTTTGAACTGCTTTCACCTTTTTGGGGGGGTCTGCACTCTACTACAGTTGCACAGGGAAAAATTAATGTTTTTGGTGTAAACAAATAAAAGTTAAATGTTGTAATTTTAGATACTTGCTTTAACCCCATCCACCAAGTTACTAGACTAACCTTTTAACTAGGTGATTCTACAATGTTTTAACAATGTTTATGATTAGCTTTTATTTTTAGTAACAAAAACTAGCCTTTGATAATTGAATATTTGTCTGCTTACTTATTAATTATTCAACAATTACACCAATACACCAATATACTTCATATACTTCATATTGGTGTATTGGTGAATTACTGGAATTTTCAAAACATAAGTCTAAATAACAAAAAATAATTTAGTTTAGCTTACTTGCAGATTTTGTACCTATTTGGTGTAGTGGTGAATTGTTGAATTGTTGAAAAAAATATTTTTTTCCACTAAATAATAACTTTTTTGCATTTTATTTATTGGTGAATTCGAATATTGTTGAAAAAAGTAATGGAATATTGTTTTAAAAAATTATAGAATATTGTTGAAAAAAAAAGGATTTTTTAAACCAAATAATAAATAATAATAATTTTTCTGCCTGTTTATATATATATTTTCCAGACGGAGAGCATTAAGCATGATTTGGAGACACGGATGAACGGTCACCATGTGGACCAGCAGGTGGAGAAGCCACAATATAACCAGACGGTGGTTATGCTACTCATTGAGACATCGCGCCTGGTCACGGAGAACACCTCACGGGCGGTGGCCTCCCTGGATAGCATGGTTCACTATTTTATGAAGGCCAAGGGCACTGAGAATGACACCTCGCTGATGGGATTGCTTCAGGTGAGAGAGAGAGAGAGATTCTAGAGATTCTCTAAGTACCGATACTATAATATCTTCGTTTTAAGCTTGGTGAATTCTATGAATCCATTCGTTGGCCCGCCACCTTGGCCTTTCTTACCATGCTCTTGCTGCTGTGCACTGTCCTGGTGATTGGCGTGGCCAGAAGATCGCGCTGCACTTTGATCTTCTTTAGCGTTTCGGGTCTGTTTTGCATCATCATTTGCTGGCTGCTGACTGGCATTTATTTGGCATCCAGCGTGGCTGCCGGTGATTTTTGTATGCGACCGCATGACTACATGTGCCGTCAAGTGGGCATGGTGAGTGGTTAATGCTTCTCCGAGTCCTTCTCCTGCTCCTCCGCTCCTCCTCCTGCTCCTCCTCCGCTCCTCCCCCTCCTGCTCCTCCGCTCCTCCCCATCCTGCTCCTTCTCCTGCTCCTCCTGCTCCCCCTCCTCCTCCTGCTCCACCTCCTCCTCCTCTTCCTCCTCGTCCTGCATCTCTTCCTCCTCCTGCTCCTCCTCCTCCTCCTCCTCCTCCTCAAGTTTTTACTATAATAAAATTTGTATAATTCACAGCGAAGTCCCTATGTGGATTTCCTCAACTGCGGCACGCCGCGCAATCGTTTTATTTTACGCCTAAACGAGTCCCGGGATCTGGTGGATCGGGCTAGGGAAAGTGTAGAGCAAATGACCCGGTAAGTGTGATGAAAAATACCAAGATTATGCATTAAATTCTAGAGAAAACTAACCCATTTATCATTTGATTTCTATATGTACTTCTTTGCTTTGCAGTTTGAGCCAGGAAACTTATCCGCACATCGACATTCAGCGGACTTTGAACGCCATGGATAATGATTTGCAGCAGACGCTACGCAATCTGACGACATTATCGGCCACACTGGATGGCCGGGCCATTGATAGGCATTACGAGGAGGCATTGCGTGGCCTTTGTGGTGGCGGTCTGCTGGGTCTCAGCCTGATGATGGTGGCGGGTTTGCTGACATCCTTCCTGCTCACAATTCTGGTGTATGCCGATTCACATGCCTGGATTTACCTGAGCAAGAGGTAAGGATATTCATTTTCATGTTTAACTTGATTAAAACCTTGTTTTCTTTCTTGGGTTTCATTCTAGACCCCCACTGGATGCAGATAAATCCGAGACGGCACCGCTTTTCCCCGCCTCGAATGCACCAAGTGCCAGCATTTCGCCCACGGCACCCATGAGCACGGGTACAATCAATCGTACGCTTTTGCATCATCAACAGGCAGCGGGCGGTGTTGGAGGCAGCGGAGGCGGAGGAGGATCAGGCACATTGCCGGGTTCTGGAAGTGGAGGAGTCGGCGGCGGAGGCGCCAATGGACATCATAATGGCATTGGAGCTTATCGCAATGGAACCGCCGGGCTGAGACAAGGGTTGGTGGCATCACCTTCATCTCAATCAAGCCACAACACCACCACCACCTCATCCACAGCTACTTACAACCACCTCAATCAACAACTGCACGGCATCGGTTACAACAGTCACCTGCCACCACCACCACAACAACAACACCTGTACAGCAACAACCACCACTACAACAATCACAGCAACAACCACTACAACAGCAACAACACACAGCAATATAGAACTAACTACGCGGCAGGTGCGGCGGTGGGTGGTGGCCAGCGATCGCCATCGCCGCCGCCCGGCTACGATTTGGTGCATGGCACAAGGCATGAACTTTGATTTCAATTTGATTTGTATATTTCCCCCGTTTACCTTTACCTTTACCTTTACCCTGCCCTTACCTCCCTATAATCCTGCTACACCTGCGAGTCCGCTGCTGTTGAGTTTTGGGTATACTTTCTATGATTTTATAGTCTTTTTTTGGGGTTTTACGTCTTGACAATGTTTATGATCAGCTTTTAGTTCTAGTGACAAAAACAAGACTTAGATTAGCTTTTAGTTTTCTGTTTACCCATTGGAGTATATTGGTGTATTGGAGAATTATTGAACTAATAAGTTGTTAGGCTTAAAAATAAATGACTCGAATTGGCAAACAATGAAAAAAGGGAACTTAAATTGTGGATTTTTGACTTCTTACATGTATTGGTGAATTGGTGAATTGAGAATTGTTAACAAAATATATATTTTTTTACATTAAATAAAATATTTGCATTAACACAAAAATAGTTATAGACTCTTATTATTTACTTTAAATAATATAGAAAGAAAGAAAGGTGTTTTTTTTATATATATTAATATATATTTCGAGTTTGTTTTTAAACTTAAGAAATTCATATTCTTCTGAAATTCTCTTTCTCCTAACTGTATTAAAACACAAAACTTAAGTAGCGGGCTCCTTGTCTCTATATTTTTTTATGATTGAGGCTTCTTTGTTCAACGTTGTTGTTCTGGTTTTAGTTAAACTTTTCTTTTGATTACGCATATATATTTATATATATATATTTGTCGTTTGTCGTTGCTCCTTCCACCTGCATGAGAAGACACACACATGACAGCACACACTTACAATTACACACAACGACAGCCTCGACCCTGACCCAGACCCAGACCCCCACCAAAAACTTGAACTAAAACTTAAAACATACTTTATGCACCTTACTAATACCCCCACCCTCCATGCAGATGATAAAGACGAAGAGATAATAACTTAATTATTAAGTTAACTAATATTTAAACTAAAATTTACTAGAAAATGATAGATAGAAATTGAGTTTAGGGATATCAAGTGGTGTTTTCTTAAAGTTTAGGTTAGGAAATATAGAAAAAATTGATTAAATGATGATATATTTTAAATTCTTTTTGAAATAATAAAATATTATTAATAAAAATATAATATAAATAATATATATAAATATAATATTATTAATATAATATTATTAATAAAAAAATAAGACTATTAATATAATATTATTGATTAAAATATATTATTATTAAAATAATAATATATAAATTCAATTCAATCACATTTTTCTTATATTTTTCTATAATGTTCGTAAAAAATTTAATTATTATTTTTGATTTTATTTATTTTTTGTTAAAAAAAAATATTTTAAATTTTAAATGTATTATTAATTTTTTTTTATCAAAAAATAATTTTTTTTATTATTTAATTTTTTGTTTTACTAAAAATAATTTATATTTTAAGTTATGATTTTTTTAATCATAAATTCATTTTATTTTAAATACATTTTTTTAAAGTATTTTTTATTTTTTTAAATAAATAAAATACAACAAATTAAATAAATTAATAAAATAATAAAAAAATTAAATAAATAAATAAAATAATTAAAAAAAATTAAATAAATTAAGAAAATAATATAATAATAACAAAAATTAAATAAATTAATAAAATAATACTAAATAAAATAACAAAAACCATTTAATAAATAAATAAATTAATAAAAAAAAATTTTAAAAAATAAAAAAAAAATGTAATAAATAAATAATAATAAATAAATATATAATTAATTAAATGAAATAAATAAATATTAAAATTTCCATTCTACTTGGGCTTAGTTTAGCTCCATAAACTTAAAAAAAAAAACCCCCACAGATCCAGGCAGTTTCCCAAGCCAAAAGTATGTAGTTTAGCTCGCCCTTTAGAGACAGGCGCTAACCCCACACTTCACCCTACTTTATTTATCCCTAAACTAAACTACTTTTTGCTGTTTTCTTGCAGATCCGGTCACCATACCCTGGGCAGACTGCCCTCCCATCACCAGCAATCGGCTTCCTATTTGCCGGGACCCAACAATGGAAAATATGCGACGCTCAGCAAGCAGTGTAAGACGCTTGAGTCGAACGACTTTTACTGAGATTCGCTTGCCTGCAGCTCCCATGCAGGCAGTAGCAGCAACACAGCACAGCAGCAGCAGCAGCAGCAGTTGCACCTCCAGCAGCAGCAGCAGCAGCAGCATAACAGCAGTCTTATCAATCAGAATCAAAGCACTTTAAAGAACATCTTTGCATCGGCCACACTGCCCCGCTCAACGGGTAGCTCCATACGGTCGGTGCTCTCGGCCCAGACTTCCAATGCCGGCATTTGTCGCTCCACAGGCAATGGCCTCGATGGTGGTGATTTTGTGGATGATCGTGATCCCCGGGATGTGACCAACAACAGTTTCAATCGCTTTGATCCCAAATACATAAGCATTGGCCCCAAGGCGGTGCGTGGCCAGAATAATAATTTGAATATCATCTCCGCTGCTAGTAGTGGTGGTGGTTCCACGGTCAACAAATGTGCCACACTGCGTCATGTGGGTCGTTATGGTGGCTCTTTGAAGGGTGTGGCTGCTGTGAGTGCTGGACAAATGCCAGCGGCAATACATTCACCGAATTTGAGGAGTGCCAAGACGCCTTCAATAGCCACTGTTTCAAAGGATTACTGCCAGCAGCCGGACTGCATACCCCAGGAGTTCCTTATACAACAGCAGCAGCAACAGTTGCAACAGCAGCAGCAGCAGCAACAACAACAGTTGCAGCTTCAACAACAGCAACTGCAACAGCAACTCCAGCAGCAACAGCAGCTGCAACTCCAGCAACAGCAACAACAGCAAATGGTGCCACCTGCTCCACCCCAGCCAGCGCCACCGCCGCCACCAAAACCAAAGATAGTGAATACATTTACAGAGATACCCGGCACCACGGGCGTGGGCAGTTCATATGCCAAGGAGCAGCAGCAGCAGCAGCAATTATTGGCACTGCAGCAGCAGCAACAGCAGCAGTTAGTGGCCCTGCAGCAGCAGAGGGAAAGGGAGAGAGAGAGGGAAAGGGAGAGGGAAAGGGAAAGGGAGAGGGAAAGGGAAAGGGAAAGAGAAAGGGAGAGAGAAAGGGAAAGAGAAAGAGAGCGAGAGCATCCACCCACCACCCACATATTGCCACCCTCGGCTGTCTATAGCATTGAAAGCAGCGATCCTGTCCTGCCCACAGCAGCTCCACGCGTGCAACAACGTTCCCTGAATCCCGCCTCTATAGTAAATCAACCTTTGCCCGAAATACCCACGAATCAGAACTCCAAGATCTCGGCACAGCCGCTGTGTGCCGCCAGTCTGGGTCAATATCGTTCACTGCAGCGACCCCAAACGCAAAAGTTGCAGACTATAGCAGTGTCGCAGCAGCAACAGCAGCAGCAGCAGCAGCCACCCACTTTGCCGCCCAAAAACAGGCACAAAAATAGTAATCGTGGGGGAGATAGCAGCAATGCCAATCATATGCAGACTTTGCCGCCAAAGTCGATTAATTTGAGGCAGCAGCAGCAGCAGCAGCAGCAACAAGAAAGGGAAAGAGAGAGACCAAGAAGAGCAGAGACCCTGGACAATGCCCGCAGCTATATCGAGCAGCAGCAGCAGCAGTATCCCAGCCAGCTGATAACCAGCAGCATGAAGAAGCAGCACTCCTATGACAGCAGCTATCATCAGCAACAGCAGCAGCAGCAGCAACAGCAAGCGGCAGCACAACAGCAGGCCTTTTATCAAAGGCAGCACAACAACAATTTCTCCGCCAAGCAGCAGCAACAGTTGCTAATAGAACAGCAGCAGCAGCAGCAGCAGCAACAGCAGCAACAGCAGGCTCTTTTCTATAGATCCCTAAAGCGTAGCAGCGAACGTGGTGCTGTTACAGCTGTTACAAGCAACCATAGCGATCTTTATTCTGTGACGGAATTGTAGGAATGCGCCTGCTGCGGCGGCGGTGTGGATGTGGTGCGTCGCGGCGCCTCATCCACAACGCTGCATGCAGCGGCGGCGGCCACACAGACAACACAAACACAACAAAATCAGACACAGACTTCGGGACAGGCGCCCATACCCCTGCCGCCCAAGAAGCATCGTCAAAGGGAGAGGGAAAGAGAGCAAAGAGAGAGGGAGCAGCAGCAGCAGCAACAGCAGCAGCAGCAGCAGGCCACCTGCAATGCCAATCTGTGCGAAGAGCATGAATATGATGAGTACTATCCCCAGGCCTTTGAGCTGCAAGGAGGCACAGGATCTGCAGCAGCAGCAGCAGCTACTGCCAGCTCCAAGCATGGCAAGGCACAGAGTCAGCAAAGAGCGGCCACCTTTGATGTGGCCGATGCCCGTGACTATGAGCTAAAGCGTTTGGGCAATCGCCGATCCCAGCAGCAGGCGGCGCCTAGCAAAAGAAATGGTGGAAATGGAGGAGGAGGTGATCATCATCGCAGTCATGATCGCGAGCGTTCCCGTAGTGATCATCGCATAGCCAGCTATGCCTGCGAGGATATCAACTCTACGGCTTTGTGCAGTGCCGGCTCCATGAGCTCCATGTTGCAGCCAGCGAATGGAACAGGTCACAACAGGAGCAGCAGCAGCCAACAGCGAGAGCATCATACGCGAGAGCAACAGCAGCAGCAGCAACAGCAACAACAGCGGGATCGCCGCGAGAAGACCTTCAAGGTATGATTTTTAGAGACGTCATAAGAATTGTCCAATCCGCGCCAGGATAGCAGCAGCAGCAACAGCAGGAATGGCAGCTCCAGGCGGCGGACGCGTTGAGGGGAAAATGGGAAGCGAACGTGGCGGATTCTATAGCGGATATATATAGAGAAGGTGGAGTAGGATGAAAGGATAACCACAATCGAAACTGAAACCAACGAGGAGGCCCCTGCCTGTTTTTTATATGTTTAGCTTAAGTCGCGTGTACTCTATGTCTCTCTCTCTCTCTCTCTATCTTCACCCTGTCTCTGTCACACAACTGCAAACGAACACGCACACAAAACAAGGAAACGAAACACACATGCGTATATATATAAATTATATACAAAAAATATTGTAAAAAAAACACACACAAGTCGACCTCTCCCTGATTGATTCAAACTGCTAAAATGCTGCTAAAAAATGCTTAGAAAAAATGAAGAGAAAGCTGTTAATGCCAGAGGGGCAGTGGTTAAAATAACAGTACTTGAGCTGTTAGATAACAGAGCCTTGAAATTCTCAACTTTACAGTTGGTTTACTTTCTCAAATAATTGAAATTTTCTTGAATTTTAACAAGAAAAAATTTAGAAAAATCTTGAAAATTTCAAAATTTATACTAGAAATATTTTACAAAATTTATAAAATGTTTTAGAATTTACAACTTTTTAATTAATTTAAAATTTGTTTAATTTCCTTAAACAAAAATTTAGAAAAATCTTTAAAATTGCAATATTTTTAATATAAAAATTATACGAAATTTGTTTACATATTTTAAAACAATATTATTATATTTACAAATTCTTTAACAAAAACTGTGCATTAGAATTCTCAATTTTATAGTTTCGAAATTTTATTTCCTTCAACAAAAAATTTAGAAAAATCTTTAAAATTGCAATATTTTTAATATAAAAATTATACAATTCTTTTTACATATTTTAAATTAATATTAATATTTAAAACATTTTTTTTAGATATTTTCAAATATCAAAACATTATTTTGACCACTGCCCCTGTTGGTGTGCACAGCAATTATATATACACACACATCATACATCAAAACCTACATCAGTTCTCTGCTCTGTGTTGTTGCCTATTGTTATATATATATATTAGTATTTAGTAAACCTAACGAATAATTTCTTTGTGACCACTAAATATATTCAAACGTGTATATTTTTAAAGCCTAAGTTTAAGTGAGATTTAGTTTGTAAGCGCCAAAAGCCTATTTATTTACGACAGATTGTAAGCGAGACCCCCCCTCCCCCCTTAGCCACTGAACCCCACCAAGTCCCAGAAAAATATCATCCAAATATATGGGGAAAAGCGGAGGAAAAATTCAGGAAAAATTCAAGAAAAATTAACTTTAAATTTTAAAGAAATTAAAGAAAAAAGATCTTGGTAAAGCCCTTGAATTTTATTGTTTTTAATTAGTATAAATATATATTTTTTAAATAAAATTAATTGCAATATTTTTACAGGGTTTTTTCTATGGATCCTACTTCCGCTATTCCAACAAATTTTTTTTTTTTTTTATAAATTGTTCATAAGAAGCGTGTGTGTGTTTTTTAAAATTTTATTTATTGTCCACTCTTTTTTTTTATATTTGTTTTGGAATTTCTGCATAAGCGAAAAATAAATTAATATTTGTATTGTTTTGAGAATCCGTTGCGAGAACCAACAACAACAACAACAACCACAGCGACACGTACGTAAAATTTTTGTGACGTCAGAAATCTAAAAAAAAAACAACAAACAACAACAAACAAACTAAGAAACTAAACAACAGCAAAAACAACAAAACAAACAAAAAGCACAACAAAACAAAAACAAAGAAACATAAACAAAAAGAAAGAAAAAAACACCAAAATACAAACGATGTTGAAGAAAGGAGAAAAAAAAGAGAAAAAGTCAAACAGAAAACATTTCACAAAATAAAAAACAAAAAAAATAAATGGAAAAAAGTTTTACATTTTAACAAAAAGAGAAAGACAAGAAAGTGAACAAGTTCTTAACTCAAGCAATACATATAACGAAAAAAAAAGGAAAATTAAATAGAAAATAGCAAAAAGAAAGGAAAACGAAAAAAGAAAGCCATACAAAAGTTGTTCAACTATTAAAAAAAAAACAAAAACCCAAGAAAATTCAGCTAACGAAAATAAAAATAAAGCAAGCAAACATATATACATAAACATTAAAACATTAAATACATAAAATACATACTTATTATAGAGCAAGCATTAAGGAATATTAATTAATTAATTAATCGACAACAACAACAACAACAAACAATGTTCAGGTCAATAACTGCATTTAAAGGGAGAAAACAAGAAAACATAAAATGAAAATGAGAAAAGAAGAAAAAAAACGAAGACATTAAATTAAACAAAAGAATGCTCTTTTATATACAACTATATATACAAGCGAATATATATAAATATAAATATATATTTAACGAATTGCAATTACCCGAAAAAACGAAGAAAAAACAATTACCACACACATACAGACAGGCCATCAAAACACACACACAAAATAATATTAAAAAAAACGCAAACCCACAAAACACACAACAAAAAACATTTGATAGAAACTAACATAATTATACACAAGAAAAAAACACTCACAACATGCGAGCAATTGTGGGCAAAATAATTGTAGTGCCATTAGAATTTCGATAAAAAAAAGAAAAACAAAAAAATTATAATAAAATAAAATGTAAATTAAACTGAATTTTATTTATTTTTTTAATCAATTGCAAAAAAAAAAGAGAATTGGTTTTATTGGAAAAATATCTTTGCTTATCGATTTAAACATAATTATTTTGATTTTAACAACGATAAACAAAATATATACATTTTTATCGATATTTAAAATTGATGTTTGCTTAAAAAACTTATAATTTTGTTGAAATATTTTTAAAAATTAAAAAATTATAATTCTTAAAATTCGATTCTCTTAAAATCTCTTGTAAAGATATTTTGCATTGATTTTAAATCGATTTTTTCAACAATAACTTTGATTGTTTTCCAATTATTGCCAGAGAATTCTTTTTTATTTAGAGTCAAATGGGCTTATATAATTTTTTTTTATGAAATACTTTTAAAAAAATTTTAATTAAGATTCTTAAAATTCGTTTCTTTACAATTTTTTTTTTTAATATATTTTTTATCGATTTATTATCGACATTTTCAACTAAAACTTTGATTGTTTTCCAAAGAACTCTTTTTTTAATCTAGATTAAAATGGGTTTAAATTACTTTTTTTTTGCCCTTGTACAGCTTCTAATCAAATTTCAAGAATTAATTACAAGGCAACACTATTATTTTGAACGCAACTGTGGACAAACTTAGCGAATTGAAATGCAAAAAACAAGGGTTAAAAATACAAAAAGGCAACACTTAAAGATATGTAAATTATTCTCTCTGCTGTGCAGATGCAAATAAAATGAGGAATAAACAAATAAACATTTTTGAGTCGCACACAACAAACAGGACACCCACACACACACACACACACACACAACACACACACAACGACCCGAGTATCTTTCGCTCTCTATCTCTCTATCTCTAACTGCATCTAACAATGTATCTTTGACGCTCTGAAACACATTCCAAAAACCAAAAAAATGAAATAAAAAAATCAAATCAAAAATCTAAAAAAAAAAGAAAGAAAGTAAAAAAAGAGCCCACCACCAGCCAATTGTTTCCACTGTAGCTTGCACAGTAACTTCGCTCAAAGAGGAACTCCCTCTCTCCCCCTCTCTCTCTATTAGCAAAAGTTAACATAACACTCGAGGGCGCGTTATTAGCATACACTCTAAGAAATCAAAGGATAACTGCTCCTGTCCTGTATATATACATATACGATCTGCATTAAATCTAAACACTATATATGAGTATGCCTGTGTGTGTGTGTGTGTGTTGGTGAGGTGTGAGTGTGTTAATTTTAAATATTTTTTTTTTCGAAATTTTGAAAAGCGAAAGAAATGTTTGAAAACGTTTTTGTAGCCTGTAGTGTAGCCAGTAGTTGAGTCTAAGCGATAAGGCCAAAATAGATTTTAAACAAAGCCACGAAAAAAAATTAAAAAAATAAATTAAAAAATAAAAAAACAAAAAATTAAGTGAAAAGAAAGTGAAGAAGAATACCAAATAATTGCAGAAGACAGGATGAGCAGGCAGGTATTTACTTATAGCATTTAAATTCTAAAGCAAGAAAACAAAACAAAAAAATTATTAAATAATAAATAAATAATAAACAAAATAACTAACATTAAATCAAACACAATTAAAACACAAAACGTATGTAATACATAAAAAATAAAAACAAAAGAAGACAGTAAGTGTTTCCACGTTTTAGCCATTTGAAAGAAAAACAAAAGAAAACCGGGAAACCAGCGCACTTTTTCTTACTTTAAAACTGAAGCAAAGCCATCTAATTAAAATGATATTAACAAATATATAGTATATATAAAGAATTTTTTATTTAAAAAAATAAAGAAACGAAAGAAAGCAAGTTGTAAGTTTTATGGGGCATTTTCCGTTTACCGTTTTCCGTTTTTTTTTGGTTTTGAAGACTTTCTTCGCTCGAAAAACTTGACAGCGGCGGCGATTTTTTAGCAAAAAGTTTCAGCCGACAAAATGTTATATAAATTAAATGTTACGTAATCAAAACAGAAAACAGAAAACAGAAAAAATGGAAAAAATAATTATATAACAGTTGTGAACAAATTATATTTACATAGCGTATAAATAAATTGCATAACAATTGATTAAAATATAATAAAAAAGTGTGTTTTATTTGCTTTAAAAAATAAAAATAATAATAATAAAAAAACAATTGAAAAAATTAATTAATTATTATATTTAAAAAAGACAAGAAAAGGGTGATTTATATATTTTATATATTATAATATTATTATTATTATTTTATTTTAATTAATTAATTTTCTAATTGTTTTTTTTATTGATTTGTTTAGCCATTATAGAATTTTTAAATTAAAATAAGCTATCCCTTATTTTCAAAAAATTAATTTCCTGTTTTATTTTTTTCTATTTACGTTATTTATTTATTTTTATTTTTTTATTTTACAATCTTAATCTTAATAAATACTTTGTTTAAATCTTTAAAAATATTTAATAAATATTAACAGGGGTTTTTAATTTTTTTTATTTATTTTTTAATAAAAAGAAAATTAATTTTACTTTTTTATTAATATTAATATTTAAAGGGGTTTTTAATTTTTTATTTATTTTTTAATAATAATAAATTTTTTATAAATTTTTTTTAAATATCTTTAATTTTTTTTTACTTATAAAAATAATTATAAAAAATAAAGATATATATATATTTTTTTAATTATAAAAGAAATTTTATTTTTAATATTTATATATATGTTAATGATTAAAAAATAAATGTAATAATTTGAAAATTTTCCGCCTTTTATCGATAACATAACCGATAACGATACCCTTAAACAGTGCTGCCCATGTCTCGCAAATTACCCCAAAATCCGTTTCCGGCAAATCTCTGGTATTTTTGCCGACCGGAACTCTGGTTACACTGCGACAAACAAATAAGTTAATTAATTCTTTAGCAGCTGCTTAAATTATTCAAATGCATCCACCGGAAGCAACAACAACCATGATGTACGATGTAAGCAGGTTCCAGACCCTCTTCGTTGTCGAAGATGCCAACAAAAAGGCGGAGGATGAGGATGAGGATGGACTTGACCAAGAGGAGGAGATGGAAGACCTGATCTGTCATGTGTCGCAGGAGATGTACGATGAGGAATTGGCTTTGGAGCGGGAGGAACAGGAGTTTGAAGAGCGAAATCTGGGGAATCTAGAGTGGCCAAAGGGTGAGTTTAAATATTATTAAAAAATTTTAAAATAATTTAATTTTAATTTTAAATTAATTTTTATTTAATTCTAATCCTTAGCCCTTCAATCCTTTGCCTGCCTTAGATGCCCAGAAAGCTTCTCCAGCCGTAAGGAACTCGCCGCCCATCGACGACAACTACATCATGGTCAGACTTCGGCGAGAAAACCTCCCACCGTACTTACCTGCGAGATTTGCGGCAAGCTCTTCCATAGAAACAATGCCCTGATGAATCACATGAATTCCCACACGGATCAAAGGAACTATCCGTGTCCCCAGTGCCCGGCTCGCTTTGTCCAGAGCTGCAATCGGGATCGCCATGTCCGGGACACACATCTCAAGGAGTATCTGTATCCATGCACCGAGGTGGGTTGCCATCGACGCTATCAGCAGCGTCGGGAACGGGATCAGCATGTGAAGACGGTGCACCGGCAGGAGAGGGATTTGGTGTGCAGCCAGTGTCAGGCCACATTCAGTCATCCGGTGAACTACAAGAAGCATCTGGCCTCGCATAACTCAGTCAAGTCGTTTAGTTGTCACATTTGCAAGAAGCTCTTTGGACGCCAGGAGAACCGGGATGTCCATCTATTCGTCCACAGCCTGTGCAAGGCCTATGTCTGCTGTGTCTGTGGGGCAGACTATATGCGTCGCCAGCAGTTGATTCGTCACAGTGCAGCCAGTGGTCATGTGAATGAGAAGATAGTGCGACAGAAACCACAATTTAGTGCGGCTTTTTCACAAAAATCCAAAGGGAAAGAGGTTCAAACAGAGGGAGAGAAGGTGGATCTATTGGGAAATGGGAGTTTTCCCGGTGAAGAAGACTTAAAGGAGTTGAAGGAGGAGGAGGAGGAGCTCCTGGAAGAGTTTATTTGATACAAATTTAAGATAATATAAAGAGAATGAAGACTAGTTCTGTGATTTTAAAATGAAAACGATTAAGATAAGGATTCTGAAATGAAAAAAAGCTCTTGAATTTGAATTATTCAGTTAAAAAATGTAAATCTAAATGAAATTATGGAATATTTTTTACCAATAAAAAAAAATAAAACTAAATCAAAACCTTCTATTCTTATTGAATATTTTTTAAGATTAAGAAAAATCTGAATTCTGCATAAAATGAGTTCATTTATTTAATTTAAGAAAATCTAAAAAAAATATATACTTTTATTTTTATAAAAAAAATAATTTTTAAAATTAAAGCCCCTTTTTATTTTTATTAAATATTTTTAAAGATTAAAACAATATATTTTATCTTTATTAAAATTAAAAAAAAAAAACAAGAAATAAAGCTAACTTTGGCCAGCCAAAGTTTGTATACCCTTGCAGGTAATAATTAAAATATATCATAACTAAGCCAAAAATGCATTAATTTCGATTCGGAAAGCAGTTTTGTGTTAGTTTTTATGAGGTTAACAAATCTGCATACTTAGTTGGAAAAATAAATTTTGGTCAATTTTTGAGAATTTTAATGATGTAACTTATCAAATTTTAAAAAAATGGCTCAAAATTTGATTTCCTCCAAACATGGCTTAAACGATTCTCCTTTCAATGCTGATCTAGAATATATATGGTTTATGGGGTCGGAAATGATTCCTTCACTTAGAAAAATATTATTTTGTATTATAAAATCTGATTTTGTATATTAAAAAACTTCTTGATTTTTTTTTAAATTAAAAATATCATAACTCGGCCAAAAGAACATTAATTTTAAATCGGGAAACTGTTCTGTGCAAGATTTTTTACAGTTAATAAATCTGCGTACTTCATTTAAAAATTTTGAAAATTCAATTTTTTATCAAAATCAAAAATTTTAATGATGTACCCCCTTATCAAATTTCGCAAAAATGGCAAAAAAATCTATTTCTTCCTGACATATCTAGAAAGATTCCCCTGTTGATGCTGATCAAGAATATATATACTTTATAGGGTCGGAAAGGTCTCCTTCACTGCGTTGCAAATTTCTGACTGAAATTATAATACCCTGCAAGGGTATAAAAAAAATTTTAATAAACCCGTGGGCGCCATGGTAATTTTCTGGCAAATTCAATTACTAGAATATAAAAAAAAAATCCTTGAAATTTAAATAAATTAATAAATTAATTAAATAAATAAATAAAATATTAAAAAAATATCCTTAAAATATAAATAAATTAATAAAATAGTTAAATAAATAAATTAAATATATAAAAATATAAAATACATTGTTTTCTAGCAAAGACAATAAACAAAATATCCTTAAACAATAAATTATTTAAATAAATAAATAAATAATTAAAGTACATTTTTTGGCATGACAGTTTTCTGGCAAATGCAATAAATAAAATATTAAAAAAAAAAATCCTTAAAAAATAAATTATGTAATTATATAAAAATATAAAGTACATTCTTTGACATAACAATTTTTTAGCAATATATTTTGTATATATATAACCAAAAGTCCGTATATAATTAATAAATGAGACAATTTTTTTAGCAAATTAAATAAATAATATACTTACAAAAAAAATCTTTAAAAAATAAATAAATTAATTTTCTTAAAATAAAACTTAAACCCTTTTCAATATATTGTAATTTTAAAACACAAATATATAAAATACAAAATCAAAATAAATATAAATTTAATTTTCAAACGAGTTCTCCAATTGATTTCCCATTCATAATCTCCAACCGAGCGCCACCGCTAAGCTCATTTAACTAAAATGCGATAAATGAATGAAAATAAACAATAACAACAAATAAAAAATAGCAACAATTATTACCGCATGCAAAACATGAAGCAGAAGCAGCGAATGAAAAGCAAAAAAAAAAAAAAGAAAACAAGCAAAAGGCAAATGAAAAGTGAATGTCGCTGCTGCTGCTGCACTTTAATAAAAAAACTAAAAAAAAAAATCTAAAAAAAAGTAAAGTAAAATGAAATGAAATGTGTGGTGGTCTCACCTGCCTCCCCTTTCCGCCGGAACCCTTGGAGTGGGTTCAAAATTAACAAAAAATCAGGCGTTAAACTCATAAATAACAAACACCAAAGGGGCGGAGGGGGGTTTAACAACAATAAAACGTTAAAATGAAATTATTTAACACCTTTTTTATGGCTCATTTCGCTGTTAATGTGTGAGCAAATTTTTAAGCCCTGCCCCTGTAAACCTCTCTGGCTTAAAAAATTCGCACATAATTCCCACATTGATCGATCCCGCTCTTTAAACTTATCGATAACCAATGGTCAGCCATAAAGCTGTCATAAGCTAATCCCCCCTTAACCTTTTTTTTTCCTCTCTTTTTTCATATTTTTTTGGGTATATTGTTCCACCTGTCACATTTCAAACCTTTGTTAAATGGCAAACGAAAATTATCTAATTTATCGTTGTTGTTGTTGTTGTTGTTTGCCTTTCGATTGTTGTGCCTGAATGAACTTGTCGACACAGTTAAGATTCCAAGAAAGAAAGAAGATTGCCCCTAGGCGGGTTTAGCTTATGTAAGCTATGTTTTGACCCTGCCCAAATAACAAAATAGTTGGGGGATTACCTCAAGTCCGGTAGTATTCAGAGTCTGATTGGAATTTTACCCAACAAAACCCCAAGCAGGGTGTAATGGGATGGGTTAAGTGGATTGGATTTTTGGGATATCTTAGTTATCAGAGACTAGAGAGACTTGGGTTTTGGTATGCAATTCTTTATTTATGTTATCTTTCTTTGTATTGAATTAAATTTAAATGTATTTGTAAATTAAAACAATTCTAAAGGTGATATAATAGCACCTATAAATATGATTTTTAATAACTCGGGAACCTTGATTACCAGAGACTGGGGTTTTGGTATGCGGTTATTTATTTACATTTATTGAAAATCTAAAACTATTCTAAGAGAATTACAAACCATAGACCATAAGATATCTTAGCTTACCTATAAGATCTCTAAAGACTGTATTACCAGAGGCCTGTTTTTCAAGATCTAAAATAATATTTGTATTACCAATCTATATACCAAAAAGTAAAGCAGAATATCAAGCCCTTCTTTAAGAACTTTATATCTATAAAAATCTATAAAAATCGAAAAAAATATCTTTAAAAATATCTATAAAAATATCTATTAAAATATCTATCTTTATAAAAACCTTTCTTACCTATCTAACCTACCTCTACTTATCTATAGATCCATAAACCCATCATAGAACCCAAATAACTCAGTCTTGGGTCTCAGTTAGGGCGTTGTCTTTGCATCTTTAGTTGTGCCAGGTCTCGCTTCTCTTATTCATTTCGCTTTTTTTTTTATGATATCAAGACATTTCGTGCCTATACAAAGGCATAAATAATTCCCATAATAATAAAATACAACAAACAAGACAAAGGTTAGTGGAAAACCCAGTCAGTGTATAAGATTTCTTTTCTATACACCCATCTGGGCTTTAGGTCACGTCTCGCTGGGCGAATTCTGGTCGCTTCCGCAACGGATGTAAAGATTCAAACGAACGTGGGAGTCAAGGCCTAGGTCAAGTTACAGATCAGATCTCTGAGAGAGAAAAATAAATATATAAAAAATATATAAAATATATACTATATAATTTAATCCCATCCGAGATGAAGCCTATCAAGCTGTCCCATCCTTTCACTTTCGTTACGTTGCGCTGCCTCTTGTTTTCTTTGATGTAGGTCAGCGACTTAAGGATCAAATGCCCAAATAAACTGGTTGAGATTGCATAACGGAGATTGGAATGGGATTTGGGGGAATGGAAATGGAAATGGCTACGGGAATTGGATAAAGTTGGGCGGCCGCTTTTTGGAATTGGACTCGGGATGATGGGTTTGGCGTGATGATTAATATGGTGGCAGAGGGAGATGATGATGATGACGATGGTGAGTGCGTTGACCATCCATCATCAAATCCGGTGACCGGTGACCAGTGAATGGTGCAATTGGAATGGCATGAAAGATGATGATGGAGGCTATGCAGATTGGTTGTTTAAGGTGGCATTTTTGCCTGATATTCAGTGGGTTTTATTATTGGGTTTCTGGTTCAATGAGTCGATGTTTGGGGGAGCATACTAATGAGGGTTCTTCACACACACACTTTTCTTAAGCTTAAGACTTTGAAGTGAGAGTTTTATTTCTATTCAAACTAGAAGCTAATGTGATTCCTATGATGATCTTCTGCGATTTTTTTTAGCTCATTTTTGTATGATATTATAATCCTATAACTATCTTCTAGGGTTTTTTAGGGTTCCTTATTAAGATTATATCAAATTAAATTAAACTTTCTAAACCAATTATCTTAAAATGAACGATCCTATGAATTATTATACCATAAAATGATATCTATAATTATCTTTAAGGGTTTTCTAAGCTAATTATTCTACATTATAACGATCCTATATAGTATCTTATCAAGTTTAATTAACCTTTTTAAATCAATTAACCCACAAACTAATAATCCTACAAATTATAAAACAAAAACTCCTCTTTATTATGCAATTTTTCTTATTTTCCTGATTATCAATCTCCTTTAATAACCCAACCCCTCCCCTCCCCAGATCTGGTTAAAGCCTTAATCCAACCGGATTTCGCTTGATCGTTTGATTCACTTGCTGTTTTGATCAATTACCATGCCGGCGGCGTAGGTTCCACCACTCCCACTGCCATTCCCTAGTTCACTTACTTTTGATATAGTTTCTCGCATCAAATGCGAATCACAAATTTCAAGCGAAATTTCCAAAATCGAACATATATCCGTGTGTAATCACAAAAATCAGAGAGAGAGAGAAAACTGGCAAAATCAAGCTACGTGTTGGGAATTTCCAAAAATCTGGAATATGTCCAGTGGCAGAGAAAATAAATGAGTAGATGAGAAAGTTTTGGTTTAATTTTTGAAAAACAAAAGGTTTGGAAAGGTTTTTGGTGTTGTTTTTTTATATATTTTACTTTTTATATATTTTTCTTTTTACTTTTTTATATATTTTTATATTTCTTTTATATATTTACATATTTTTTAATATATTTTCTAATTTAATTTTATATAATTTTTATATTTATATATTTTTTTAAAAATGTATATATATATATTTTTTAAATTATATATTTTCTACATTTTTATAAATTTTTTCAACATTTAAAAAATTTTTTTTATATATTTATATATATTTTTTATATATTTATATTTTTTTAAATATATTTTTATATTTTTTTATAAATTTATATATTTTTTTTTATTTATATATTTATGTTATATATTTAAATATTATTTTATATATATTAATATTTTTTTTAATATTTTTAAATATTATTTTATATAGATATATCTTTTTTTTATATATTTATATTTTTTTATATTTTTATATATATTTTTTATATTTATATATATATTTTTATATTTTATTATTTGATATTCGCAGCTTCTTTAGTCTGAAAAAATATCCTTCACTCTCTCTCTCTCTCTCTTTTAACCCTTTTACACCCTATTTTTTATATTTTTTATATAATTTATATATCATTTATTGTTCAATCTTGCCTAAAATTAAAAAAAATATATAGATACTTCGGAAAAAAGTACAGAATTACAGAGGTTTGTCGAGCTTAAAAAACTAATTCAATAATTTAATGATAGCCATGCGAGGACGTGGCCGGTGGGCCATAGCTGCTGGCTGGCGGCAGATACGTGGCCTCTGGCTCAAATATGGGCGTGGCCGAGTCTCCAGAGTGTCCAGGTGGACCATATAGCTGCGCCGGCGCCTGGTAGTCATAGCCCGGCGACGAGGGAGCCTGCAGGTATGGCGATGTGGGCGTGGCATAATCATAACCGGAAATAGAGTTCGTCACCGGACCGGAGGAGCCACTACTCTCATGCTTGGCACCCAGAAAGGCGCTGGGCTTGAAGGGTGCCTTCGATAGCTCCAGTTCCGAATGGGTGACGCCGCCATTGCCAGCGCCCAGGACATCCGTATGCAGAGCCTGCGGCTTGCTGGCCGTGTAGCTAAAATGTCCCAGTCCCTTGTGACCCAGCGCATAGATGGGCGTCTCACGCTCTGGTTCCCTTTCCAGCTTGTGCTCCTGCTCTAGGACCTGCTCTTGGAGCGACTCCTGCTGATGATGATCATAGCCGGGTATCAGTGGTACGCCATAGCTGCTCAGAGGTGTGCCCTTGCCAAAGGGTGTGGCGGGGGCATCGTAGGTGTAGCCAGAGTGCTCCTCTGCCGGCTGGGGCAGCGGATGCTGGGCAAACACTGGGCCACCATGGCCTCCTCCTGCACCTCCTCCGCCGCCTGAGGAGTGTCCCAGTCCCAGTCCCAAGGCCTGACTCAGTCCATGCTCTAGGGCATGCTCCAAGCCATGATCCACATGACTGGCAGGTCCATGACTGCTGCTAGTGCTGATCGGATGATGTCCATAGCCGTGTCCAAAGCCGTGACTGTAGCCGTGAGTGGGGGCGGGTCCATGGGAGCTGTAACCGTGGCTGGGCCTGTGCAGGGATCCGCCAGAGAACTCGGGCGAGGCCACCAAATAAGTGCTGGTCTTGTGGCCGCCGCCGCCGCCGCCGCCCAGGAGATTCAGATAGGCGGATGAGCCTGGTCCACCAGCACTGCTCGCTGGAGCTGGATACTTGTAGCCCAAGCCATGCGAAGATCCATGACTATAGCTGTGACTCAGGCCGTGACTTGGGCCATGACTTAGACTGTGACTTCCGATGTGACTTCCGCTATGACCATGGTAGCCATGTCCGGAGCCAGAACCACTGCTCGTCGTCTGCACTATGTATGTCTCGATCTTGGGACTTGGGACATAGTGCTGGTGGTGATGGGGCCTGCCATGACCAGCTGGGGAAGCCAAGCCATAGCCGTAGCCATGATGACCATAATGATGGCCACCATTTCCGCTTTCGCTCTCCAAGTGTCCAAAGTCCGTGGTATAGCTGTGATAGCCACCGCCTCCTCCTCCATGGTAGCTCAGCTGGTGACCTTCATAGGCGGGTGGCAAGTACTTGTGGGAGGGTCCATGGTAGCTAGAGAAGCTCAATCCTGCATCTCTCTTGGGTTTGCCAGAGGAAGAAGAAGGTGAAGAGGAGGCAGCGGGTGGAGAAGAAGAAGCGGGAGCAGCAGAGGGAGAAGCAGCAGCAGAAGAGCCAGAAGAAGCAACTTCTGAGGCCAAGCCAAGGCTCAGCAGAGCCAGGGCTAACGGTACTCCAAAAAATCTCATGCTCCACACAGATCTGGCACACACACACACAAGCACAGTCAGAAAGTACACGTAAAAAAAAAATGAGCAAAGAAATATGTAAAGAATATCCTCGTTAGTTGTTCGTATTTTTTTTTTTTTATGGAAAAATAGCTAAGCGACGCGCCTCGTTTCGCAGCCGTCGACGCAGTGTTGACGACCTCCGACGGTGTTAACCCTTTTATACATTTTCCATAACTCCCCAAACTACCAAACTCCACTCGAAAACTTTACAAAAAAAAAAAGGAAGAAAAAAAAAAAATAAAGACAGAAAAAAATGAAACAAAAATGTAAAACAAAATCAACCCAGTGGAGGCCTCTGCCTTTGCCCCAGCAGCGACGCCGGCGTATCACGCTCACTCTCTCACGCACACCTGTCACCCACCTACAGAGAGAGAGAGTGAGAGAGAGAGGGGGGCCACGGTTTTTGGTTTTCGCCGCTTTGTGTGTCTCTGCCAGCGACAACAGCGCAGCCGCGCAGCCTTTTACTCTTTCACTCTCACTCTCGTTTGAAGACAGTGGAGCAAATTGTAAGGTAGATGGAATTATATTTATGATCTTGCAGGGTTTTTTTAAATTTAAACAATTATTATTCCAAATTTTAAATGGGGTTGCATTTGTTAAAATTGTCAAAAAGTTATCAAATTTAAAGAACTCTCCAAAATTAATAACAAAAATTTCACCATAGTTTTAATGATTTCTTTCCACTGTGCAAATGTTTGCCAACTTTTGACAGTGCCGCCGCCTCAAGTTCAAGTGACACTTTTGCATATCACATGTCGGCCCAACCACGCCCCCTTCGCCCTCCCCCTATCCCCCAGTCTGTGTTTTGTGTTGTTGCCTTTTGTTTGCTCTCCCTTTATGCCCGTTCTTCGCACAAGTCATGTGGGCTTATGCGTAAATTGCATTTAATTCAGAGCAGCACTCGTTGTGCCCCCCCTCTCCCTTGCTTTTTCACCTCTTCTTTCGCTTCCTCACCTTTTCCTCTTGTTCCTTCTTTGCGCTGCTTTGTAATTGTTGCTATTTTCTCAGCTGCGCAAATTGTTGTAATTCGAAAAGAGATTTGTTTTGGGGGATTTTAATTTGGGTTTTTGCTCTGCTCGTTGATTTGGCAATAGCTCTTTTTTTTCTGCCATTTAACCCCTTCTTTTGCCTTGGGGTCAGGGTTAACCCTAGGCTGGGTCTGAGTTTTGCAACCAAGAAGAAGGAGCTGCCAAGTACCCTTCTTTTTTCTCTTCTTCCACCTTTCTTTTAGCAATCTCTCATACGTCATCAGAGTTCTGATAACGGCTTGCCCCACATGGGGTTCTTAAATTCCCATAGAAAGACGATGGATCTCTGAAATTACTGAAGCTAGAGTTACCAATTTTGGTATACACATTTGTAAGCTTACATATTTTATTATAATTTATTTCTGATATTAAAAGTTTTAAGAGATCCATAATACAATATTAACACTTAAAACTTGAGGGATCTCTGAAATCATAGGAGCTAGAGTTACTCATTTTGGTATACAAACTTGTATGATTTATTTATGTGAGCTCACAGAAGATACAACTGGATTCTTTATAAACCACCGATTCTTTAGACCTAATATTATTCCCAAAATTCTATTAAACCCAAAACAACAGTAAATAGATCTGCTTTTCTGCTCGAACTATTTAAAATTTAATTTTGTAAAGTTAAAGTTTGAAAAGTTTGTAGAGAACAATGTAGCTGCACAAAAAATCGCTTCTAAAAAATATATATAAATTATAAATAGTCTCTCCAGAGACGTTTTACGGCTTTCTATGTCCCAAACATTCGATTGTAGTACTGCCAGGCACGGCGTTGGCGTCCGGGGGACTCTTCGCTGTCAGGACATGGTGTGCCCTCACTCTTATTATCCATCTGCTGAACCCGGTTTTGGGCTTCCTGTGCTGCTCTAGCTGCAATTTCGGCTGCCTTCTTGGTCTTCTCGCGATCCTGTAACACCTCGTTGAGTATAGTCATTAACTTATTGACTCTTTTCTGGGCAGCCTCCATTACAATGCAACCACTCATCACAGATTTTTCCCATACCTCCAGGACCTGCTCCATGGTGTTTAGTTTTTCTTTAGCTGTTTTTAGAGCATCGCTTAGGGTCTTGAGCTGCCGTTTTGACTGACTGAGAGCCTTGTTGGCCAACTGATCGTTCTCCTCGTAGGTGGTTAACTTCTGGACTTCCGGTGCCAACAAAGCCCGGGCATTACAAACCTCAGCCTCGAGCTGTTCGAGGAGTTGACCCTTGCCAAAGAGCACCGCATCGGCGGCATTGGCAGCAGCCGTGGCTTTGTCAGCATATTCACATTTGATTTTATCGGCGGCTGCTTTTACCGCAGGTGCCATATCATCATTGGCCTTTTTGGCTTCCTTGGCTGCTTGAATGGCAATGCCAGAGCTGTGTTGTTTGGCATTTTCAGGATTACCCTGCAGCTTATTGGAACGCTCAATCTGGGACCAAGGATTGGAGTTGCCTTCGTTACGGCCACAGCCTCCAGGGGAACCACCAACGCGATCGGGATTTTCTTTGCCGCAGGCTCCAGAGCCAACACCACCACCACCACCACCACCACGGTTCTTGTCTCTGCCACAACCGCTTCTGGCTTCGCCTTCGCCTTCGCCGGATCCTTTACCACAACCATCACCATTGCCGTTGCCATTTTTATTGCAAATTTCATGACCATTTCCATTAGAGTTTCCTTCGCCATTACTTTCGTCTCCGTCGCCTTCACCATTGTTGGCCACATCAAAGGACTGCATGCGCCGGCGGGGCCTATTACGGCGATAGTATTGGCCATCGCTGGTGGCCAAAAGGGCAGTTATCAAAACCAGATAAAGGAAATTCATTTTCTTTTTTTTATTTAAAATGAAAGCTTATAGTTTTAGGTTTCGTAGCCAACAGGGGGATATAAAATCGACTGAGAAAACTGGCTTTAGATCTTGATGTGCTCAATGACAAGTTCAGGTCAAGGATTACTTGATAGAAAACATTTTAAATGAGGCTAAAATAAGTTTTCTACTTATTTTGTTTAGATCAAAGTAGGGCTGGTGCCTAGTTTGGGTAAAATGTCAAAGTGGTTAGTACTGTTAGAGCTCAGTCTCAGTCAGTCTCTCGCCGTATTCCTTTCGAAGATGTTCAAGTCAAAAATATATTTCCTAATTTTGTTCCTACTCGGCCTTATGCCCAGTTTGGAAAGTTATAATTATTATTTCATCGAACCGTATGAACGTAACTATAATCCCAATTATAACGAAGATGCTGGTGGACTGAGATCGCGTTATGGTAGAAGTGATGGAGTTACCTGTGGTGAATCCAACAAGTCCGATTGCGGCAGCGCTTTGGGCAGTGCCGGCAGTGATCCCAAGAAAATAGCCTATGGCATTGCCCAAAAGGCCGCTTTGGATGCCAAGGCTGCTAATGATGCTCAAATGGGTGCCGCCGAAGCGGCATCACATCAGGTGAGAGCCGAATTGGCCTACAAGGCACAGCAATCGGCCAAGGCCGCAGAGGCAGCTTTGGCTGGCAAACAGCAGGTCCTGGATCAGTTGCGTTTGGAGCTGGTAGATGCGGAAACAGCTTTGGCATCCATCCAGGCAGCTGTACCGAAATTCGGTGACAATGCTGAGCTTATGAAAAGTATCATGGAAAAGGCCGAAAAGCAGTTGGCTTTCACCAGGAAAGTCATCGAAGTGGCCACTAATCATTTGGCCAATGATCAGACTGTGGCCAAGGGAGCACAGCAGGAGGTGGTGGAGAAGGCGGCCATTTTGAATGCAGCCAAGCAGCGGGTGGAACTTATCAATAATCGTTTGGCCGAGGCCACCAAGGATCTGGAGGCCACCAAGGCGGCGGCATATAAGGCCTCCTGCGCAGCAGTCGAGGCCAAGCAGAAGGCACAGCGTTCACGTCGCGATTCCTGGATGTACGAGGAGGATGTGTGGCGTTAAAGAGGGGGGAGCAAAAGGCTTTCCCCTTCAATCGTTCTATATATATACATATATATTTTATGTGTTTGTTTCAAATTAAAGTTTCAATTAAAGAAGGCAGCAAGCTCTTCATGAAATGTATGTAATATTTTTTATTTTCTGCCACCATGAAGCTCTTGGAAGTTGATGTAATAACCAGACAATTGCCGCTCTAGACTGAAACTCAGACTCAGACCACCTTAGTTGCGCAATTTTGTTGGCCAAGGTCACACCTGGCATGTCGATCGAGTTATAATTTCACCGATTTGCGACTTGTGCGAGACTCACAGACGCGACGCCCGTAATTGAGGCATTTGAAAGTGGCTGAAAATTGCCAGAGATGGAGATCCGATCCACGATCCGCCCATGGTAAAAGTTGGCCTTCAAAAACAAAAATGCCGCTAAGCGCCGCCCTGTGCCGAGTGGGCGAGTCATCATCATCATGATTAACATCATTATCATGGTCGTTGTTACATGGTCTCAGGGAATCTGAGCTGGGACTGGGACTTGAACCTGCTCCCAGACCCCCAGAGAGCGGTGTTATGTGCATGAGCGTATGGGTGTGTGTGTGTGTGTGTGTATGGGAAGACCTTTCCAATTGGACATAATAAAGATCAGAAAATATCAAGAATTTGAATATTAAATGTGTTTTTTTAATAAAAAATTTTGCTTTATTTATAAATAGATTTTTTGTAAGGTAAAAAACGTATATTTAAGTAACAGAAAACAATATTACACATCAAGAAATTGTTGTTAATCGAAAAAAAAGTATTTTTACATTTTAATTTAATATTTAATATTTATAATATATAAAAAAAGTATATAATATAATATTAAAATAAAATAAAAAAATAAAAATAACATAATAATAATAATATAATAAAAGAATGTAAAATAATAATAAAATAATATTAAATTAGTAATAAAATATATAAAATAATAATAATATAACAAAATATTATAATAATATAATTAAGTATAATAATAATATAATAAAATACAATATAATATTATATTTCAAGTCTTAACTTCTCACTAGATTGTACAAATTACTGGGCGATAAATAGACATAACCTCCTCCTGCTGCTCCCCTGGAGAGCTCTGATCCCTCCGCGACTGGCTTGTAGGGATGAGCATGGAAAGGTGGCTCCTCCAGCTGTTGCTGTTGCTGATGCTGCTGTTGATTTCCCTGAGCCGGCGGCACCACCTGGTTCTCCTCCTCCTCATCCGTGTAGCCAGCAAAGGGTGAGGGTCGAAAGGGCAGGCTAAAGTGTCCAGTTTGGGGAGGAGGTGCCGCCAAAGGATGGACCTGTAATTGCGGGGTGAATAAGCCCAACAGGACAGGCGGCTGCTGATATTGCTGGGAAGGATATTGTTGCTGCTGCAGGAAGGGATTCTGTTGCTGTTGCTGGAAGGAACTCTGCTGCGGCTGCTGCTGTTGCTGGAGGAGATTCTGTTGCTGCTGCTGTTGCTGGTAAGGATTCTGTTGCTGCTGCTGTTGCTGGTAGGGATTCTGTTGCTGTTGCTGCTCATAAGGATTCTGTTGCTGCTGCTGGTAGGGATTCTGATGTTGCTGCTGTTGCTCATAAGGATTCTGCTGCTGCTGCTGTTGATCCTGTGCCACCGGCGGAAAGGTTTGCGGTCCCGTATATCCCGGACTAAGTTGTGAAGCCCCCGGCAAGCTGGGCAACCTGGCCACTGTGGGCAGGATCAGGGGTCGCCAGGGCATCGAGTATAGCCAGGAGTTGTGATAGCTAATCCCTGGATGCTGCTGCTGCTGGGCCTTCATCGTTGTCAAGCCACTGACCAGGATGAGGACATAATATCTAAATTGCATAAGGCCGAACATGCTGCTCCAGATGGATGCTCTCCGGCAAGTGCTGCCATTGGCCTCGACACCATCACCATATATATCAAGTCCAACGGTGTCATCCGATATCCCTGGTTCCGCTGTAACTGATATGGCCAACTTCCTCCAACAGAGTCTTTCTCTTGGTTGCGCAATCGGAGCTTCCTCTGCTTTGACTATACTTTTAAATCCAGTTTTCCCTGATATTTTATTCAATTTAAAATCGAAAATGTAGCTTTTAAATTATTATAAAAATATTTATATATATTTTTTGGTATAATTGAAATTATGTATTTAATTTTCTTTTATTTTTATTTGGTGATTAAATGATTTTTTTCGATGTTGCAATGTCGGCAAAGTCGTGTGCCTTTTAAAGCGTTCAACAATCCATGTAACCGAGCCGAAGTTGTAGCCACAAGAGTGGGGGGGAGTGTGTCTCCATCATCATCACCCAACTCTCGCCCTTCGAACGCAACATTTTCCACTTGAGGAAATTCCCAGACTACCTACCTGTCCGAACCAAGGCGAGAGGGTAAGCCAGTTTTCCCTGGGAGATTAGGCATTTTATTATATTATTAAAAATATTACAAATATTATTAAAAATATTATTTAAAATATTAATAAATATATTATTAAAAAAATAATTAAAAATACTATTACAAAATATTATTAAAAATATTATTAAAAATATTCTTTAATATTATAAAGAGCTTATAAAAATCAAGCTGTATTACTTTTCAATAATTTTTTAAATATCTTTTAAAATCTATAAAAAATACATATAAATTAAAGAATATTTTTCTAAAATAAATACTACTTGTTAATGTTTTGTTGTTTAATATTTTCCATTTTAATATATCAAACTAAGTATATAAAATATTTTAAATTAAACTTATACTCTCTATAACAAATCTCCAAATAAAATTAACCAGGAAATCCAATCGCTGAAAAAACAAAACCAAACCAATTTAACTAAAACAAATAGGCCTCAAGTATATATATCATTAACTTAACTATATCAATTTAATGTTAAAAACTTAATTAAAGCCTAGGCTAAAATAATGCTCAAATATTTGCCCGTTAAATTGCTTTGCATAGACCTTAAAAACTTACGATTTAAATGCAGGCACCACAATCATCAAAATCAGATATTACAGGGCCCGGCTAAGAGAGAGAGAGACTTCCGTGCCAAAAAAATGAAAGTGGCAGTAGCAGCAGCCACCAATCAGGCACACAAAACAGCTGCCCTCAGACAAAATGGACAGCTTTGGCGTCAAGGCGTTGGGCTTGATCAGCGGCAGGGCAACATTTCAATTCCGATGACTCGCGACTTGATCGCAAAAAACGGAGCCATGAACATGACGGATAATGGTGCCAAAAAGTCGGCCTGCCAAATGCAATATTTATTTTTGTTTTTAGCCATGGGCTTCCTGCTGTCGCTTGGCAGCTGCAATGAAAGTTGCAACAAGCCCTCTGGCCAGATGCCAAATGCATATTATCGTGTGGGAGTTGCTATTGTTTTTTATTTTGTTTTTGTAATATTTTTTAATGCTTCTTGAATGGTTTGCTTATTTGTTTTACCTTCACTCCAAAAGGAACTTGAATGGAACTCAAATGGAACTTGAATGAAACTCCAATGAAACTCCAATGAAACTCCAAAGAAACTCCAATGAAACTCCAAGGAAACTCCAATGAAACTCCAATGAAACTCCAATGAAACTCCAATGAAACTCCAGTGAAACTCCAAATGGAACTCTACTGAAACTCCTAAGAAACTCCAAAGAAACTCCAATGAAACTCCAATGAAACTCCAAAGAAACTCCAATGAAACTCCAATGAAACTCCAGTGAAACTCCAAATGGAACTCTACTGAAACTCCTAAGAAACTCCAAAGAAACTCCAATGAAACTCCAATGAAACTCCAATAAAACTCCAATGAAACTCCAATGAAACTCCAATGAAACTCCAATGAAACTCCAATGAAACTCCAATGAAACTCCAATGAAACTCCAATGAAACTCCAATGAAACTCCAATGAAACTCCAATGAAACTTCGAAGAAACTCCAACAAAACTCCAAAGAAAGCTCCAATCAAACTTTAATCAACCTCCAATAAAACTCTAACAAAACTCCAATGAAACTCCATTGAAACTAGCTTAAATCTCTTTAAAATCTCTTTGGTTTCCCTCTTTACTGTTCAGCGGAAGCCGTAGCCAGAACTCCATTCAGATGTTGTCTTTAATTTGGGCCTCTAATCGCTTCTCAAGTATGAGAAAATTACAAACAAATTCTCGCAATTATCCAACGAAAATCAGCGTAATCAAATTAGCCATGCTCTTAAATAAATTAAATTAACCCAAGGTTGTTTATGCGGCTTCCCGTTTTTATATGACATCATTTGTTTTGTTTTTTTGTGGCTTAATTGTTAAAAATAAGCATAGTTTGTCTTGGTTTAGTTTAAATAACAATAGGCGGGTCTTGGGCCGTGACTTTGTCTAACATTTATTAATATTTAAACCATGGGAGAAATACTTTTAAGTCTCTTTGTTAATTTATAATTAATTTTATATGGGTTTATTTTACTTTTTGAGGTATTCTTAGACTTTGTTTTAAATTTAGAACATTTTTAAGACATTTTTAGGCTTTGTTTTCTATTCACAAAATTAATTAAATATTTAATAATTATTTTAAAGGTATTTTTAGAATTTATTTTGTATAAAGACATTTTAAAATAAAATGTTTAATATTTATTTAGGCTTGTTTTTGTACTACGCAAATATTTAATATTTGTTTAAATGTATTTTTAGGTTTTGTTTTGTATTAAAAAATATTTCTTAAATATTATTAATAAGGTAGTAATCATTATAACAAACCCATTTTATTAAAATAAAGTAAACAAATTTCTTAAGTCATTTTATATTCACCAAATTATATTTTATTAAATATATAAAAGTATAAAAAAAAATGTTGTCTGTACAATATTTAGCTTCAAAATTTCACTTCAAACTAAAGGCTTTTCCTGAAAAATGCCAATGCTGAAATTTATATATTTTAAAGATTTTTTTCTTTGAGTTTTTTCCTTTTTAGATTCTTTTTTATAGATTTTTCCTCACTCTCAACTTGAGATCTTATGGCGGATGAGGGAGCTTCAAGGAGAATCCAGGGGAAAGGGGGGATATTTAGTAGTAAGGAGCCTGGAACTCCCTGCTGGGATGGTTGATTCCATTTTGGGAGGCAGGAGAGGAGGAAAGGGAAGAAGGAGAGGAGGAGTGAGAGCCAGGAGAAGAGGAAAGCGAACCAGGAGAAGAGGAGAGCGAACCAGGAGAGGAGGAATGAGAGCCAGGCGAAGACTGTGCATAGGCACTCACTGAGTACTGACGATTTCCACCCAATGGGGAGTACGAGGAGGAGGAGGAGGAGGGTCCACCTGGCTGCGGCCACTCCCTGTGGGTGCTGTGTGTCGAGGGCAGCTGATAGGAATGCGATTGCATTTGCAAAAAGTCCTTGCCGGAAGAGGAGGAGGCAGCTCCTCCGCCCAACTGCTCCTCATGACGCTGATTAATCGGCGAGGCAAAGGTATGCTTGCGATAGGCCGACGGCAAACCTTGGCTCAGCAGGCGACTGTCTTGGGCATCCAGGCCTATGAAACGATCATGCTCCGCATCACTGGACAGCGTATAAGAGGGCACGAGCTTAACATCCCCGCCTGGCTTGGCAAAGGTCTTCTGGCTGCTGGCATGCGCCTCAGCCGTGGGCAGCTTCTCCAGTTCGTGCTCGCGAATGGGATGCCACAGGCTGTCACTAAACTGGTGTTGATTTTGGTAGGATCCAGGCCAGGCTTCACTATGCTCACGATGGGAGTTCCAGTTTTCTGAGGCTCCTAGGCCACCTTGACTTCCTGCCTGGCGATGGCTGGTGGCTGGTCCACGCTCTGAGTTATAGGACTCTGAGTTTCCTAGCTGCTGCCAGGATTCACCACGTTGAGGGGTGTGCTCATTGTGGCCACGATTGGAGTTCCAGGAGTCTCCTGGCTGCTGTCCACGATTAGAGTTCCAGGAATCTCCTGGCTGCTGACCACGATTGGAGTTCCAGGAGTCTGCTGGCTGCTGTCCATGATTGGAGTTCCAGGAGTCTCCCGGCTGCTGACCACGATTGGAGTTCCAGGAGTCTCCTGGCTGCTGACCACGATTAAAGTTCCAGGAGTCGGCTCCTCCTTCAAGACCTCCCTGATTTCCTTGCTGCCAGGATTCAACCCGCTGCTGCAAGTATTCATTTTGCTGCTGGTGAGCACCTTGTCCACGGTTGGAGTTCCAGGATTCGGAACCTATTGGGCCTCCAAGACCTCCTAGGCCTCCTGGACCTCCATGACCTCCTAGGCCTCCTGGACCTTGCTGGTGATGATTCTGCTGCTGGCCAAGATCCTGTTGCTGCTGCTGCTGGTCATTGTGGTGATACTGCTGCTGCTGGTGACCCTCCTGATGATGGCCTACAGAATGGTGAGGCTGAGATTGCTGGTGACCTTGGCTCTGGTGAAGAGAACCCTCTGGATGTGGCTGATAGCCAGAGATCTGGTTGAGGTGATGGTGTCCTTGAAGGTGTGGCTGGGGGTAAGCCAGACCCTGCTGCTGGTGTTGCTGCTGCTGGTTACCCTGGTGATCCTGCTGCTGCTGCTGCTGTGAGAAGGCAGACTGCCAGGAGTTTTCCTCCTGCTGCTCCTGATGCCGCTGTCCCTCATAGTATTCCTTGTTAAAAGGACCATTAAAGTCCTGCGGATGATGCTGCGTCTCCTCTGCTGGCAAATACTTGTGGGCAGGACCATTATAGCGATAGCCATTCCGATTATTATTGCCCAACTGCTGGGAACCACCACCAGTCACCACCACGGCCTGAATGGAGGACAAGCCCAGCAAACTGGCCAAGAGGAAAATCTAAAAAAATCAAATAATTAATAAAAAATAAATAATGAACCCAGAAAAGCTGGTATCCCTTACCTGGACACCTCTGTGCTTCATCTTTTGGCTGATTGTGTGCGCTGAGTGCTGAATGAGCAGTGGCTGGCTTCGGGCCGAAACAAATACGTTTTATAGCCGCCACCTGCACCACCAACCCATCTATATATGATCTTGAATAATCTGTGGGTCTGTGCGTGAGCGTTGCTTGAATTTGAGCCACAAAAAAATATAATACACAAAATAGACCACTAGCAAATCGTTCGAGTCTCACGTAATTTACATCAGATTCTTCTAGTCATATCTTTACCTCTTTGTTTGGGTTTTTATTATTAATTATAAATAATATCTGGCAGCAGAACTAAGCTTTAAAAAGTTTCTTACATTTTTGGGTTTTTTCTTTGGCGGCACTTTTACTTTGACTTACACAATTCCCCGAGGCTGAATCTCTGCTTCGAGTGGGCGGCGTTGGGTGCCTCATAATTGAACGCCAAAAATATTTAATTATATCACGTACATATATTTTATACATATAATACATTTATGTACAAAAAAAATCACAATGAAAGCGAAGCTTGAAGCAAAACAAAAAGTGAAAATTAACAAAAAAATGAATCATAAAGCATGGGCAGCACTTTGCTGACTTGGTATTTTCGCGGTTTTGCCGATATTTTGAATATTTATATTTTATTTTAAGCTATCGATATCGATTTTTAATTATTTTTGTTTTTATTAAATTATTGAAACAATTTTAATAATATTTTTAAATTCATTTACATTTTATTTATTTTTAAATAATTTTTTAAATAACAGAAATAATTTCTTACTCATTTTAGATATTTTTTTAAATATTTAAATATTTTCCTACCTTTCTTAAATATTATTTTAAATATTTTCTTGCCTTTTTACTCGTCACTAAAATTATAAATAATTTCTTAGCTACTTTCGGTAATTTTTTGAATAATTTATATATATTCTTACCTCTTTTAAATAATTTGTTTAATACTTAAATATTTTTTTACCTCTTTTAAATATTTTTTTAAATAACTTCAATATTTTCTTTCTCATTTTAGATAATTTTTTAAATATCTAAATATTTTCCTACATTTTTAAAATAATATTTTAAATATTTTCTTGTCTTTTTTACTCGTTACTAAAATTATAAATAATTTCTTAGCTACTTTTTGAATAATTTAAATATATTCTTACCTCTTTTAAATAATTTGTTTAATACTTAAATATTTTTTTACCTCTTTTAAATAATTTTTTAAATAACTGAAATAATTTCACACTCAGTTTAGATAATTTTTTAAATATTTAAATATTTTCCTACATTTTTAAAATAATATTTTAAATATTTTCTTGTCTTTTTTACTCGTTACTAAAATTCTAAATAATATCTTACCCGCTTTAGATAATTTTGAAAATAATTTAAATATATTCTTACCCGTTTTAGATAATTTTTAAAATAATTTTTGAAATTCCTTACCTTTTATAAGTAATTTTTTAAATAACTTTAATATTTTCTTACCTTTTTTTACTCTTTTCTAAATTCAATTAAAAATTATTTTAATTAATATCTGTACTTCTTTTATATTTCATTTATTTATTCGCTTTTTTTTCTACATACACAATAAATAATCGCACTTAGACTTAGTTACTAGCAACACAACAACATAAAAAAAAAAAAAATGTAATAACAATAACAATAGCATGTACAATCGAACCAAGCACGAAACTCTGGCCTAAAATCAGCTACAAGGAGGGGGAGGGGGTTAATTAGGGTTAATTAATGTAATTAGTTGGCTTTAATTAGAGGCTACTACTTGGGCGGCGGCCTCAGGGCCAGACTGGCCTCCAGATCCTTGACTTCCGAGGCTCTAAGCTGCTTCTTGATGGCCTCCTGCCGGGGATGGGCACCATTGCCACGCTTGCCCCGCTTGCCCGGTGGGGAGGCCACACCCACACTCACACCCTGACCCTGACCCTGACCCACACCCCTCGAACCACCCTTGTACGTGTGCTGGTAGCCATAACCCTCGGGATTATTATTGAACTTGGGACTGTAGCTATCGTAATCCAGACTCTGATGCTTCACCGGATGCTGGGCATGGATGTGGGAGTGACTGGAGTGCTGCTGGCTGTGACCATGATGACCTTGGGCCTGGGCCAGGGCATGGGCATTGGCCAGACGCAGGCCCGAGGTGTCCAGCCAAGAGTCATGGTCATGCGAGTGTTCGTGCTCCTCCAGGGGTTCCTTCTTCACCACATGATAATGATGATAGGGCTGCTGCTGCTGAGCATGATGATGATGGTGATGATGCTGCTGCTGCTGGTGCTGATAGTTATCCTCGTTCTCCATTTCTGTGGCTTCCGGTTCTGCAAAATAACCCGAATAACCCTTGTAATCCTGATGCAGATGCTCTCCTGATGTGGCCTTTAGCTTGTGGCGTTGATACTCATGCAAAGCCGCCGCCGCTGCTGCTGCCTCTTTGCTCTTGTAGGGCAAGGAGTTGATGTCATGATAAATCTCCGAATTGAAATACAACTTGTGCGGAGACTTGCCCCTCTCCAAATCCTCTCGAGAGGAGTCACGTTCACGTTCAACCCTCTCGGGAGTGGGCACCACATGCGATAGATCAAACTCTTCGATGTTTTTCAAGGCGGCGCCATGATCAAAATGCTCGGCACTCTTGAGGGGCAGGGTATAGGGCTTCGATACCGTCTTTACAGTGGCCGTTTGTAGAGGAGCCCGCGTCTTGATCTTGTATATAAACTCCACATTGGGTGATAGCTCATCTACAGGAAGATCGGGTGCCTGGTAGGCAGTCTCTGTCTCGGATTGAAAGTGCTGTTGCTGGGTGAGGAGTGCTGGCTTCTGACTGGAACTTCTCACCTTGCCTTGGTACACCTGATGATGATGGATCTGCTGCTGCTGCTTGGCCTGCTGCTGCTGCTGCTGCTGCTGTGGCACTGCAGACACTGTATACTTGGGTCGCATAGTGCTGCTGCTATACCGCTTATCCTCCAAGGATGATGAGCTCCCCACTTGGGTTTTATAGTAGCTTTTGGTTACGGTGGAGGCCTGAGGCAGTGGCGGTGGCCCCGGTGTCACTGGCTCTTGAGGTGTGCTTAGAATTTTACCCTCCGCCTCCAGCTCTTTCATGTACTTGATCACAGACTTTTCAATCTGTTTCATTATCTCGGATTTGGGTATCTCCGTGGAGGCGGATACCCTTACCTTTTCCTCAGCCTCGGCTTCGAGATTTCTATAAGGATACTGGTTATAGCTGGCGCTGCTATGGTATTTGGGTCTATAGTGTCGTTCGATCTCCTCCTGAACGGGCAAGTGTCCTCGGTGGAGAGGCTCTGCTTCGGTTGAGGAGGAAGAGGAGCCCTCGTATATGTCGTAGCTTCTGGTCACAGGTTCTTTTTCGTAGACAGGAGCAGGTGCCAAGGCAGGAGGAGAACCATTTAAGGAGGAGGAACCCAAGGAGGAGGCGCCCAAGGAAGAGGAGCCCAAGGAGGAGGAGCCCAGTGAGGATGAGCCCAAGGAAGTGGCACCCAAGGAGGAGGAAGCTGTGGCGGAAGAGCTGAGAAGAAGAAGTTGCTGCTGCTGCTGTTGCTGTTGCTGCTGTAGATGTTGCCGCTGGTGTAGATGCTGCTGATGTTGCTGCTGCTGCTGTTGCTGCTTTTGCTGCTGCTGCAACTCCTTTCGTACCTCCAATTCCAATTGCTGCTCTCTTTCCCTTTCTCTTTCCCTTTCCCTCTGATCCATGTAGCTCCTTTGTGTGGAGGAGGAGGAGGTTATGGGCACCTGGCTGGCTGCCTTGAGATGGATCTGCACTGGTGGCTGATTGTAGGCCAACTTAATGGCATTGGCCACATATTCAGCCGCCGATTGAGAGTCCTCCAGGTGGACAGAGGCACCTGAACCTTGTCCCGAAGCCGCTGTGGTGGTGCTTAGCAAGAGTTTGGGGTGTGATTCTTGCTCGGGTCGCACCAGGTTGAGCTCCACATGGCCGTAGTTGTAATCTGGGAAAGGGGTTTTAAAAAAATTAATATGGTTTTAAGGAAGTTTAAGAAATTTTTTATATATTTTTTTTAAGTAGAAAAAGAGTATGGTTTATTTTTTTAAATTATAGAATTAAATCAGCCTTGTTTACTTTATATTTATGACTATATTTGCATACTTTTGGGCTTTATTATTTATTATTATTTTATTTATTATAATTTTTTCTATTTGCTTAATTTATATTATATATTTATTTATATATTTTTTTTGAATATAACTCACCTTTACTAGGCCCCTCTTTCGTTCTACTATGTATCACCGATCCTCGCCTGGGATAGCTTCTCTCATCTGAACCCCTGCGACTGGCCGCCAAAGCCAGCTGGTCGGGCACTGACTTGTCACCAGTGTCCTCCAGCGAGGTGAGACCAGCACCAGAACCTCCTGATGATCCTGACAAGCCAGAGCGACGTCGATTGTGACCCGAGGTGCCAGAGGTCACGGAAACGGCAGTGCACATCGAGGAGATCTTAGAAAAAGTGTTAAAAATTATTAAGTATTATTTGGAAAATGTATAAAAAATATATAAACATTTAAAAATATATATAAAAATATTAAAAATGAAAATTAAGCGGATATTAGAAAAACTTCTAACTTGGTATCCACTTCCAATGTCATTTGTTTGTTGACCTTTCCAATATCGTCCACAAGCCCAAAGAGAGTGTCAAATCTCTCTCTCTCTCTCTCTTCGCTCACATCTTCCCGTGTATTTCGCTATCCTTCATAATTCCGCTATGCTCTTTTCATTTCGCTCTCCCACACACATTGATCGGTCGAAAAACACGTGACTCCCACGAAAACGTGGGAAAAACGAGGAAAACAGTGCGGAAAAACGGGAAAAAGTCGTCCAATAGAAAAACTAACCCTCCGGAGGGATAGGAAACTGTTTTCTGCGCGAAAATCCGATTGAAAAACCGGGAAAATCTACGCTCGGACCTGCGTAGTCTTGACTGCCGGTTATTAGTATGCAAGTGTAAGTGAAATAGGATGAGTGAGCATGTGTTAGTGCTTTTTTTGTGTATAAATTAAATAAAAAACAAAACATAAATGATATTTTGACTACGAAGTACAGATTGCAAAATACAAAGTGAGTACCGAATCATACATTGCATATTCCTACAGCATTTAGTATATTTTTTGTTTGTCCCTCTGTTTTTATTCCTATTTGCATTTCATATATGTGTGTACGGCTCACACATATACATACATACATATATCATTTGCTCTGCTCTCTCCTTCGCTTTCTTTGCTTCGCTTTCTGTGTTCTACCGCCTTGTGGGTTTCTTGTTAGGCTTCGTGTTTCTGATTCTTGGAAACCTCTCTCTCTCGCAGAAGGTAGAGCGTAGAATACGATCCACATTTGTGGACTGGACATTTTTGGTGTCCTTTGGTTTGATTTCTTGGCTGTAAACTAAAACTGGACATATTTTTTCACAAATAAATTAACACAAATCTAAATTAAAAGTTTTAAGTAATTAATTTAAACAATTTTAAATATTAAATATTAAATTAAGAAGTGATATATATATTATAATATATCATGGGGGCGTGGCCTGTCAATCGATGCTAAGTGCCGCCTGGCTCCTTGGCCTGGTCTTTGCCTGTTATATATATATATATATATATATATATATTTTTTTTTTTTGTTGTTGTTCGCTTGAGGCCCACTTGGCAATTAAACTAATTAAACTTGGCCAATTCACTTTCGCTTCGGGGAGGCAAGGGGACTCTTGATTAATGTGGAGGCTGGGCGGAGGAGGGGCGTGCATCCATCCATCCACTGGAAAAACAGACAGCTCAATTTCTATATGATTGAGTCCGGCGCTCAGTTGGCCAAGTTCAATGGCCAAGTTCGTTGGCCAAAGAGGGAGGGCAATGAAACATCAGCATGAAAAATACTTGAGGCACGCAATTGTTGGCCATTACTGTTGTTGCCACTGCCAAATGGATCACGTTTAAAGCAACGATTAGCCAAGCCTCAAAAGACGAGTATGGGGATTCCCCCTTGAGATGATTTCCATGGATATGTATTCTTTGGTTTACAAAGGCCAGGGGTGTGGGGTTCTTATAAGTATACTTTTTGTGGCTATTTATTAATAATAAAAAAACTTGTTGTATTACTTATAAACTTTTTAATCTAGAAAAACAATAAAATAAAAATCTGATTTGTAGAAAATAAATCTAATAATTGCCTGAATATTCATAAAATGCGTATAAAAATGTTGTTAGGTATTTAGGTTATTTATTAAATTTTTAATTGTTAAAAAAAAACTTTTTAACTTAATTATAAAGTTTATAAAAAAGGAAACAAACAAATAACGATTTAAAACAAATTAAAAATTAAATCTGAAAAAACTAAAAAATAATTTTCTGAATTAAAAAACTATCTATAAAAAGTTAAATTTTAAAATAATATTTTAGAAATTTTTTAGACATTTTTTTAGGGTTTTTAAAGGCATTTTTAAAGACATTTTTAATGGTTTTTTATTGGTATTTATTTTTTGAGAAAAATTGTAAACGTTTCAATAGTATATTTATATAAAATATATTTTTTAAAATTTAAAACCAATTTTAAACCAAGAAAAATGTTCTGTAATATTTTAAACATTTTAAAAACAAATTTTGAAATTAAAAAACGTTTTTAAATCACCAAAAAATATATCCGAAATTATCCTAAATTCTTTTTGCTCTAAAGTCCGCACACTTTTAGTACACTTTCTTTTTTAAAATTAGAACAAAAAACTATAATTTTTTTCACTTCATAAGAACCACAATAAAAAAAAAATAAAGATAATCCAAGGGCAGCGGTAATCCTTCCTCCTTTAAAAATACTCACAACCAAGAGCAGCAGGCAGAGCCAAGGGAGTCCCGTAACTGATCGATAGAGCTGCAGGTGGTGGTGGTGGCTGGGCAGGTGGCGGTGCTGCCTCCTCCTGGAGGATGGAGGATCATGATGATGATAGGTTGGCGGCGCGTCGGACATGGTGGCGCGACAGAGACTCGACTCGGTTTGTTGGCGGCCAGCTGGCGAGGTGCGGCTTTTATAATGATGCGGATCGTTGCAGCGGAAAATTTATGCGAATGTGCAGAGCCAAAGAAAAGCAAGAAAAGTGCACAGCCACAGAGAGAGAGAGAGGAAGAGAGAGAGAACAGTAGAGAGAAAGAGAGCGGGGTGAGGGAGAAGAAAAACGCTTCACTTTCGATGACAATTCGAATCGTAATCGACGCACAACACGGCGTATGCGTGATAAGTTCGCCCATTATGAGCCACCGAGACGTACATACAACTGGTTTCTTTGGCTTCAGTTTCGGTTTGCCAGGCTGCCACTTTGATGGCCAATTAAGCCATAAGCCGCAGGTAAAGCCAAGACAATCCCAAACACAAACACAGTTCAATGAAATGAAATGTTTGCCGGATCCACACACAGCGAGCGAGGCCAAGGAGGTAACACGATCGTAATACCCGTAATTGACTTGTAAAATCCTTGCCACCAAAAGGCATTTATTGGGCTAAACGACAGGTGATAGAGCAGTCCCCTTCTGACTAAGCCACTGGGAGTGGAGTAGACTTGGGGAATGCGGCTAATAATTGTGGAAGCGGAAAAATGCATGACCCCCAGGGAGTTTATGTAATTTTTTATTTGGTTGATTTTTATGGAGTTTGAATATACAAATTGTTATGATTTTGCAAATATATTTCAAGTGGGTGAAGCCATAAATATTTGTGTGGCATAAAAATATAAACTTATTATGGCATTCCTTTCGAGTTTTTTTGAAGAAAAAATATTTTTAATATTTATTTTAGCTTAGTTTTTATTTATTGGAAGTTTTTTGGAATAAAAGAAAAGTTAAATCGGTTTTATTTTAATTTATAAAATATTTTAAATATTAATTTCATATATTTTATATTATTTTTTTATTTTATAAACATTTTAAAAATTATTTTTATGTATTTTATACTATTTATTATTTTATAAAATATTTTAAACATTAATTTTAATTAATTTAATTAGAAAAATAAGAAATTAAATAATAATAATAATAATCATTTGTAATTGTTTAAATTCCTTAATAGAATCTTGGGGTTTTTGTCTTTAAATTTAAACTAATATAAATAAAAAATTAAATTATTTTCTGCTATATTTTTTATATATTTTCAAATAAACTAAGTGTATGGTATTTTATGCATATATATTTATTATTATTATATTATTTAGAAATAATCCTATTATAAGTCAATGCATTCATGAAAGCAGGCAGCTTTAATTGATTAACATTTGTGACATAAAATAAACACATTAAAAATAAATAAAAAGACTTAAATATTTATTTAAATTCAATGCAAATCTCGATTAATCAGACTTGGTATTTTTCGGGGCATTTTCCACAACATAAAAAATAAAAATAATGAAGTAAATGGAAACCAAAAGTAGCTTCAAGATGGAATCAGTGGTTTTTGGCTCTCCTCTCCCAGTTGGCGGTTGGCTTCATGGTCACTGACTCAGTGCATAGTAATTAACAAGGAGCCAAGCATGGCCAAAAAATAAAATAAAATACAAATAAAACAACAACAACTAAAGTAAAAATAAAATAATAAATAAAAAATAATTCAAGATAATGTAATTTGCCGAGAGCCAAAAGAGATTTATGATGAAGCTGGTTGGAGTTTCTCTGATTTTAATTTCGATTTACGCAGAACCCCTAAAGGTGGGCGGTGGGCCAGCACAGATTATGGGGATTAAAGCATTTTTTTGGCTTATAGGTTGGGCGTATTCCCGTTGATTGGTTCGACTTGGCGTATACGTGATTGAATGGCCCACAGGGCGTATGATTTATATTTTAATATTCAGCAAGAGAAGCAAAGAAATGAAACTGAAACTGAAACTGAAACCAAAACACTTGCCACACTTAACAGCCAAAGCTAACGATAATGGCCGTAATAATAAAAGCAAAACAATTTTTGCAGCAGCAGCAAAAAGCTGGCAAAAGCGTTTCGGCCCCTCAGCATGTGTGAAGATCAACAACCTTGCCAACATTTCGAATGCGATATAGCCAAGTAGCGGCCTGCCAGTTACAGCGATTGCAATCCATGGCCCGTTAGGTGGCCAAAAAAAAGACGTAAAAATCTGTAAAAAACGGTAAGAGACTTCAACAGATCCAGCTGCCAGCCAGAGGAGCTCACACAGCTCGAGGAGTTGGAGTAGCAGCTGCTGCCGGGAGTAGCTACAGCAGAAGTCGTATGATACAGTGGTGCTATGGATTTTATTTCGGGTAAAAATGTTGATTAGATTCTGGGTTAATTAAAATTATTAATTTAAAATTTATTAAAATTTAAGGATGATTTTTAAGACTTAATTAGACTGAATTAAAAGGCAAAGTATATTCAAATATATTTTTAAAACCATAATAATAATATTAAAAATAGATTAAAATAGAGTATAATATTAAAAATTTAATATACTCTTATTAAAATAAATATAAGAATGATAAAAATGATAAAAATCCCAATTTAACTTTATTTTTTGTTGAATATTGAAATTAAATTTAAAAATAAGTAAAAAAAAAATGGGAAATTTATAATCAATAATAACTTAATATAACTAAAGAACACATAAAAAGCATAAATAGTATTAAAAACTATATAATAATATTATATTTTTATATTATGTTAAAATTAATTACATTAATGTTAAATTATAGTCCAAGTTCCCATTTGAAAATACCCTAAAATTCAATTATTATCTACCTTAAACCCACTTAACTCTAATCTTATAAAGCTTATATTTTATTCCAAAATTTTCCCCACTTTTCTCTGACTTTCTCCCACTGTAACATCAGTTGTAAAATGTTACGACTCGTCTCTTTGGCCCAGACTGCTGCTCTCCTTCCCTCAACGGCTTATTAATTTGTTGCTTCTCTCAGTGTTTTATGGTTCCATTGTTGGGGGCGAGATCATCGTTTAGATCATAATAAGGCCGGGACTTCAAACGGAACGGAAGTCAAATAATGAGATTCCGGACGGGGAAGAAGCCACACCAAAAACTTGGCAGGGTTTCTGTACAAAAAAACCGAGCAAAAACCGTGACAACAATGACAAGCAATTGCCGGACTTTCGATTATATATATGTATGTATATCTTTTCCCTTTAAAAAACAAGTGATATTTGGAACCCCGAGAGAGTGAAAGAGATCTCTGCGTAGATTGGAGGATCAAATAGCAACTAAAAACCACGGAAGTCTCTGTGGAAAGTGGAGACAGGCGCTGCCGCATTTCAAAATTATAGAAATTGGCACAACATTTACCAGACATTATTGCGGCAGGCTGATTATATGCTAATTGTTGGCCGCAGTAATGCCAGTATCTCAGTATGGCACCGAGTCTATCTATCTGGCATTTATTTTTTACGTAAAAAGTGGCATGTGGCAAGGAAGAGACTGCCGTCTTGCCATGTGAAAGCAAACTGCTGAGCTTTGGATTGCATTAGATCAATGGATTAGTTTTATTTAGTTGGATTAATAATATAATATTTAAAGTGGCAATATATATTTTTGTATATTTTATGAAAATATTAAATATAATTTTTTAAATAATAGTTAACGTTAAATTTCTTTGAAATAAATTATATAAAGGTAGCAATAGATCTTTTTCCATATTTATATTTAAAAAAATTAAGCGTTATAAATTTTTAAATAATTATTAAATATTATATTTTAAAAAATTAAGCATTATATATTTTTAAAGAATTTTTTAACAATAAATTTCTTTGTAAAATATAATTTTAAGGAAGCCTTAGATATTTTCCCATATATAGTATCAAAAATAAAACATGAACAATTATGTAACATTATATTATAAAATTTTGAACATTATAATTTTTTAAATAATTATTTAACATTAAATCTCTTTGTAAAATATAATTTAAAGGAAGCCTTGGATATTTTCCTATATATATTATAAAAAATTAAGCATTATACATTTTTAAACAATTTTTAAACATTAAATTTCCTCGAAATATATAATATAAAAATCAAAAGATCATCTTCCATAAATATTAACTACTTTAAAATTAAACATATAAATTTCAAACAAATTATTTAACATTAAATTTCTTCATAATAAACCGGCGGCAGCCCTGTGGGTCCATTTAAAGATGGTTTTGGCTCACATTGATACACCTGAGATCCCCCAGAACGCTTGAAATAAAACGCTGGCATGATCAATGGATCATCCGGATAATTGCCATTCAAAATCATTTGATTCAAAGCCAATTTGCAGTGCAGCACAAAAAGGGCAGTGGCACACAGGGCCACCAGGACGCTCGACGAGCACATCTCCAAGTTGACCGTATAAAAGTGTATATAGATGCCGGTCAGGTGCAGGATACCCAGAATTGAGGCATATACCGCTTCGTGTTTCATTTGCGGCTCCCCCAACAAAAAAGAAGCAATCACCGATGTCAGACATATAAGACTAAGGACATTATAGAAACCACAAAGCACCAGGATATTTGAATGTTGATGATCCTGGCAGCAGCGCCACACGAGGGGCCAGCAGCAGGCCAGAGTGAACAGCAATTCCAAGATCTTGAACACCAGCCACACTTGCTTTTTCAGCATTTTGGTTTGGATAATGTGTAGAAATTTGTTAAGTTTTATAAAAAATAAACTAAAAAAGGGACTTAGATATGGAAACAGAGACTAGTTATGGCAGAAACAGGCTGTCTAGGGGTTTAGAAAGCTGACAAAAAAGGCTATTCCTACTAGAGAAGGGAAGAAATGTAAAATTTAAGGGTAAAAATATATAGAATTAATGCTTAAATATGCGTAATTCAATTTAAAATCGATAAATATGAAAGTTTTTCCTGCCCTAATGGTCATACGAAGGTCTTAAAACTTTCAATTTTTACCTAAGTCAAAGACTTATCCAACAAAAGCTAAGTTTTTCCTCTATTAAAAGCAAATTTCCTCTTTGATTTTCCCCTCCAGCTGTGGCGTGTCAATCTTCAATTCAAACCTTTTGCTTACCTAAAAAATATTTCTGTTACTCTCAAGTTATGCTGGAAAATCAATAATATTTTTATTATATTTTTTTATGGGCTTCGTGCGTGACTTCCTTGAGTTGCCCAATAAAGAAAAGCACATTTTAATTTTAATATTAGTATTGTTTTTTTTTTTCATTTCATTTAATTGCATAAAAATACAGGTATAATGAGTAAGTTCAAGAAGCACATTTTTAATTACGGACTAAATATTGCACACATTGGATCAGCAGCACATTGTTTGGGTTAAACAATTATACAAAATAACACAAACAAACAAATAAAAACACGTACAAAATAAATGAAAAGCGAATGGAACCCTGTCCGAGCGTAGAAAAATGCAGAAAAACTATGCCTAAATTGTGGCATACTCTCGGGCTTTTCCCCCAAATGATTTCTCCCTAAGAGTATGCCTCGGACAGGCTTTTGAATGTGAGTGGAGGCTGGCTTTCAGCCAGGGAATAAATACTAATGGACGGGTTTTCAGGCACAAGAAGCAACCACAATTGTGTTAACAATAAGAGTTAGTCCAGGAATGGCATTCGCTTTGAAGACCACTGAGCTCAGGTATGGATTTTACTTTGTTTTCTAGAGATTTTGGGAATTTTAAAAATACATTTGGAGATTTAAAATCGCTTTAAAAAGGTGTCTAAAGGTATGCAACATTTTTTGTAATTTTTTTTTCTATGAAATCCTTCAAAGTTAAACAATTTTCAAAAGGAAAAAAGTAAAATGGAAATTTCATGAAGAAAATATGGATTTTTACCAGAACTAGCGAATTGAAACCGGATTGAAACGTGTCTAAAAGTATGCTATAGTTTTTTTTTGTAATTTTTAAAATATTAAATCCTTCTTTCCTTCTTTTTCTCTATGAAATCCTTCAAATTTACACAACTTCCAAACAGGAAAAAATTCACATTTCTTTCTAAATTTTTTCAAAAACTCAATAATCCATCCCTTAACTCAGTGTACCCTCTAGTCAGTCACCATTCCCTCATCTCCTTTAGAGGATCAGCCCTCCAGCAGCTGCGTCGTCTTATACTCCACAGCCGAACCCATTTCAGCGCCCAGCTTCTCCCTCACATACTCCCTGATCTGCTGCAGTCTCTTGTCCCCGGGATGCATTGCATCCGCCATCGCTGCTGGCGCTGGTGCAGGTGCTGGTGCTGGTCCTGGCTCTGCCTTGGCTGCCCTCTTACCCTGACGCATCTTCAGACCATGGCTATGCGAGTGGGCATGATAGTTAAAGGGACGCTCTCCCTCTGGCGGCGGTGGCGGCTCCAGGTCAGCTCCTGCCTCATGGGGCTCCTGTTCCGGCTCTGGCAAGTGCTGATGGTGATGATGCTGCTGCTGCTGCTGCTGTTGCTGCTGCTGCTGCTGATGGTATGGATAGGGGTTAAAGATGACCTTGGTGTGCGTGGGCCTGGGATTGTTCTCTGTGATGGGCAGACTGTGCTCTGGCTCGGGTTCCTGCTCAGGAGCCGATGGTGCCTCCGATTCTGGGACATAGATTGGCTGCTGCTGCTGCTGCTGCTGTTGATGCTGATGCTGATGGTGATGCTCTTCCGGCTCTGGCTGGGCCATGGCTATCAGGTAGAGTTGCGGCTGCTGCTGCAGATGCGATTGGGGCTGGGCATAGTAGAACTGTGTGGGCTGCTGGTACTCCATGGGAGCATAGTACTGCTGCTGAGGTTCATAGTGATGCTGTTGTGGCTGGTGGAGATGCAGCTGGAGTTGCTGCTGATGCTGCTGTTGCTGATGCTGCTGTTGATGGTGTCTTCCCTTGTAGCTCTGGTAGACATCATCTATCGGGGCATATTGCACTGGCGCAGGCGTGGGCGCCAACTGGTGGGCATAGCTGACATCCTGATGGTAGCTAGCCGGCTCTGGCTGTCCATATTGCTGGGGTTCTGGCACATGCTGTGGCTGCTGATGCTGCTGTTGCTGCTGCTGCTCTGCCTCCTGCAGCAGACTCAAATACTGAGCTGCCCGTATTTCCAAATACTGCTGAAGTAAAGTCTGCAAATGGGCGGCATATTTGGCGGGTCCTGGTATTCTCAATACAATCACTGGCTCCTGATAGCCACCACCCGACGGCTGATGGTGTCCTTGTCCTTGTACCTCGGCCTCATCTTGAGGCAAATCTATTTGCGGCTGCTCTGGAGCTGTGTGCTGTGGCTCATAGCTGGTTTGTGGCTTCAGTTCGTAGGAGTAGGAAGGCTCTATGGTCACGCTGGTCACTTCGTGCTCATGATGATGATGATGTTGTTGATGCTGGGGCTGCTGTGGCAACTCTTCCTGCTGGGGCTCCGCCTGCTCCTCGGGCAGGGGCGTGGGGTGGGCAAAGCCCGAGGGTATATCGTGCTGGGAGTAAGGATAAAACATGAACTTGGGCGGCGTATAATCATAGCCAGGATGCGAGTAGCCATAACTGTGGGGGAAGTCACAAATTGAAGGTTAATATTTGGGTCTTTCTCAGCTTTTCTTTACTCACCCCAAATCCCCTTCAATGGTCCTCTTGCTGTTCTTGCTGCCACCGCTGCTGGTGGAGTTGTCTCGCTCCACCTTGATCTTGATCTTGTCGCCATGCAGCTTGAACTGCTTGTCCAGTTCTTTGATAAACTCCAGATCATCGGCGGGCAGATTGCCAAAGGATTCGCTCAAGGCTGGAGCGGGAACAGGAGCAGAGGACTTTTTGCTGCTCCTGTTGCCTGTGGTCTTGACAATCTTGACACGCGGCTTGCTGGGCTTGGTGGTGGATGGAGAGCTGCTAATGCTACTGCTGCTGCTACTGATGCTGCTGGTTGAGAGTGGCGTCTTGGTGGGTCGCTTCTTCAGCGTGGTCACCTTCTTGGGAAAGCCACTGCCCTTGGAGCCGCTAGTCTCTGATGTGCTCAAGCCGCTGGCCAGGCACAGCAGAGCACTCAGGGTGCCCTGTAAAAGGGAAATTAGTTATTCATTAAATTGTATTTTTATTATTTATTAAATTATTATTATTTATTTATAGTATGTAAAATATGGCGCAGGGAATAAAGAAAATAATTAAATTAATATTAATAATATTAAATTAATATTGAAAAAATTAAATAATCAAATTAATAGTATTTTCCTTTAATAATATCAATAATTTTCTAATTTAATTACACCAAGGCAAGAAAATTTAATTAAAAAAAAAAAGTTTCTAGTGAAATGTTTGCTAGTCAAATGTTACTAAATAAATCTAAAAAAAAGTTTAGCAACATATCTTAGAGCTTTTCTGGTTTTAGTGTTTAAAAAATACAATTTTCCTATAAAAACTCCAATAAAAAATATTTAAAAAATACAATAAAAAAAGTTTATAGTGAAATGTTGTTAGACAAATGTTGCTAAATAAATCAAGAATAATGTTTGGCAACATATTTTAAAGCTGGCAACATATTTTAAATATATGTGCCTGCTTTTATTATTTTATAACCACAATTTTGCCATAAAAACTCCCAATAAAAATATAAAAAAAATACATAAACAATGAAAAAGCAACAAGTTCTGAACTCTGTGAACTCAATTTGCCTTTTGGTTGGACCATCAAGTTCATAGCTGCAATTTACCAAATCTCTTTTATTTATTTTTTCCTTTTGATATTTTAGCTTGGATTGTGCAAATCGTAGAGGCTTTTGTTTTGGCCCGATCTTTGTTCGGGCCTTTTGTTCAAGGTGAGAGGCAAAGACAAAATAAAGACTACAATAACAGCAACAAAAATTACAAATAACAAATGACAAACTGCACACACAAAGGCTGCTGTTGTTTGGTCTCGATTTCGCTCTCAATATCGATCGTAAACCAATCGATATTCGAACACACGAAGAAGAGGTTTCACATTTGACATTTCATCAAGCCAAGCCAAGTTGCTCTGCCATCTGTTTATATTTCTTCTTCTGCTGCTTTTGTTGTGTTGTAATTGAATCTTGCTGCGGTCGCGTTCGTGTCTTAAGTCTTTCGTTTGCCGCGTTTTGGAGTTTGTGTCTTGAGTCTTTCGATGGCAACAGATAAGCTAATAATGCGTCAAATCGGTGACGATTAACTGGGTGATAATTATTAGAGGGGCTGCAGGTTACTACAACTACTGATAATTCATTTAAGAACTAAACTAAAATTAAATTCAAAATAATATTAAAAATATAAAAATATATTCAAAAAAATTAAATAAATAAAATAAATTAAATTAGAATTATTTGTATAATAATTAATAATTAATAATTATACAATATAAAAAATAAAATAGAGGTAAAAATAAGAAATTAAAAAAAAAAATGGGTTTGTAAATAAGGAAATAAATAAGTAAATAAATAAATAAATAAGTTAAAATAAATAAATAGAAAAAAATGAGCTATTACATAAATAAAAATCTAAGAAAGTAAATTTAAAAATAAATAAAAAAAACAAATAAAGAATTTTTTATTTATATATTTTTTTAAATAAATACCATAATATTTAAATACAATTTCACCTAAATCAATGCATTTATAAACTTTTAAATGTCACTTTAGTAGTTATAAATTTCGCAATAATTAATCAAAAATCTAAAAAACGAATTTTCAATTAAAGTTTAATTATTTATATTTGTTTAACCATAAAAAAATAACTAAAGAATTAAATTAATTAATTTATAAATAAATTTCGCCCTAAATCTAAATTAAAAACAATTTTCTATTAAAATGTACTTATCTGTTTACTTTTTGTAATATTATTATATATTTTTTACTTGTTTATTTTTTGTTATCCCTATCATCTGCTTTGAAAATATATTGCAAGAGACAGCACTTTAATTATTGCAAAAGTAATTTGCATTAATTGATGCAATCGAAAGCATTCCACGCCTCTCTCCCAGCCATGTTTTCCAGTTGGCCAGCAATAAAAAATTCGCCTATCTGGCTGGATAGTTGCTTTTAATTGCATTTTGTCACTCAATTATCCAGGCGAGAGTGTGTGTGTGTGTGTTGTGTGTGTGTTACCCGAAACTGGGACAGTGTGTCAAGTCAAGTCGAGTCATTTTAATAGCTGCTGCCGCCTGGGTTGCTTATGTAGCAGTTTTTATTTGGGCCGTTAAGCAGGAAGACTTTTTCGGCAAACAACATTCAACCAACAAAAGGCTTACATTTCAGTGAATTTAATAGTGTTTTTTTGTTGTTGTTATTTTGTGTAAAATCTTAGCATTTGCTGGCTTTACATAAGCGACAAACCGTTGGATCTGTCTTTTTCGCATTGATTTATCTCTCCGCTGCTCTAACTATTTTCTGTAATAACTTAATTTAATTGCCAACGGGTTTGCCTTTCTCTTTTTTTGCAAAAGAATTTGCTGTGAAAAAAAGACTTTTTAGTGGGTGATACTTTCTCGGAAAAATCTGGTGAGGGGAAAACAAACAGAGGGAAATCACAGGGGAAAATCACGGCTAACGATCGTCACGCAACGCGTGCAAATTAGTCGGACTCGGTTTTGCGTTGCGTTTTTGTTTTGTTTTCTTTTTCAGTTTTTTTTTTTTGGTTATTGTTTCCCTCGTTTTGCTTTTAATGTTGCATCATCTGCAGCAGCAGCAGCAGCAGCCACATCAAAGCCAAGCACAACAATAAAATGTAAATTAGACAACTACAGATTATCCTGCCTGCCAGTGAACCCCTCCTCAAGCCTCCTCAAGCCCCCTCCACCACCTCCGCCTCCTGCTTATGGCGAGTGTAATAACTTTATGTAACCACATGAGCGGCGACCACAAAACGAGTTCTTCTGGCGTCGCTCGAGTTTTTTTTCAGCACTGCCATGAAAAGCAGGGGGAATTTTCTTTGAATAATTCATAAAGAATAAATGTAAAAAAATATAAATATGTATAAAAAATATAACAAATATATAAATAAATATACAAATAATATAAATAAATATAAATATATGTAAATTAAATATAAATAAATGGAAATAAATGTAAATAATATTTTTAAAAATATTTAAAATATACAAAAAAAAATAATAATAAAAAAATATAAATAAATGTAAAATATATAAAAAATATAAATATATATAAATAAATGTAAATTAAATAAAAGATCATAAATAAATGTATAATTAGCCAGGTCTGAAGACCTTTAAGAAATTTAATTAAAGTTTTTATTTTATTTTTAGTTAAACATTTTTTAGGGTGGCATTTATGATTTTATATTTCTTTAAAATCCTTCAAATATTTAAAATTAAACCTTAAAAATAGTTGAAATATTTTTAAAATTATTCATTTTATATTTAGAAACTTGATTTTAAATTCTATTTAGTTTTAAAAATTTTCAAGGGAATATTTTATGATTTTATATCCCATTAGAATCCTTGAAATAGTAAAATATATCAGTAAAAATAATTAAAATAATTTATAATTTATTAATTGTATTTTAGAAATATTTAAAAAAATTTTTAGAAAGCTTAGTAAAGCTTGAAAAAAAATCTAAAATATTTACTGGATTCTATAAAGACGACTTTTTTCATTATTTTTTTATGTATATTATATGTTGTATATTTTATTATATTTATTTATAAAACTTAATTAATGTTTATTACATTTCTAGACAATCTCTTTTATTTTTAACAATTAAGAAAATTTTAAGATATGTTTTTTAAGTACTCAAAGATTCATTAAAATGTTTTTATATATTTATTTTTATTTTTACTTTAATCATTTGTTTATTTATTATTTTATTTTCTTTAATTATTTCTGTTATTTATTATTTATTTATTTATTATTATTATTTATTTTCTTTAATTATTTCGGTTATTTATTATTATTATTGTTTATTTTTTTTTATATATTTATGTATTAAGATATTTAGGCATTTTTTTATTTTTTAATATCATAATGCATTTTTTAATTTATTAAAATTACTCCAAATGGTTATGTTAGTTATTATTATTATTAATTAAACGCTTAAAAAATCTTCTTCTAGCTTTATAGAAGTTATTGTTATTATAAATATTTTTTCTTGACTTTTTTTTAAGGTTTTTCCTGATGTTTCGCACTAAATTTAAATGCCATTTTTGTTGAACAATTTACCACAAAAATTAAGCTAATTAAGTGTGAAAATGAAGCTTAAAATACACAAGGCTATTGCTTGGCAAAAACAATTAACTGATTGTCTACATTTTTAAACTATTTCCTTGATCTTTAAATATTTTTCAAGCTCATCTTGAATTATTATAAATAAACTAACCCCTATTAAATAGGCTATTAACGGCTCCTTCACTCTCTCAGTGTAGGCAATTTGCGTAAACGGATTGCTTGGTGGCTGGTGGCTGGTGGCTGGGACTTGGACCACGTTTGGGGGGTACTCAAGCCCGTCCAATTAGCGGGCGATAAGCGACTGACTGACCCAGCGGCACCCTCGGCACCATGATTGATGGACACGATGAAGGCAGATACGGATGTGGACATGGTCTTAGGGACAAGGGCAGTGTCAAAGCTATGGCAGGCGAAGCGAATAGGTCAAGATTGTATCTGGTATCTTGTATCTGTTAGATACTATCCACGGGAAGTTCATTGCATCCCCAGGTTGAGTGAACTGCAGCCACTTTCCCAGGTAACCAAGCCGGCTCTGCAACTGCGCCACCTGAATGCAAATCAATTTGTCAGCCGCCTAGCAACTTGTTTCCTTTTTTTTTCAGCTAGTTTTTGTTGTTTTTTTTTTTGCACTAAAAAAATTGCACAATTCGATGGGGGTGCGTCTGATCCCCGACTGATTTCCGGGTCCCAGATTATTGTGCAATCTCCCAGCCTCCTCCAGTTTACAGCCTCCCAGCAACCAGCTACCAGCTACCATTACTTACCAGTATCAAAGCCAGTCTCATGGTCGTTGCCGCAGGTTCTCACACAGTTTGTGTAACTTAATTTATTATTATTTATTACTTGGCTTGCACTTTAGTTCCGTTTAGTCTTGTTTTTTGTTTTTATTATTATTTTGGCACAACAAAAAAAGTATGGGTAAGGGGCCGCTTTTGTGGGGATTTCATATATATATATTATAGATTTATATATTTTTTTTTGTATAAGGAATTTCTCGTGGGGAATGCGATGCCAGCGTTCAAAAGTCGCGCCTCTTACTGCGGATGGCGCTGGCGATGATCACGGTTTTTATATGGCAGCCACAACAGCAGCCACAACGGCAGCAAACCACTTCGTCTTCGGGTTGCATCAAGAGCTGGATTCGCACTCGGATTCGGATCGCTGTGGGAATTATACACAGTGAAAAACAGAATCTATAAAACCAGAAAAAAGGTTTACATTTTGTGGGTGATATTAAAAAATATTTGAAAATATTGTAATTATTGGAAATATTAAAAAATTTTTGAAATGTTGAAAAAATTGAAAATATTGAAAATATTGAAAAATATTGGAAATATTGGAAAATATTGAAAATATTGAAAATATTTTAAAAAATTGAAAATTGAAAATTTTGGAAAATATTGAAAATATTGTAATTATTGAAAATATTGAAAATATTAAAAATATTATAAATATTGAAAATATTATATATATGGAAAATAATGAAAATATTGGACAAATATTGAAAGTATTTAACAATATTAAAAATATGGAAAGTATTGAAAATATTGAAAAATATTGAAAAATATTGAAAAATATTGAAAAATATTGAAAAATATTGAAAAATATTGAAAAATATTGAAAAATATTGAAAATATTTTTCTGGCAGTGCAAAATAATGTTTAGTTTTGAACTGCTGTCTTTGGAGCAAAGCCGAAGTCGAAGGTGGATCGTGGACTGTGGCCAGGTGAAGATCAGGGGGAATCGGAGATCGGAAAAAGCAGAAGCGGATAGTTCAGCGCCAATGACACCGCACGTAGTAACTCCGGCGGCACAGCTGTGTGTGTGTGTTCCAGCCGGAGTGTCTGAAGGTGTAGGTTGCCTGGGATTGCCCCAAAACTGTAAAGAAAAGTGCTTTAGATACCGAGACAGAGAGATGCAGATGCAGATCCCAGAGATACGGAGGAGACTCGCTGCGGAACTGGAGGGTGAAAATGGGTGGCCTAACGTTACCTGACTTCTTAAGACCAAAAAGACAACCCTCTCCCCTTTGGCAATTGCTTTCGCTGCTTTTATCTCTTACCAATAAGCTCAACTCTATTGTATTTAAATTGTGTGTATTTCTTGGCATTTTACACGATTTTCAGTAGTTGTAAAACAAATGTTATATGTGCGTTTTTTTTATCTGAATTGGTTTTGCGGGAATATATATATATAAATATTTATAGCTATTTAATCTGAAAATATGAAAATATATATGTAAAGGCAAGCTTGTGGCGTTTTTATTTTCATAATACATTTAATGCTTGACGAAGTGGAAAATGGAGAGGGTGTTGTTATAGTTTATGATGGATATTATTGTTAAATGTTTGATATTTTTTTAATGGTAGAAAATTTGGGAGTTTAACAGGATTTTGGTTTGGTAATAGAGAAATTTATATATATTTTATATATTTTATATATTTTAAATTTATTTTTTATTATTAAATTTATATATTTTTTATATATTTTATAGGTTTTATGTATTTTATATATTTTATGTATTTTATATATTTTATATATTTAATATATTTTATATATTTTATGTATTTTATGTATTTTATATATTTTATATTTTTTATATATTTTATATTTTTTATATATTTTATATATTTTATATTTTTTTGTATTTACTATTTTTTATTATTTATAATTCCTTAAATGCTCAAATTCCATCTGAAGCTAAGTTGCCTTTAAAAACAACCTGCTGTCTTTATATTCTTTTATTTTATTTAAATTTTTAAGTCCCTTTCAATTTGTATTTTTAAGGATAAACCTGTTCTTTTAATAATTCCCTATATCTTTATTTTTTTTAATATAAAATCATAACTGCTGCCATACATTTCCCAGCCTGAGAATCGTGGGCCTAGTGACCTTGCCTCGCCATGGGAGAGCTGCCTTTCACAAAAGGCTTAAACCAATATATATTTACGATATATGTATATATAGCTGTTCGATCCCAGACCTTTCGAATTTCTTTGACTAAGCTTTTGTCTCCACTTTTCCAGTTCAAGTTCAAAGTCATAAAACAGAAGATGAACACAACGACAGAAAAATATACAAAAAATTGGCGCAACTTTTGCTGCCTTTCATTTTGAGTGAATACTTTATTATTATTATTATTATTTTGTGGTTGTATTTGATTATTGTTGCTGCTGCTGCTGCTGCTTGGTGTGTGTTACAAATGAAAATTTGCATAAAAACAATTGCATTGAGAGGGGAGAAAGGAGAGTGCCGGCGAGTAGTGGCAATTTAATTGGCGCATTAACTTGTCTTCGCCTGGGCTTGGCCCGAAACCTATGTGGCTTTTTTTTGGATTTTCTGGGGATTGGGATTGGGTTTTGGGTTTGGGATTTGGTTTGGCGAAAAGTGAAATGGCATAACAAGAGTGGCTTTTTTGGGGGTCTCTTTGGTGTTAGATTTGGGCTTGGGTTGGCTTGGGTTGGCTTGGTTTGGTTGCTTCGTTGTTTTCGCCTCATGATGATGTTGAGGGTTTTGTAATGCCTTGAGCTTTGTCCCACAAAAAAGGCGTCAAGATAACGATAAAAAGCTAAAGATAACTGAACAGAAAAAAAAATTAAATAAAGAAATAAAGAAATATATAAAAGACATTCGTAATCACGTGGCAACTGCACTGTCGAAAGTGTCTCTGTGTCTGTCTCTGCCAAGCCCAGGGTCATCGACAATCTCTAGGAAACTTTAACTGAAAAGTTGTATTTTAATTAAAAAAAAAAAATTGTTTAAAAATTTCTTCTCCTTATAAAGTGCTTGGTAAGGGATTTTTATATTTTTATTTATAATTTTCTTTTAATAAAAAAGGGAAGAATTATTAATACAAATATTTAAAAATGTTTAAATATATATAGAAGCATTTTTTAGCTTTTCTTTAATCTCTCCATATCATTATAATTTTAATCATCATTTTTTAACTTTTTATTTTCACTTCTAAAATTTTCCTTGACCAAATCTTCTCCATTCTACCCATTCTCAATTCAGCTTTTTCACTTTTTCCTAGACTTTATCGATAAGCGAAAAAAAAGCAATTGAAATGTTGGTCAGCTCCATCGATTCCTCTTAAAAAAAAAAATAGTAAAAAAAAGAAATACAACAAAGACCGAGGCGAATCGCTGCGTGGCTAAGCAAACATTGCACAATCCGCCAACTTGGGGCTTTGGCTTTAACTTCAGTGTTGGCTTTAGCCTCAACCTTAGAGCGATTTCAACTAGCCGTGCGGCTCATTGTCCGCGCGATGCAACAATGTCACTTAGTCAGCGGCTTTATGCGCCGCTTATTTATTTATTTATTATTTATTATTTACGAGTGTGTATTATTCCCCCTGCGGATTGAACAGAAGAAGATCGTCAGATCGAGAAGGCTGACCGTGGGCAGTTACAAAAGGTGGAACGATGATGGCCCTTTATTGAATTCCCTATTCAAAGGTAGAGTTACGAGCGGGCCTACGACTTACGGGGGTTTTCAGACACAAACTAGAGCGGGATTTGAACCGGCTAGAAGGTCACTGGCCCTGGTAACAGAGGGAACAGAGAGTCTTAAGTTAACTAAATGAAATAAAAAATAAATAAATAATAAGAATACTTTACTAGTCAGAAGGGAATTCTTTTTTATATTTATAAAATATTTTAATATATTTAAAATATATTTTTATATATTTATAATATTTTTTTATGTAGGTAATTATAATATATTTATTTATTTATAAGCTGGAAAAGCATTTAAGGAATCCTTTCCGACCCTATAAATCATATATATTATTGATCAGCATAAACAACCGAGTTTATCTAGACATGTTTTGAAGAAAAAAAAATTTTTAATTTTTTCAAAATTTTAAAAGGGGTTGCATCGTTGAAATTCTCAAAAATTGATAAAAATGTTTAATTTTTTAAATTTATAAAATTAAACTGCAGATTTATTAACTATCTAAAAACTAAGGCAAAACTGCTTTCCGAATTAAATTTAATGCATTTTTGGTTGAGTTAGAGATTTTTTAAATTTGGATTTTTTTCCAGAAATTTAAAAAAAAAATTCAAAAATTAAAACATTTTATGAACAAATTTAAAACAAATTAGCAAATAAAAGTTTTTTTATTATAAATGTATTGTGTTCTTATTTTTTTAATTATTTAATGTATTATTTAAATTTATTTAATTTTTATTGAAATTAATTTAATTTATTATTTAAATTTAGTATTTAAATTTATTTTATTTTATGTTTTAAATATCTAAATTTATTTAATTTATTATTTAATTTTTTTTTAATTTTAATTTATTTTTTAAATATATTTTATTTTATTTTTTAAATATATTTTATTATATATTTTAAATATATTTTATTTTATATTTTAAATGTATGTTATTTTATATTTAAAATATATTTTATTTTATATTTTAAATATATTTTATTTTATATTTTAAATATATTTTATTTTATAATTTAAATATATTTTATTTTATTACACCCAATACCGTACTTATTTTCCTAAGTGCATCATCTCCGGAACCAAAAACGGCGGCCAGGAAATATGTCTGACTCTTGCACCCTTAAAGCCAGGGCAGGGCAGGGCATTGCAGGGCATGGCTTGTCATCATCAACATCTACATCACTTCCACCAGCGGCATCTCCTGTCGCCATCTCCGTCTCCATCTACATCTTTAGCTCCGCTTCCCCCTGCCTGGCGTCTGGCATATTTAATGGATGACAAACAATGCGGCAATTTTGGCCTGCCCCCCTTTTTTCGCCTGCCCCTGCGGGTGAATCTTGGCATTTATTGCTGCCACCGCCAGTGGCAGCTTCATTAACAGCCATGAGATGGCCGAAACGGCAAACACACAACAAATATCAGCATCAGCTGCATCTCTGCAGAGCATCGCGGCATCGCAGCATCACAGCATCAAAGCATCGTGTGGCATCTTCGCTTCCTACTTGCATAAATCTGCGCGACGACTGGTTGGATTTTTGAGGAGCCCCAGTGCGACGGCACAGTGCCACACAAATCATAACCCCATCATTTTGTGGCCACTCCGTGTGGCGTCGCACCTTAATTGTTTGGCTTTATGGAAGGTGATTACGTGATCAAAGAGCTGGAGGAGATGGAGGAGCAGGAGGAGCAGGAGGAGCAGGAGGAGATGGAGGAGATGGAGGAGGTGAAGGAGGTGAAGGAAATGGAGGAGATGGAGAAGCTGGAGGAGATGGTGGAGCTGAGGGAGCTGTAGGAGCTAGAGGAGCTAGAGGAGCTAGAGGAGCTAGAGGAGCTAGAGGAGTCCCCGGAGAGGCAGAATGAGAGATGTGCCAGGCGTTTAGCTCATTGTAAAAGTCACATATTGCACATCTGATTCGATTGGCTTTAGGCTTTTTGGCTTCAGGCTTTTGGCCTGGCTTTAAACGGGAATCTAAAGACGAGTCTCTGGTCAGGTTATGTGATCATTTGATACCCGAGATCTCTCCACCAAAAAGCAGGTGGAAAATAAAATGAAAACATCTTCTCCTTTCGCTGCAATAAATATTCGTATTTTTTATTTTTAATATATTATTTTAGTTGTTAAAAAAATAATAATTATAAAATTTTTAAACTAAAAACCCCTTGAAATCCATTTACTCCTTTGATTTCCCCTGCAGGGATTTCTTGACAATTCTCCTCGTGGAATCCCTTTTGTACAGCCTGAGATGCTGTGGCGCCGCATAGGCCAAAGTCTGACGTTGAACAGGATTGAACTCTGCTCCTCCTACTCCTCCTCCTGCTCGCCTGGAGCCCTGCTCTCGGATCAGGCGCAGCACCTCCCAGCTGGGTATATACGAGTCCAGCAGCGACTTGGAGTTGCGTCCCGCAAACAGATCCGGCGTGGGATCCGGCTGGGAGGGTCGGAAGGGCTTGGAACCATAGCCGGCGCCAGGTGGGGGTCTCCTGGTGGTGGTGATGCTCACAAAGCTGGGTGGATAGGGCAAAGGGATCCTGGGTCCATTGGCATAATGACGGGGGGCATAGGCAAACTGCTTGGACTGAGGTGGTGGCACAAAGGAAGCAGCCACTAGCTTGGGGGGTCTAGATGGTAAATGTCCAGATGCCTGTCCTGGTGACTGTCCCTGGGTGAATCCATAAACAAAAGGCGGCCTGCCATTGGGCGGTGCCAGGGGTCTGGGCACGGGCAGGGGCAAAGCATTACTGGCCACATATTGGACACCATTGAGACCCAGTTCCAGGTCAAAGGGCACTATGGGCTTTAGGAAACGTGTGGCAGCGGTGGTTGGGGTTGTGGGAGTGGGCGTGGCTGCCGTGGGTCCGCTGGGAAATTTAAAAATAGAGAGGAAAATTATTAGGAAATTAAAAAGCAAAGAAAATAAGAAGCTCTTAAGTCTAATTCCCATAATTACCCAACAATCCTTAAGCTCCATTTGTCGGAAGCCCAATTGTAAGTGAAATGCCTGACACTTCAACACTTTTTCGGTGAAAGAGTTAACCTAACTGTTAACTTAAGTAGCTTAACTCTTAACTTATGTCTTAAGTTAACTTGAGGAAATTGCCTGAATTGTCTTGACTTGGGTTTTAACCACCATTTAGGCCACAAATCGCTGCTTATTTTCATTTCTCTTACCAATTTCCAATTCGCCAGCCTCAATTTGCACATCAATCAATCAATCAACAGAGCTACTAACGAGCCCTCAATCAGTGGCTTTTATTTAGTATTTTCTATATATATTTTTTTTGGTGACTAACTGAACTTTATGGTGGTGAGTGATTATAGGTTTTTAGTTACTTTGGCTTAATTTGTGCTTAAAAAAATTTAGTTTTTAGCTTAAAATTGTTAAGAAAAAGTTTTATTTTAATAAAATATATATAAAAATATTATTGAATTCATATTCTGTGTAAAAAAAAACCTTTTAAAAATATTATTTATTTAATAAAACAAAAAACAAATTAAAGTAAACGAAATATATTTATAAATTGTCTAAATATATATATTTAAATGAAAAAAAAAAACCCTTTTAAAAGTATTATTTAATTAATAATTCCAAAATAAATTAAGGTAATGTCATATTAAATAGGTTTTTTAAGTTTAAACAATTTATTTACTTTTAAAATCTCAATTCTTTTTATTTTTAAGCTAAGTTTGTGTTTTAAGTTCTTCTATTTTTTAAGCCAAGTTTGTGCCTTAAGTCTTTCGTTTTTCTTAAATTTTTTCTTTTTAAAAACTTTTAATCTTTTAGCTTTTTTCCTCTTAAATAATTGTTAATAAATTTTCAACTTTTTAAGCCCACATGCTTTAAGCTTAAAAATTAACTTTCTAAAAAAGTCTTTAACCCGCCAAGTTTTATTACCAACTAGAGCTTGCTTTTGGGCCAAAGCTCACAAGCTCTAGCACAGCGAGTTTTCCAGCCTTGACTTGGCTTTAAAAAGCTTTACTTTTCAAATAAAAAATATATATATATATATACTCACACATAGAGCACACCTGGCAGGTGGGAGGGAAATGCATAGCCGGCGCTCAGTTGCTGATGCTGTTGCTGCAGCTGACGCAGCTCCTCCAGTTGCTGCAGCCTCTGCAGCTCCCTTTCCCGTTCCCTTTCCCTATGGGCAGCATCCTGCAGATAGCTGGGCGGCAGACTGGCCGCCACATCGGGTCGCCATTCGTAGTGATTGGGCAGCAGAGGCGGTCGATTGAGGTCCAAGTGCTGATGCTGCTCCTGTTCACGCTCCAGATCCTCGAGGCGTAGAGGCAGGGGTGAGGTGTCGTCATCGTTGTAGCCGGGTGGAGAGAGCACAGCCTGGGCGGTGGTTAAGATGGTCAGGAGGAGAAAGAGCAGGTGGTGGGGTAACTGCAGGGGAGAGGGAGATGAAGTTTTATTTTTATTTTATTTTATTTTATTTAAATTTAGTTTATTTTTATTATTATTATTATTATTTATTATTTTATTTTATTTTATTTTTTTTAATTTATTTTATTTTTTATTTTTTTTATTATTATTTTTTTTTTATTTTATTTTATTTTTTTTTTAAATTTATTTATTTTTATTTTTTTTCTTTTTATTTTTTTTACTTTCTTTTATTTTATTTTATTTTAATATTATTTATTTTATTTATTTATTGTTTTTTTTTAATGATGGATTTTATTAAATATTTTTTTAATTATATTTAAAATCTTAGAAATATTAAGAAAATATTATGAAAATATTTAGTAAAAAGTAAGAAAATCTTATAAATTATATAATATATATAAACACAAATTAAAATAATTTTAAAATATTTAAATATATATTTTAATAAATAAAACAAGCCTTGCTTATACCTTTAAACTTCTATTATTTTAACCTTCTTTGCAATTTAAACTCGTTTTATATCATCACTAAAAAATCATAAAATCATAAATTCCAGCATTAAAAATTCTATAGGTCAAAGTTTTAAATTGTTAAAAATTTGTTATGCAAAAAATTTGCATAGGAAAAAGTAAGAAGCTGAAAAAAAAAACCTCTAAGCCGCACAGACAAAGCCTTTTGTATTAGTTTTTGATTATTGTAAATATTACAAAAAAAAACTACAAAGAAACTATAATAATTTTCAGGCAATCCTCTTTATTCCAAGCCGACCTTGACACGTCTCTCCTTTTTCTCTTCATTTTCTTTAAGTGTATTGCAAGTTTGGCTCTTTGAATTAGTCGCCACTTTTTGTGTTGTAAACTAAATTTGTTTGGTGTTTTGTTTTATTTTGTGTTTGGTGAAAGGCTTGGTTTTTGGCGCCTTTCGCTGCCACGCCCCCTTAAGCGCCTATTGATGCGTTTAATTGAGTTTTGACCAGTTTTAATTTCGGCTCAAAACCAAGAAATGGCAAAAGGGCGGGGCGAAGTGCTTCCCCGTTTTGTGTTTTTTATACATTTTTGTTGGTCAGGTGGAAAGATTCAACGGATTAACGAATTAACCAAGATAAATTCAGTGTGAAATTTTGTGCAGGCCAAGCCCAAGGCATCTTTTTTATTAGATTAAAAAGTAAAGTTAAGTAAAACCAGAAGAAGAAGTTCATACAAATCCACCTGCCGGCGAAGGCCGCCCACCAAAATGATAAGCCTTTCTAAAAAAAAAAAAAAAACTTTGAGAAAACCAACCAAAAGAGGCTTAAAGCTTATGGCCATTTGTCACGCGATGGCCAAGAGGAGGCTGGAGGCGGCAGAAGCATTCCAAGCGATGTTGCAACCTTACTGCGAAAAAATAACTGCAAAACTAGTTCCCAAAAGCCAAGTCACATGCGTGCCCCAGATTTTGGTTTGCCTCCTCCGAAAGAAATCATTTTTCGGTTTTCAGTTTTCAGTTTTCAGTTTTCGGCTAATGATCCCAACCAGGTCAAATGACATAAGACCCATAAGATGGATGCAAATGCAGTTTGATTGATGGCCAGCCGGCGCTAATGGAGTGCGCAGCGTTAACACGCGTAATTTGCGGCCCCCAAAAAAAAAATAACAAAACAAACAGCGACCACACAAAGTGTTAAAAACGGATGAAAAACCAATACAGCAAATAAGTATAAATACAAAAAAAGATGGACAAAAAACTATGTTGAAAATAAATGTTGACAAAAAAAAGCACAAAACAAAAGACTCAAGACACAAACTTGCCACAGGGACAGAGCATGAACTTCGATTAGATGAAGCTTAGATGATGGTCTTTTAAGTTTAACTGGGTTCTAGGGCAATGTCAGACTACATAGGATAAGCGATATATATAGAATATATATATAAATAATAAGTAGTTTAAGATTTTTAAAGCAAAATAAATAATTAACTTAAGGGATGAGCGTCAAAGTTAAGGGTTTTTATAAAAACTATACAAGTTTAAATTACATAAACGTATTTTAAAATTAAATTTAAATTTATATACAAAATATTTCTTAATAATATATATATATATTTTTTTAATATTTAAATACAATATAAATATATATTTTTTGTAATTTATTTTTTATATAAATTTGCAAAGTTCTTCAGACTCAAGACGGCTTTCATTTTATAAACCTATTTAAATTTATATAAAAACAAGAAAGGAAGCTAACTTCGGCACGCCGAAGTTTGTATACCCTTGCAGATTGGTTTTGATGTTTATTTTATAGATTTAAATGCTGAAAACACTCACAAAACAGAGTTTCATTACATTTTACCTATACTTATTATGTTTACAGTTTGACAGTTACAGTTTTACATTCTCAGCTTTATATATTTTATACATTTACCGATCGCTTCTATGGCAGCTATAAGATATAGTTGTCCGATTTTTATGAAATTTATACCAAAATTCTAGAATAATAAAAAAAACGTATATCTCAGAGTAAATAAAAATGCGTTGAAAAACAACGAAGCTATAATTTTATTTCTATTAATTTCTCGATCGTTCCTATGGCAGCTATATCATATAGTCGTCCGATTTTCATAAAATTTTTACCAAAATTCTGGAATAATATAAAATGGCTATATCTCAAAAATGATGCAAAAATATTGAAAAACAGCCAAGTTATACTTTTTTTTCTAAAAATTTATCAAACATTTGTATGGCAGCTATATGATATAGTCGTCCGATCCGGCCCGTTCCGACATATATAGCAGTGAGAGCATATAGAAGACTATATGCAAAGTTTCATTCAGATAGCTTTAAAACTGAGGGACTAGTTTGCGTAGAAACAGACAGACAGACAGACGGACAGACGGACAGACAGACAGACGGACAGACGGACAGACAGACAGACGGACAGACGGACATGGCTAGATCGACTCGGCTGTTGATGCTGATCAAGAATATATATACTTTATAGGGTCGGAAACGTCTCCTTCACTGCGTTGCAAACTTCTGACTGAAATTATAATACCCTGCAAGGGTATAAATATATGTTTTTTTTTAAATATATGTTTTTAAAATATTTATATACATTTTTTTGTATATTTATATTTTTAAAATATATAAAAAAAAATATAATAACATTTAAATAAAATAAAAATATTACAACAAAAAATGTAAAAAAAAAGACATTTTATTTATATATATTTTGTAATAATTATAATTTCTAAGTATTATATTTTGAAAAAGTTGTTTATAAGGATTAAAGACACAAACTAACTTAAATCTAAAAAAAATATTTGTGTAATTAATAAACCTTAGATTTAATGTTAGATTTTATGCATATATTTACCCCTCTCTCTTGAGTCTTAAAAAAGCATAAAATATAAATCCGTTTTCAGCTAAAAAATTCCTGAAAGGAAAGTAAAACCCCTGCCTGCTGCTGGAACTCGCCTATTTTTATCCGATTTATCCGGCTTCCGCGCCCAACTTTCCCCCTTTTGTATGGCACAATAATACCCTTGAATGGCCACAGATAGTGGCCGCGGTGACATATCGCATCATCAATCAATCGTTGGACCATGAAATTGTCTCATTAGAGATACTTTGTTTTTCACTTTTCGTTGATTTTTTTTTTTTACGAACAACTCAATCGGACATTCTCTGGTGGGATTGCCAATTCTCCACGTGTGAGCTGAGCTCTTTTGGGTTTATGTAATCAATATACTTGATAAATATTTGTAATAATAATAATACAAAATAATATTAATAATAAAAATTAATAATAATAAAAATAAAAATAAAATAAAATAAAATAATATATAATATAATAAATAAAAATAACAAATAATAATAATAATAAATATAAAAATAAAAAAAAATTATATATAAAATAATAAATAAATATAACCAAAAAAAAAAAAAAAATAAAATAAAAGAGAATACATATATCAAATAATAAATAAAAATAATAAATAATAAAAATAAAAATAAAATAAAATAATATGTAAAATAATAGATTAAAATTATAAAAATAAAAAATATATATAAAGAATAATAAATTAAAAAGAATATAACAAATAATAAATAAAAATAATAAATAAAAATTAGAAAAATAAAAAAATATATATAATAAATATAGATTTATATATAGATTTATTATTATTTTTATTATTTCCTATATATTTCTTTTTGACAAGGTAATATCTAGTTAAATCTTTTAATTAGTTAATTTTTATTCTTATTTTTATTTATTTTTTACATATTTTCTTTTATACATATTTTTAAATTTTATTAAGTTTAAGTTACTTTTGGCCATCATTTTAAAATTTTCAGTTTTTAATTGTTTATAATATATAATAAATAAAAGTAAAAATTATATTTTACTATACTAATAGTAATAGTAGTAGGTAGTAGCTATAAGAGATTTAATATATAATATTATATAATATACCATATTATACTTTAATTTAATTTATTATCCTGGAGCATCAAGAGTTTACACTTAGAATTGTAGCACTAGTCACAATATATATTATGGTTATTTATTATTGTTTATATTTTTTAACTATATTTCCTCTATCTTCAATTCGATCTTGATTAAAAGTTCTATTACTCTTGTGATCTCCACTTAAGATTCCTTTCCTTTCCGGGTCAGTTACATATACGCACCATGATTACAGTATCCCGTTTATGGTCTCCTCCGTTTATATTGATGATGATGATGATTGAGGCAACCTGCCGAGGTGATGATGATGATGATGAGCCTGCTCGAATAGCCCAAGATGATTACTCCTGCGAGAGCAAACCAGCACAAAACAACATTCACCAAAAACACACTCAGAGTTGGATGATATTTAAGCACCAAAACAAAAAAAAATAGCCACTAAACTGAGACCGAAATTTAAAGCCAAAATAATTTAAACCAAAAAACTAAAACGAAAAACTAACGAAAAATAAAATAAAAAACACGGAACGAACCGAGCGGACAACGAGTTGTGTGGCGACTGCAATGGCGCGAAGCTCTGACACGGCGTTTTATAGTTGGAAGCCACATGGGCGACGACTCGGCGTTCTCTTGGAACTCGAATGGACGGGCATTCATTTTCATTTTATTTTTTTGGCCAAAAGAAATGCCCAACCGAGATGCAGATGATGATGCGAAGTAGAAGGATTGGACAAAGGCGGACGCGGATTTTGTGGATTGGCTCCGTTTTAAAGCTGCTGGCAATTAATTGAAAAAAAAGGAAAGTAAAGCCAAGTCATAGCCAAAGCCCAGCTCAAACACACAAATTGAAATCATTTTAAATCATTTCAAACTCAATCAGGCAACAACAAACGAGCACCGCCCCGGCTAATTTACGCGCTTTAAAGCGTTATAACAGCGTCCGGACAAGTGGTCTTGTATGTAATAGACTTCGGACTTGGACTTGGAGCATCGATAACCGCTCATTTCCGCAGCAAGTGCGCTCAATCCCCATTCATCGCCACATCTCCATCTCCATCTCCATTCAAATCCCATTACTAGGGATTCACCGCCATGGGGCGTCCTCCGCCCATCCAACATCATTTGCCCCGGTGGATACATCATCGTCATCGCTGTGTAGCCACAGGTTTTAACGTGGTATAGTGCATCGACGACATGTGGAACGCGCTGGCGTTTGGAGTGATTGAAAGTGAATCGAGGCACTTTTCGGTGCGATGTGTGTGGAATGCCCCACGAATGGTGCTCGTGGTTGCCCTCAAGAGCGGGTTTAACTCTTTTTGCAGAGGTTTTGCTTAGGGTTTTTATTGAATTTAATCAATTTAATTGTTTAATGTTATATTATTATTATTATAAATTAATTATAATTTTAAATTAATTAATTACTTTTAAAGAAATTCAAAGAATATTTATAAGAATATTTTTTAAAGCAGAAAACTATTTAATTTATATTTTATATATTTATTTTTTTATATAAAAATATATTTAAAGTGTTTTTTTCTTAAATATATAATTATTATTTTTATTTTATAATTTATTTCTAAAAAAAAAATTTAAAAGAAAATATTTACCTATATTATTTAAGGCCAAAAACTATATAATTTATATTTTGTTAACTTTTTTTTTTATAAAAATATATTAAACAATTATTACTTATTATTTTAAAAATATTAAACTAATTTATTACTATAGAAAAATTTATAAAAATATTATTTAGAGCAGAAAACTGTACAAATAATATTTTATTAATATTTTTTTTAATAAAAATATATCACTTTTTATATCTTAAATTTTTTTTTAAATATGTCGGAGATAACCGTTATTTAATTTAACCGTAGTCGAGCAGCGAGTTCTGTTCGCCTGCGCAGTCAAATCGAATCTGTCATCACGCCACTTTTCCTGTGGCCCTTTCACCTTTTCTTACTTTTCACTCAGATGTCATTCCTAGACAATCTCAAGCTGTCTCTCTCATTCTCTCCTATTGTTGCGACAGACGAACAGACCTCACTCAGTAACACTCCTGTTACCGACTCAACTGTCATTGCGCCTGCGCGCCAGCGACACCTACAGGCTACCAATACCTGAGCATGCCGAATAGTTCTGTTGCCATAGCAACAAGCTTTCCAAATTTGCACTTAGCAACCAACTCGCCGACACGGCCATCCTGACAATTCACGCGTCCTCGCCTCGCGGGCATTCTGATAAAGTGATTTTCGGTCGATATTAAATTCAGTGGCGCATCGAAGGCTTGCGCAGCCGCGTGGTGCGAGACACCGGAGTCGTGATAGGCAGTCAAATGCACTGGTCGCGTGTTGAGCCGGACGGTTGCAAGTGTCATCAGTGTCGGCCAGAAAATTTGGGGAAGAATGGAAGACAACAACAACAGCACACTGGCGGAACTGCGGCTGAAGTGCGGAGAGCTGGAGTGACGCACTTCAGGCGTGATAACGGTGGTCACATTGCATCTGTGTGCACGAGATGGGTATCAGCGGCTGCGAGCGGCAGCATCAGCTGCATGTAGAAGCGAGTTGATTTGTGTGATTCAACAGTGACAGTATCGGGTGAGCCCTTTCCGATTATTCTTTGATTTGGGAGCTGAATTGGCTAAAAGATGGGAATAGAGATGTGTTTGATTGCAGTGTTGTTTGCACATCTGCCTTCCCATTGGCGAGCCCTGTGCTACGATAGGTTGTGCTTAGACTATCGGAAGCAATATTCGAAAATGGTTTCGGACAGTGGCCTTTGCCGCTTATGTCAGACCCTGTGAAGGAAAAATGTTTCTGTTGAAAAATAATTAATTTAAAAAATTACGAGTTGCCGTCTGTTTGGTCTGCCGTGCCGTTTGGTTTGAAGAGTGCATCTTCTACCTTCAACATGCAATTGTTAAGGCGTTTGGAATTTATCATGATTATTTGCGATAGTTTACATAGATGCATGTTAATCATGGCAAACTCGGAAGAAAAGGCTTTCCGAAGGCTGAAGGTTGTATTAAATGTGTTGACTGTACCAGAGTTGCCATTTAACGTTACCAAATGTGGGTTTCTTGAACCTACTACGCAGTATCTGAGCTATGAGGTGTGCGGTGGAGAAATCAGACCCAATTCCTAGAAAATCCTTACGTTAAAGGTCCGTCCTTTTAATCGGTGCAATTAAGAGACCGTCGTAAGACCATTTATTGAATTGGTGCCTTATTTTCAAAAACGTGCGCCTCGATTTTCTCAGATCATGAGACAGATTCTTCGGCTTCAAGTATCTTTAAGTGAAATGACGATATTCAGAAATTGGAACGAACGTTTTTAATATTATTACAAATGAGCCTGTAATCGTTATTTGTGGGTTCGAAACATCATGTCAAATAAGCTTTACTTTTATTTCTTCTCGCCACTTCATTCTCTTCTCGTACCAAATCTGTATCTTCTTTCTCTGCTCGTACCACAACTCTTACTCAACATCTCTTCATCAATTTATACAGGCTCTTGCTGCACACTTTGCAACGCTCACACGCACCTCTTGCGTCACGGTCTCTCTGGACCCTCACAGCCTTATAAATGATTCCACCAACGAGTGCCTCAGTCGGCGATCTCTCGCTTACACTTCTAGTGTCTTCAAATGTTAGTTTGGCAGGATAACCTTTCGAAACCATAGAGTACAAGCTCTTTTTGTATTTCAAAAGGCTCCGCTTCACATATTCTGACCATAGGAATAAAGTAGGCCCTGTTTCATGTGATCCGACACGGCCTTCCTGACAAATCACACGTCCTCGTGTGTTAACTTTAAATCACAGTATTCTAAAATTTCAGTACTCGTTACATTTTATTGTTAACAAACATTTCATTAATTTTCTAAACATGAGTATTGAGGCATTTAGACAAAATAAGCATCTTGGTTTCATGATAACATAACAAATTACATCTTCATTTTAATCATAATTTACAATTCAGACTTCTCTAATTACATAGCTTTATCAACTGGTGTATTTCCTTTTACACCCACATACTGACCCCCGCCATAACAATTCCTTCTGTTATGGTGCGGTCTCCACTGACCCCCGCCATAACAATTCCTTCTGTTATGGTGCGGTCTCCACTGACCCCCGCCATAACAATTCCTTCTGTTATGGTGCGGTCTTTATATCCCCTCTTGGGATTCCAAGGCATCAACCGTGCCATCCATATCATCATTCCCCACATGGGAATCAGACGCATCTCCACTTGAGTCGTCTAAATCTTTAATCAACTTTAATCTTTAATCAATCAACGTCATTGCTTATTTTGTCTATTTGGCTATGCCCTCAAAAACTCATGCGCATACTTATAAAAGTTCGCTTACTTGACAGATATCTCAAAACATATCAGCCACCATCAAGCTTTTCTATAAACTCTGTTTGGTGCCGATCTTCATTTTCATTTTCCATCTTCATTTCTTTCTCCTTTCTCTCTCATTCTTAACATATTTTCCATTTTCATTTTTCATTTTAAATTAATCTTGCCTTATCAAAACTAGAGCTTTTCCGAACCAGCATAACGTAGCTTTAAATTTCTCTTTCTTTATACTTTTCTCTGTGTCATGTGGTGGTATCAAGCCCAAAGGGTGGGTCCGATTGGCATCTCTTAAGGGCTTGCATTGGTTGCACTACTAACTGTGCAGTTCGCCGCAAGTTGCACCCCGCCAAGAGCATCTTCCCATCACCTCTGCGGTCCTGGTATCCAGCCAGATGACTACTTTACAACTTTACACATGATACAATTTTCAACAATCTTTAAACTTAGTCATTTCCAACAATTCTGATAAATATTGCTGAGTCTATTTTTTCCAACCCAAACACATAACGGATTTATAACCTTGATTAATAACTATCCAACAAAATTTAATGGACACTACTGGCAGATAACATTGCCTCACACCTCTCTGTATTCTTTAAAATCCCTCTTCGTAACTCAAGTTGATTTCAATTATTTTTAGTTGTTTATAAACTATACCAATAAATCCTGAATCCTGAAGTTGATCAGTCGGTCATTTGAGATTTCATTCTAAGTTCAGACGTTTTTCTGTCAATTTATTTTTATTTATCGGAGTTAAATCAGTCATGTGAATTCTGGACACAAAAAGAATTCCACAATTGCCTTGCGCTTTCTCTTCCTCTACTCTATGATGCTCTTCAGTTAATTTTTTTTTAGAAATGATTACATCTGCAATAAGTATAGACTACAAACTCTCATCTGAGCAAACAATGCCAAAAATGTCAGAATAATTGCACGCCAACCAATATTTCCAATTCATACAAAGGCTACTTGGACTCCACAAGACACATAGTTCTACCAATATATCCACCAACATAAGGGTCTCCATTAATTAGGTGTATTAGCATTGGACCATATCCACAAGAGCTTATATCTGTTTCAAATTTGATCAGATGTTTCGAACCAACAAATAACGATTACAGGCTCATTTGTAATAATATTAAAAACGTTCGTTCCAATTTCTGAATATCGTCATTTCACTTAAAGATACTTGAAGCCGAAGAATCTGTCTCATGATCTGAGAAAATCGAGGCGCACGTTTTTGAAGATAAGACGCCAATTCAATAAATGGTCTTACGACGGTCACTTAATTGCACCGATTAAAAGGACGGACCTTTAACGTAAGGATTTTCTAGGAATTGGGTCTGATTTCTCCACCGCACACCTCATAGCTCAGATACTGCGTAGTAGGTTCAAGAAACCCACATTTGGTAACGTTAAATGGCAACTCTGGTACAGTCAACACATTTAATAAAACCTTCAGCCTTCGGAAAGCCTTTTCTTCCGAGTTTGCCATGATTAACACGTCATCTATGTAAACTATCGCAAATAATCATGATAAATTCCAAACGCCTTAACAATTGCATGTTGAAGGTAGAAGATGCACTCTTCAAACCAAACGGCACGGCAGACCAAACAGACGGCAACTCGTAATTTTTTTAAATTAATTATTTTTCAACAGAAACATTTTTCCTTCACAGGGTCTGACATAAGCGGCAAAGGCCACTGTCCGAAACCATTTTCGAATATTGCTTCCGATAGTCTAAGCACAACCTATCGTAGCACAGGGCTCGCCAATGGGAAGGCAGATGTGCAAACAACACTGCAATCAAACACATCTCTATTCCCATCTTTTAGCCAATTCAGCTCCCAAATCAAAGAATAATTGGAAAGGGCTCACCCGATACTGTCACTGTTGAATCACACAAATCAACTCGCTTCTACATGCAGCTGATGCTGCCGCTCGCAGCCGCTGATACCCATCTCGTGCACACAGATGCAATGTGACCACCGTTATCACGCCTGAAGTGCGTCACTCCAGCTCTCCGCACTTCAGCCGCAGTTCCGCCAGTGTGCTGTTGTTGTTGTCTTCCATTCTTCCCCAAATTTTCTGGCCGACACTGATGACACTTGCAACCGTCCGGCTCAACACGCGACCAGTGCATTTGACTGCCTATCACGACTCCGGTGTCTCGCACCACGCGGCTGCGCAAGCCTTCGATGCGCCACTGAATTTAATATCGACCGAAAATCACTTTATCAGAATGCCCGCGAGGCTATGGTGAATCCCACTTCTGATGTCGGAGATAACCGTTATTTAATTTAACCGTAGTCGAGCAGCGAGTTCTGTTCGCCTGCGCAGTCAAATCGAATCTGTCATCACGCCACTTTTCCTGTGGCCCTTTCACCTTTTCTTACTTTTCACTCAGATGTCATTCCTAGACAATCTCAAGCTGTCTCTCTCATTCTCTCCTATTGTTGCGACAGACGAACAGACCTCACTCAGTAACACTCCTGTTACCGACTCAACTGTCATTGCGCCTGCGCGCCAGCGACACCTACAGGCTACCAATACCTGAGCATGCCGAATAGTTCTGTTGCCATAGCAACAAGCTTTCCAAATTTGCACTTAGCAACCAACTCGCCGACAAATATAATTAAAGATAACCTCGCTAAAAACTATATAAAAACTATAATTATTATAAATAAATAAAATAGAATTTCAAATTTTATAAGAGAAATTCAATTTTTATTAAATACGAATATAGAAAATCTTCCCAGAATATATAAATAAATTTCATAGAGCATACAAAAACTCAACTGTCTCGGCTTCGTCCAAGATCAAAGGGCTTTTGGGCATTTGCTCCACTTAACTGCGGCAAGTGAAAGATGCTTGGGGCTGGGCCCCCTCCCTTTACTTGCCCCCTTCCCCATGGATATCCCCTCCCAAAGTAAAGGTAATGAAAGCTTCCAAACCGATTTTCAAAAGCCAGTTAATGCCAAATGAATTTGTCAAATTGTGACAATTAGGCAGAGGCAAAGATTCGAAGAAGATGATGCAATTGTGGCAGCCAAGGTTGGAGCCCATTTCATGGATCTTGGCCAGGCAGACACTCTTGTTTTGGGCGTGAAATGCTTGCTTTTCAGACACTTTCACGCAAATAAACGAAAGAGAAACAAGTCAAAAATAAAGCACAACAATGGCTCTGCATTCTGTGAGGCGACCTTGTTGGGCTAGGCTTGGTCTGAGGTGTGTGTTTGTTTACCCACTAGACCCGCTCCTCCTCCTCCTCCCCCCTGTGCAAATAAACAGCCTAGATTCGGTAACGGTTTGTCTCTGGCCTCCATTTGGGTTTTATTTTCGGTCAGGTTGGGTCATCCCACAAGGCATATGCTATATGTGATGTGTGTCTCCCAAATGAAAACGAAAGGTGGAAGTCCGCCAGGTGACTCAGCTCTTTGATGGGGGAGTATGTTGGTGGCGAGTTATGTAAATTAAAGCGAAAGCAAATGGGTTTATGTTTTTGTTTAAGAATAAGTACTTGGGGAAGGGAGTAGGTCTCTCCATTATGTTAATAATTGACCCTGAGAAGGAGTACTTATGATCATAGCTTGGTGGCTATTCAAGCACTTTTTCCCCCTTTAATAAATACAAATAATCATCTTTACAATACATTTTATTCAAAATAACAAAAAAAAAAAAAGAGGTTAACAACATTATTTCTAACAATTAAGTCTCAACTTTAGCTCCCTAGGACCTGGCCCTCAGATACAAATGCGGTCCATTGTTGATGGCATCGTGGCCCAAGCCCATGGAGCTACCCGGCAGATACTCATTCAGATTGAGCGAAAAGGCTGGCGGAAAGTGCTTATCCTTGGCCTCCCTATTGATTCGATAGTTACTCCGAAAGGCGGGACTCAGGGCGGGACTCAGGGCTGTGGCATAACCCTGAATGGCACCATAATTCGGCGGCAGAGCACTCAGCACAGCAGCTGTCCGGCCGCCAAAGTCTGGCTGTCCGCCGGCCGAGAGATTTGGATTTCCCGAACCAGTTGCTGCTGCTGCAGCAGCAGAAAGATACGGCGATATGGGCACTATAATGGGTCTGGTGGGGATCAGCTGTAGATACTGCACGGCATTGCCACTGCCATCTTGAAGGGTTTGGGCGGGCAGATACTGCATCAGCATGGGTGTGGAGGGTAGACTGGCCACACTCGGTGTTCCGGGAGTTTGCATGGGCGTGAAATTGGTCTCCATTTCGGGCATTTTGTAGGAGGGCTTGAAGGAGCCAACAGCATCCTGCTGCAGTTGGTTCTGGGCGTTCATGTCATAGCCACTGCTGGCATAGGCACTCAGCGAGTTCAGGTGAGCCTCCTGTTGCAGCTGTTGTTGCTGCTGCTGCTGCTGCTGCTGTTGCTGTTGCTGTTGCTGCTGTTGCTGCTGCACCTGCTGCTGTTGCACACTATTCGGTGACTTGGCCCCCTTGCTGGCTATCTCTGGACTGGAAACAGGACTGGCCAGGATATGAGGCATGACCAGCAGCAGCAGGAGGTGATGACAGTGTAGGTAGGGCTGGCACAGCATCTGAAGGGGAAGTGTGATATAAAAATATATTTTTTAAAAGAGAAAGAAAGTATTTATAAAATATATTTTTTTTAAAGAATTTTTTTAGGTACTTTTTCAGAGTTTGGAATTTTTTTATATTTTAAAAAATAATATTTGGCTTCAAAAATTTTATTATTATTATTAGTCTTTAAAAATTGTATAAAATGATTTTAATAATTTATTTCAATAATATATTTCAACTCCTAAATAATTTTTATTTCCAGTATAAATATTTTCTTTTTGTAGGTTTTGAATATAAATTAATATATGAAAAATCTTAATTTAAAATATATATTTCATGAAAAAGATATACTTCGAATTTATATTATTTTTTAACATTATTTTTTAGCTACTTTTTAAAAGTTTGAAATTTTTAAACATTTTAAAAATTCTTTTAAAATTATTATTTGTCTTTACAAATTTTATAAATTATTTTAAAATGAAGTTTATTACATTATTTTTTAATATTTAACATTTTTATATGTTTTTAAACAATATTTTAAATGCTTTTTAAAATTCTAAATTTTGTAGAGATTTTTGTAAGCTCTAAAAAAAAGTTTAAAATTTTATTGAAACTTTTAAGCATTATATATTTAATGTAAAGAACTAAATCCTTTCTTTTTGTAGATTTATCTTTCTTCAAATAATTTTTAAGTGTTCGTTTAGAAATATTCCTCAAGTCCCAAGGCTTATCCTTTGATAAATTGAAGCTGCACGCACTATAAAAAAATAAAGCCACAAGATTCACCTTGCTAAATTATTTTTCTGATTTTTTATTTTGGTTGCACTTTTTTTTTTTATTAAAAAAAACCACTTGCACTTTTCCTGGCGAGCGACGCGCTTTGATTAACACACCAAACGTTGCGTACTTGGCTTTTATATCGGTCTTCGGCTTTTCAGCTTCTCTGCTTTTCGGCTTTTCAGCTTTTCATGGTTTTCTGCTTTGGTACAGCCTTTTGGCAAAAACAGCGGCAATTTCCCGCTACGAAAATTGCAGTTTCAGCTGCAGCCTCTCCACAAGACACGCGACTTGGCTTGACTTGCCATTGGACATTGGCAATTCTCTGGAAGCCAAACGGCTGCATTGTTTTGTTGCATGTTTTTGGCCAACGATTCAAGTTCAAGTTTAGCTTCAAAAACAACGCAGATTTTGGTTGCGTTTATTTCGATTCGCTTGGGTTCCGTCTTCCGAATTGGTTCCGAACGGAAGGCGTGGCACAATTAGCCGGATCACTTTTTGTATCTTGTCCTCTTCCGCATTGCCACATGTTGCCAGGTTTGCCAGGTTTGCCATGTTGCCAGGCTGTCAGACTGCCTGGTGTGTGCCATGCTTTCGGCCATTATTTGCTGGCCATGTGATACGGTTAAACAAGTTTCCATTTCTTTTGCACGAGGGAATTGCCAGCTTCCAGTTGGCCTTATGGGTTCATTGCGATGAGTGGACAATGGGGCTTGGGTTGTAGGAGATTTCAGTTGGGAATTTTGGGAATATATCAAGAAATATCTAAGGTAGAATCAAGTTATATCTCAAGCTGACTTCAAATAAAATAGCAACATTTTCTTAGTTTTCTTAATAATTGTTTGAGTATTACAGAATTTTCTGAATAAAGGCTTTTACCAGTATTTCCTTTTATCTTTTCTTAATTTAAACTTAATCTACTTTTAATTTTTAAACGCTTTATCAATGCCTTTGCCCCACTGTGCCACTTTAAGGTGAGTGAATAAAAACGCTTTTAGCATTACTTAACCCATAAATTTTGCTATTGACTCGTGAGTTATGGTAAATGTAAGTGGATTTAGTATCAGGATTAGTGCTGTCGGTTTAATGTTTTTAAATTTTCTTGTATTTATAAAGAATTAATAATACTAAAAAAGAAAACAAAGTCAAAGCCACAACGAATTATATTTCATTATTCAAATTATTAGTTGAATATATATAAATTTACATAGATATTTATATATGAGTGTACAATGTATTCACAATTTCGGAGACATTACAAATGTGTGTGTGTGTGTTTAGGACCGAAAGGAATTTAAATTGTACAATTTTGTGGTTTCAATGTGTATATATAAATGTATATATATAAATATATAATCATTATATATATATGTTATTTCTTCTTTATTCCTTAGTATTCAATGACATGGCTAGGACAGCCAATATCAACATGAGGGCCACCAAGAGGATCGGTCTGGAGAGGGTCGGGCGTGGTGGAAACTTGTTGGGTGGATACTCTCCTCCACAGAGCATTATAACCTTTTCCTTATTGACTGGCGAACGACACAGGGGGCAGTGCAGACGTTCGGGAGCCGAAGTGATCCAGCGGCGCAGACATGGCCAGCAAAAGAGGTGGCCGCAACAGGTCACCACCGGATACCTGACGGAATCCAGGCAAATGCTGCATTCGGCAAAGAATTCCACCTCATCGGCCATGGTTAAGTCACCTTCTTCACTTCACAAGAATTTGTTCTTATTTTTTTTCTGCTGGACGATGGTCAAGTAACTACAGGTGAGCTGTGACCTTGCTAATTGTACTCACCTTATCTGAATCTCCCACTAAATACGACTGATTGAACATTTAGTCGTAAGCAGACTGACAACCTTGTTCAATTTTGACACTGACCCTAAGGGGAGCCTACTGCGATGCAGTTATTTATTTTAATAAAATAAGAAGGAAAGTTAATTTCCGGAAACCAAAGTAGGCCAAAAATGGTTTAATTAAAATTGAAAAACATTTAAAAACATTTTTAAAATATTTAAAAACATTAACAAACATTAAACAACATTTATAAACATTTGTGAATATTTCAAAACATTTAAAAACATTTAAAATCCTTTAAAAATATTTAAAAACATTTAAAAATATTTAAAACATTTTAAAAACATTTAAAAACATTTTAAAAACATTTAAAAACATTTAAAAACCTTTAAAAATATTTAAAAACATTTTAAAACATTTCAAAACATTTAAAAACCTTTAAAAATATTTAAAAACATTTTAAAAACATTTAAAAATCGTTTAAAAACCCTTAAAAACATTTAAAAACATTTTAAAAACATTTAAAAACATTTAAAAAAACATTTAAAAACATTCTGCATTTACGAATCCATTTTAAAAACATTTAAAAATCATTTAAAAACATTTTAAAACATTTTAAAAACATTTAAAAACATTTTAAAAACATTTAAAAACAGGTAAAAACGTTTTAAAAACATTTAAAAATATTTAAGAAATATTTAAAACCATTTAAAAAAATTTACTTATTTTCCTCATAAATTAAAAGAAGGGTTTAATATTTTGTGACAAATTAAAGTCTAAAAAAAGCATAACTCTGTTAAAAAATCAGTAATTTTAATTCGGAAAGCAGAGAAATGCTAGATTTTATTAGTTCAACAAATCTGCATACTTAATTTAACGACTAAAATAAATTTAAATTTTGTTAACATTTTGACCATTTCAACGATATAACCCCTTAAAAAATTAAAACAAAAATGTAAATTTTTTTTTCTTGGGGACAAGGTTAAATTCGATTCAGCTGTTGATGCTGATCAAGAATATATATGATTTATGGGGTCGGAAATGGCTTTTTCACTGCTTAGACAAGCTTCTGACTAAAATTATAATAATTAAAAAATAACAATATATGTATATTTTAGGTATTAATCATAATTAATAATTTTCTTGCCGTGCACTTGTCGCAGTCACTGTACCCGTCACAGTTGAAGTCACAGTCCTCCACCAATTATCCATCAGTCAAGTGTTCAAGTCAAACTGGCTCCAAAGTCAAGGCCTTGTTTTTCCTCATTTCCATTGGGCTCATTACGTGGCGGCGGCAAGTGGAAATGGAAAATGCGCTCAAAGTTGTCTGCTTACTTTCATTTTTCTTTGGCCGCTGAGCTTTTCCGTTAAAGCACTCCCCAGATCTGGCCAAAAAAGCTAAGCCATGATCAGAAAATGGGGAGAAAAGCTTTATAGTTTGTATTTTAAGTAAGATAGTTATTAAAAAACAATTAAATAATAGAAATAAAAATTTTATTAAATTTTAAATATATTTTAAAATATTTCGTAGTATTTTTTTAGCCCTTAACTTTTTTATTAATATTTTTTAATCATTTATATATTTATAATGGAAAGAAAAAATATTATTAAATAAGTAAATAAATAATAATTAATTAATTAATATTTAATAAATATTAATAAATAGGTAAATATTATAATTCATATTTTTTTCTTTCCTTTAAATATATATAATTATATTTTGTTTTTTTATTACCATTTAATATAATATTTTGAACTTTATAAATATTTCAAATTATTTTTTACAGTTTTTAAATATTTTTTATAAAATGTTTAAACTTTAAACATATTTTTTATTATTTTCTTTACCATGTTTTTATTTATTAACATTTATTTTGTGTGTTTATTATTATTTAATATTATTTTCTTAACCTTTTATATATTTAAAATTATTTTTTCCAACTTATAAATATTTTTTATAAAATTTTTAAACTTTAAACATATTTTTAATATTTTCTGTGCATTGAATTTATTTATTAACATTTATTTGTACGTTTATTACTATTTAATAATATTTCCCTAACCTCTTATATATTTAAAAATTATTTTTTACAGCTTATAAATATTTACTTAAATTTTTCTATACTCTAAACATATTTTTTAATATTTTCTTTCCCTTGTATTTATTTATTTTATTTTTATTGAATTATTTTCATATTAATTGACCGCCTTAAAGCGATCCCTCAACTTACTCAAGCAACTCAATTGCCGTGACACCGCCTTTTGCTGAGCTGCAAATGATCCCCTAATACCCAGACTTGTGCTATCCGTCTCCAAAACATCCCAATCCGGGCCACTGTCAGCAAGTCATAAATCTTCCGGCTCTCTCTCCGACTGAACTTGATACATCAAAATGTTGGTCAAATTAAATTTTCTTGCGCTCACGGTCTCTCCTCGGTCTCCTCGGTCTCCTCGGTGGATGGATTTTCCCTGGGAGCAGCTGCCAAGTAATTCGTCAAGCTGCTTTGTCCTACTCCTCCTCCACCAGCGGCTGTTCCTTTAGCTTTATCTCGTCTCTGGGTGAGCATTGTGCTTTCAGCTCCGAGCTCCCCAGCATCCCAGACTCCTGTTCCTGCCCCACCAAAAACCCAGCGACGCTGCCTTTCATGTCAACTGCATTTTTCTTTTGCTGTGTTGCCTTGCTGTGTTGTGCTTGTTGTGTGCGCTTTTTCACTGCTTTAAACCACTTAATGGGTTTTTTTTTTTCTTTTTTTTTTATATGCGGACCTGGCTTAGACGCAGTGGCCGGAGGGTGGAGGGGAGAGACCCATTCATGCTGCAGCTTTCTTGTAGCTTCATTCAAAAAGACTTGCAATTCATCAAATCTCGTTAGCCTCGGCTTTTATAGAAAATCTGCAGCTGCTTTTGCTGGAGTCTGGCTGCCTTTCAGCTGCCACGCCCATGGACACCGAGAGGGCGTTTCAGAGCTCCCGAAAATCCTGCATTCAGCAGCCAGCATCCTGGATTCGCATTTCCATTCACCCCCCCACCTTTTCTAGTAGTTATTGAAAAAGTCTTTAAGGCAACTTTTGCTGCGCTCTTGGGGCGCTTAACTTTAAGAGGTTTCACCCACCTGAGCACCTCCAGGGGTGTGTGTGCCTCCTTTGAGCTAATGAAAAGTGTGTGTGTAAGTGGGTGTTCCTCTGATGGAGTGGCAGGGAATCCCGGCAACTGCAACAGGCAAGGGAGAGAGGCGCCTAAACGAAACTAAACCAAAGCCCCGGCCAAAGGAACTACAATAAACGAGGAGGCCAATGCATTTTTAATGCCAACATCCAAAGGACTCACCTTGAGGGGGAGCAGGAAAAGGTACTAGAGGGGGTAGTGGAGGAGGAACAGGATGAGGAACAGGAGGAGGAACAGTAGGAGGAGCAGGTGGAGGAGCAGGAGGAGGAGCAGGAGGAGGAACAGGACGAGGAACAGCGGGAGGAGCAGGAGGAGCAACATGGGGTGGAACAGGGGGCGGAACAGGAGGAGGAGCAGGAGTTTCAGGTGGTGCTTGCCGCATTAATTTTGCAGGCTGGGGGCAAATCCAACTGGAAGTGGTCACCACTCTGCGATCCCCAAGGGATTGGAGAGAGAGAGAGAGAGAGAGCTTTGGCCTTTGTCCTGGCCATTTCCACTTGAATTTAAAAGGTTTCAAGAGTGGCTATATTTACATAAATTAATTTAAAATTCAATTGTTTATTGTTAAAAAAAAAACATAGTTATCATAATTGATTTAAGCGTTTTTTTCGCATTATAAACGTTGTTTTTTAGCAGCAGCAGCACGGCTTTACTTTACTCTCCGGCTAGATCGTCTTATCTAGCTTATCTAATCTTCGCCATTGGAAATCGTTCCATTAACGCGAGCGTGGCTTGACAACATCACGTGATATACGCTATCAGCTATCCGCTATAACGGTTATAACCGCTAACCGCTAACCGCTAACCGATCTCCACTCTCCACTCTCCGCTCTCTCAGCAAATTTCTACAATGGATGTTGGAAGAGGAGAGAGCGAAGGAAAAAAATGAAGAAGAAGAAGATCGAGCCGGTGAAAAGTTGTGCGGTGCTGCTGCTGCTAAGAAAAAAGTGTTTTAAGTCCAAAAAAACGCTTAATAATACCCAGAAAACAATAAAAACACTTCAACTAACTTTGCTTAATGCAGAGCAATAAAAAACACATCGAAAAAGTGAATTTTTAAAGGATTTATTCAAATGTAAAGTGAGCGCAGATTTCCCGGCCAATTGGTACAGCGAAGATGGGAAACGGAATGCACAAAAACGCATAAATTGTGCAAATTCCGTAGTGAAATTAATAAAACAACTTAATACGTGATCAAAATAAGACATTTCTAAAACAATTAGCAAGTGGTTAACAAGTTAAAGCCACCAAAACTGCCATGAAAAAACTGAGACTCCCGCGGACAATGTGAGACTGCAGCGGCCGTGCACATGTGTGTGTAGGCGTCAGTGCAAATTTGTGTATGTGTGTCCTCTTCTCTGGCTACGAATAAGAGGAGAAGTGGATAACAACTCCGCCATGATGAAATTGAGACATGTTCCTGCTATAAAACGTTTAATAATATCTATAAAATCGTTCCATAACGTAAGCTTGGCTTGACAAAATCACGTGATATACGCTATCAGCTATTCGATAACCGATAGCCGCTAATCGCTCTCCACTCTCCGCTCTGCAATGGAAGTTGGAAGAGGAGAGAGCGAAGGAAAAAAAGAAGAAGAAGAAGATCGAGCCGGTGAAAAGTTGTGGCGTGCTGCTGCTGCTAAGGAAAAAGTGTTTTAAGTCAAAAAAAAAACGCTTAATAATACCCAGAAAACAATAAAAACACTTCAACTAACTTTGCTTAATGCAGAGCAATAAAAAACACATTGAAAAAGTGATTTTTTTAAGGATTTATTCAAATGTGAAGTGAGCGCAGCTTTCCCAACCAATTGGTACCGCGAAGATGGGAAACGGAATGCACAAAAACGCATTAATTGTGCAAATTCCGTAGTGAAATTAATAAAATAACTTAATACGTGATACAAATAAGACATTTCTAAAACAATTAGCAAGTGGTTACCAAGTAAAAGCCACCAAAACTGCCATAAAAAAAAACTGAGACTCCCGCGGACAATGTGAGACTGCAGCGGCCGTGCACATGTGTGTGTAGGCGTCAGTGCAAATTTGTGTACGTCTGTATGTCAAATAACCGTAACCTCTGCTCTGCCAGTGAGCGCTGCGAAAAAGAGGATAAGAAGTGGATAACAATTACGCCATATTGTAATTTAGACATGCTGCTGCTGCTACAAAACGTTTTTAGTCCATAAAAAACGTTTATTAATATCTATAAAACTATTAAATAATTACAACTAAAACCAATAAAAGTGAAAAAAAAAACCCTGAGACTCCCTGGGACAACAAATGGCCGCAGCAGCCGCTGTTATGTACATGTGTGTGTGTGTGCATAGCAAGAACATCTCCAAAAAAGGAAATGGATTACCGTTTTCTTCAGACGAACCGTTTTAAAGTACAGTGCGCGTTTATAAGCGAAAATAGAAGAGCAAAGCTCGTGTGCCAGAGATTATTGACATATTGTTTGTGTATGTAATTTTACAGATCTTTCCATTCCTTTTATTTTTTTTTTCTGTGTATAATTTTGTGAAGTGTGTAAGGCTTTTTTTAAGTGCCTAATTTTTTTGTTTTTTTTTTTTAAGTGCCCATTTTTTTTTTTTGTTTTTTAAGTGTTTAATATATATATATATCTTAAATGTGTTTAATCTATGCAGTGTTTTATGTTCTGTGAAATAAAAAAAATCTATTAATAACAAAAAGAAAGGAAGGAAAGAGACAAAGACAAAGACCCTTATAAATCAAATAAAACTAAAATAAAAAATAAAAGATGAATTTAATGAAAAAGACGAAAATGAAGAATCGGTAAGTGAAAAAACAATATCATTTTATATATTGAATTAAAGGAGTCCGAAAATTAATAATTTCTTTAAGAAGTATTCCTGAAAGTCGAAAATGAATAATTTCTCCATAAATATTCTTAGAATAAACCGAAATAAACTATTTACGTGGTTTATCCTGTATACCCATCAGCTGGTGTCCACTACCTGTGGACTCGTACCTTGAAAGTCTTTTCCACTTTGCACTTGACCAACACTATACCCAATCTAGGGCCTCTCCCTGGGCAGCCAGTGTTGGACAGGCCATTGAGTGAAGCCCAAGTGTTGCCCGGGCCAAGCACTTTGGCTAAGTGGTTGGAGCATCCAGCTGCTCCACCCAGGATCCTTCTCAAAACCTGGCTCATTTGCGCGAGCTCCTCCTTGGCCTCCTGGCAAAGTGCCCCATATCACGCACAGGCAAACATTTGCAGGGACCCCGAAATGCATTCAATTAACAATTTCTCTGGGTCTCTGCCTCTGGCTACAAAAACTTTGCCGCTGCAACTGCTAACTGAGGGGGGTGGCGTGGCGGAGGAGGCTTTTAATCAAAAACTTGCATTTGCCAAGTGGCAGCAAGCGGCAAGCAGGGTAACTTTTTGGGCCAAGTTTTGTGCGGCAACAGAAGTGGGTAAACTTCTACGAATTGTGACGTCGACAAAAGTCAAATCGTGCCGACTGGCAACTACTACTTGCCACCACCACCAGGTTTTCCCCACATGTTCATTTGCCAAAGGGGGGGTTGTAGCAATCAGGAGATGCTCTATAAAATCAGGGAGTTTGTAAACTTTATTTTACAGAAATTTGGCTTAAAATAATAAATTAAATAGGGAACATTTCTATGGATAAAATATATATTAAATAAAATAAATTAAGAAAACAATTTTAAATAATTTTTATTTATATAAAAATAATATAAATATAAATATAATAATTATTATTATAATACATACATATATAATTATAATAATTATTATATTAATATTAATAAATTAATAAAACAATTTTAAATCCTTTTGATTTATATAATTAAATTTTTAGGAATTTAGATCCAAATATTAAGCTAATTTTGAAATTAAAAAAAAAATGTGTTTATCTGAATTTCAATACCCAGTCTCTTGTACGTTTTCCGGAATTTTCTTTGCCAGGAAAAATCCGGAACACTGCCAGTCAGCAAGTGAATGCCGTAAATTGCCAAGCGGCAAGCGTGTGCTCCTCACTCTCTCTCAGCTTTTTTACTTTTCCGAAGGCCTTTTTCTCCTTGCTACCAAACTTGATTTCCACAAGCTACTCCCGGCTACCAGCTCCTGCTTGCCCATAGTTTCTCCTCCCCGCCAGCTCCTCCTGGCCTCCATCTCCCTCTGGCTCCTGCCTCCTGGCTCGTGCCATTTAGCAAAAGTAATTAAGCGTCGATGCGTTTCATTTGTGTTACTTTTCTGGGCAATTACGGAGCAAAGTTTGCAGTTTTTTGCCAAGCGGCGTAAAATGTTCATTGTTAATTGTAGAAGGACGGACCGGCTCCGATAGGTACTAAATATATATAGAAAGTACTCCCATCGATCCTTTAATAGTTAGAGTTTGTGGCTAGGCAACAGGTGAGTGTCGTCCTGTTCTCCCTTGAGTCCAAGGAGCAGCATTTCCATCATCATTATGTGACCAGGACCCACGCTGCACAGCAATGTGCAAAAAGTGTTTCTCATTAAAAAGTTGTTTCGCAATTTTATTATCCTGTCGTTGGCAGTGGTAGTTGTTAGCTGTAGTTGTTGTAACTGTTGTAGCTGCTTGTTGTCATCCTCCAGGTGCGCGTTCATTGTCACGAGCTTGAGCTCAACCGGGGTGACAATGTCAATAAAGCAAACTTCGCAGCAGACTAAACCGCCCAACTCCCACATCAAATTATTTTTAAATTACTTGTTAAAATACAAGGGAGTACCAGCAGCAGCAGCAGCAGGAAAACTCTGGCTAAAAGTTATAATAATAAAAATAATAATAATAAGGAATAAAAAAGTAATGGCGAGAACAAAACAAAACCGTTTACGATGCTCCAGGGTGAGTTTCGGTCCCTGAATCATCGTTTTCATAGTTTCGGGGAAAACAATTTTCACAGAAATTAAGCGAACTTTTGTTGGGATTTCCACGCTGGTTCTGGTTCCTCCTCTGCCTCGTCCTTGGTCTTTGGCTCTATGCATATTTGAGCGTTTCATTAGCCGAATCCCAGCTAGGACCAAAGGACTAAAGGTCTGTGTGTGTGTGTGTGTTCGTGATGGAGAACAGGTGGTGACCCCAACTAAGTGGCATGGCAGAGAGATTAAACGAGTGTTGCCTTAATTAATAGAGACCATTCTACGTCGGCTAATGTTTTATATATATATATATTATAATTCTTCAGGGAGGTTTGGGAGTGAGTGTTTGTCGAGGAACTAGAAACTCTCGCTCTCTGGGCTAAGGGGGGGACTTTGAGAAAATATTTATTATATATATTTAATTGTTTAATTTATTGATATGTTTATAATTTATTTTTTGCGCTTATTTTCCTAGACCGATCAGCTTTATATGTATATAGGATAATGGTTTTAGCATGGACTTACCCGCAATCAGAAGACACTGTTTCCATTTATATTGACTCCGCAGACTTGGCTGAGATTCATCAAAGAGAGATTCGTGGTGTTTTTGAAGGATTATAATAAGAACTTGCACTTTTCCAGCGAAGTGATACATTCCCGGGGTCATTTAGATGAGTTGAGATGGACACGTCACAGGTGAACACGAGGGGAGGCGCGCTGCGGCGGCAGGGGGGCCTCTATTAGCAAGTAGCTAGAGAAAGAGAGAGAGATTGATCGAAGAGAGAGAGAGGTAGTTTGAGCGAGGGAGAGGTAGGCTTAGAGTTAAGGGTAATTAATTTAAAGGCAATATAAACTATATATCGTATTTTTATAAGTTAATCTTGCTTTGTATTAATCCGAATTAGATCAAATAATATTATAGTAATACCCGTGAAATCGTTAATCTAACGCAATATCCCACAAACTCCAAGTAAACCAGAGATAAGCGCTGTCCGAGGGGGTTGTTCCTGTCCGATCCGATAGGTTTTTAGACCCACTAATTAAGGCTAATTGATAAAAGGCCATAGTCAGAGCTAGATCTATGACCGAAGTAGGAGTAGGCAATCGGAGCCGGAGCCAGAGCCACAGCTAGAACCGTCATAGATAATTCAGCATGTAGGCGGCGCGGTTATCGCAGCCACATGATGATTAGATTGCCGACGCACATTTCCAGGTGCTAGGCTGCTCTATGTGCTAGGTGCTCAGATACCACTCAGTGTTTAGTACGCCAACGAGCATAATGTCAACGAGAGCTGGCTTCGTCCGTCTGACGGTGCTGGTGACGGGGGCATTCTTTGCCCTGCTCCTGCTCCTCAGTGCCCTCCAGCGAACGGATGAACTGCGTCCCTCTGCCTCAAGGATTAGAGATATTGAAGCCACGCCACCGCCGGCCCATCATCTCGAGGAGCCCATCAAGGAGGAGCTGGTGCGACAGCTGGAACAGGAGTTGCCGGAGCTGGACTATGGCTTCTGGTATCGCTGGGCCAAGCCCATGGGCTATAAAATCAATACCACCTGTGCCAAGTATCCAGATCCCTTGGATCTCCAGTTGCACAACATCTACTGGCAGACCTTCCTCAGCGGTAATGTCACCTTTCGGCTATATGCCGCCTACTTGGATCAAAGGGAGGCGGTTAAGCAGAGGACGGTGAGGATTCTGGCCACTGCCGATCAGATAGGAGATGAATTTCCACCCAGCCTGTGTCAGTTGTGGTATGAGAACCACAGGGAACCGATCTTAGTGCCCGTGTCGGAGTACATCAGTGTGTGGGTCAAGGAGTGGGGCACCAAGCCCCAGCTCAGCTATCCGCATTTGCTGAGCTGCATAGTGCCGGAGGAACTGCCTCCGGCAGTGCTGCATTCTCTGCCCAAGACGGTGTCGTTGGTGGTCAAGCGCTGCGACAGGGCCAGCAATTCGCTGAGGGTTAACCAGAAGGTGCCATTAACAGTAGGGAATGCCAACAATATCACCACCAAGAGTAGCAGCAACAGCTCCTCCTCCTCCTCCTCCTCCGCCACCCTAAACTTTGGTGTCTGTGTCAAGGGCTTTGATTTCCCTTATTTTGACCTCTCGGAGCGCCTCATCGAATGGTTTGAGCTGCAGCGCATCCTAGGTGCCTCAAGGATCTATGCTTACATGTACGATGTTCATCCGGCTGTGCAGCGGGTCCTGGATTACTATCAACGCACTGGTTACCTGGAGCTAAGACCCCTAACCCTGGCCAATGGCATGCCCCGATTGAGGCACTACCAGCACATGCTGCTCCAGCAAAGGAAACTGGAGAAGCGCCTCAACGAGCTGATACCCTACAACGATTGCTTCTACCGGAACCTGTACAGGCATGATTATCTAGTCAATGTGGACATCGATGAGGTGATCATGCCCAAGGGGGAGCACAGCAACTGGCATCAGTTGGTCCAAAAGGTTCATCAATTGGAGGAGCAAAAGGCGGGCAAGTGCTCGGGCCGCTTTCCAGCCATTTGTTTCATCAATTCGTATTTCACCAAGGTCCCCTCGGAGCTGAGTGATCACGAGGAGCAGGCCACCGCTGGGGAGCTGTATGTCCTCCAGCACACGATGCGTTTAAGGAATTACTCGCTACCGGGCCGGGCCACAAAGTGCTTTCACAATGCCCGGCTTTCGCTGACCCTGCACAATCACTTCACTCTCAAGTGGCTGCCTGGTGGGTGTAATCCTCGCACTGTGGACTCTACCTTGGCCCAGATGCAGCACTATCGGGAGCCGGATAGCAAGTATGAGCTCAGCGATTTGGTTGAGGATCGCAGCGTCTGGAAGTTTGCCAGTGAACTCCGCTCGGCTGTGGAGCATGTGTGGCTTCATTTGGACGATGTGCTGGCCCAGGTCAGTGATGTGGAGGATCAGCAACAGCAGCTGGATGAGGCACTGGACCAGGATGGGGAGACCGAGCTGGAGCAGCAGCCGCTGCAGCAGGTTTTGCAGCCACCACCACCGCCGCCGCCGCAGCCGCCGCAGCCGGTAAAGGGAAGGAAGTCTTAGGATTAAGGGTTTTTTTTTTAAGTAGATTTTAATGACTGTTTTAGTTCCTTTATAGCCTGGTATTTGAAGGTTTCCGGGGGGGAATTTTTTTGGTGTGATAAATCGATAAATTCAGTTTTTTTTAAAGTGTCTACTGTCCTTCTGATTGAAACAATTTTTTTGTGTAATTTTTAAGATTTAAGATAATTTAAAAGAGAATTTTAAGAATAATTAATTTAAGCAACAATTTTATGAAAAAAATTTAATATCATTCTTAAATTTTACCCTACAAGAAACCATTATAGTATTAGGCTTCTTCTAATCGGTGCTTCGATTATATAATAATAATATATTTATAATTATTTTTTTTTTTTATTTATTTAATGCAAACAAAAAAACCTTAAAATATATACTCTACTTGATATGTGAAAAATAAGAAAGTCGTAATTAAAAGGACATTATCGGAATCTATAATTATAGTTCGCCCATCCATCATTCCGTGGAATTTCCTTCAATGATTGATAGTTTCCGAACTCCCGGTGACTCTGATTCTTATTAGTAGTACTCCAATAAGACGCATAATCTTATCGAGGCCGAGCATCTGCGTCACATGTGTATATATCTGCCACTATATATGCATGCCAGCTCATTAGCTTGGAACACAATTCATTAAGAGAGACGGCGACAGGTGTTGGAAGAGAGACTTCTAGAGGAGGAAATTTAATTTCCGGGAATAACCCATAACAAAAAAGTGATCGAACAGTGACTGATCCGGCAGCCGGAAATGTGCCTGACTTCATTTTGTTAGAAGTTTTTTTTTTCATTGATTTCCAAGAAGAGCTTCTTGGGGAAATCGGAATACAATCAAGTCATAAGTTTAATATGGGTTTAATATGGTCTTGACTTATCTTTGTTGATTATTGGAACTTGTTTTAAAATTTTAAACAGGTCTTCTTTAATAATTATCTCATTAAATTTTGTTTTATAATTGTTATTTTCTATATTTAATATATTTTCTATACCTATATTAAAAACTAATTAACCTTAAGTTTGTATTATCTGCGGATTTTTATCTCACCCCCGTCGAAGGCGACCATGAGAAGTCAGCTATATTTGTTGTTTATTGATTTATAATTTCAATTAACCATAGTATATGCCATGGAACAATCGCTCCGATATTCTTTTTCTCTATTGATTAGGCTTCACCGCTCTCTCTCTCTCTCTTTGTATCTCTCTTCTTCTCCTGATCGAACCTTATCAAAATACCAAAAGTCGGTTATTTTTGACGTAAACAAGTACTAATAAGTAATCGGGAAATCCAAAGTTAGTTTTTTTTTTTCATTTGCAAGTACCCGGATGTCTGAGTTGGTGTGATATCATATGATATGATATGATGTTCATTACCCTTTCAAGGCAGAGAGTTGTCCAGAGATTTTCGGTTAGCTAAAAACATATATTAAGCCAGCTTATCGTTAGGTGTTGTTCATGCTGCTTATCTTAGTTGATATCATAGAGTGCCTAATTTAGTGGCTAAGTTAGTGGTTTTTGGGGGTTTCTACATAATATTATACATGGACTTCTCAACAGTCTTTGCCTTTTGATGTAGAAAGAAAGCCTAAAAGTATACTTTGGTTTGGATATAGTCCACATATTGTAGATGATGGTTTTTGGGGGCCAAAAGTTAAAGCTTTAATGGTTTAAAGTTTAAAAGAATTAGTTGTGGAATAAAATATGATTTAAAATTTTGCCGTAATAAATAAATAAATTTTATATTCACTAAATAAATTTGAGAAAACTCTGGAGTATTTTTACCAACTTTGCTAATGTCTGAGTTGTCTGGAATTAATTCACAAAAAACAGACTTATTTTATGTTTTATTATTTATTTCATTAAATATTTATTTATTTTTTATTAGTTTATTTTGTATATATTTTTGCATTATTATTTATCTATTTTTATATATTTATTTATTTATTTTTTTAGTTTATTTATTTTATATTTTTATTTATTTATTTTAATATATTTATATATTTACTTATTTTTTTATTTAGTTATTATTTGTAACAAAACTTCTTATGTTTTTTTAGTCACTTTATTTACTAATTTTATTTACCTTATCAAACCCTTGATAAAAGGGGTTCCTCCTTGGCAACGATAAAAATTATGAAACAACTGCCAAACAGCGATTAAAAATGTTGTCCAGATAACAAAAATCGAAAATGGTAATATTCCACAATAAAAATGATAAAACCCTTAAAAACTGGGCCATAAATAAATGCTGCCACTGTAAAGGTCGAATTCCACAAATGTTTCATTAAGTTTAGCCAGAAATAAGGTGTCCAGTAAGAGTCACTACCCCAATATCCGGTGATATCATACATCACATATATATATAACATACATATCCCCAACCCCATGGACATTCCTCAGTTAGTGCTGGTGTTGCTGCGTTCATCGTAATCTCTCGTTTATTATGAGCTCAATTCCTTGCGAGACGTTAAATTATATGGCACCGATACTTGCGATCGGTGCCCACTACTGCTAAAAAAAAAAAAAAAAAAGAAACCGAAATAATAGGTAATATACAGGCGCTTCTTATCGGAAGAATTGCTATCGGCTTGAACACACAATCACACAGAAAAAAATACCATCAGCTAGGCTAGCTAATTCAGGGGCGGACCAGGAGCAGCATAACGCCCACAAGGGGTGCCGCAAGGCTCAAGGTCAGAGCCGCGGCTCCACCTCCAGTACTATTTCCAACAGCGGCAGCCATCAGTATGGGTTTCTCATTGGCCCGAGCATTCATCCATGCCTGGCAGTCGGTCTCGTTCTTCACAAAGCGAAAGATCGACTGGACAATGTTGGCGGGTGTGATCTCCGAGCACTGCTCCAGGTGATGCAAAACACAGGCCTCGAAGCGCTGCAGGTCAACGCAGTGGGTGGGCGAGAACAGAAGCTCGGGGCTGCTCATCAAATCCGACACCTTGCCATCCTTGGGTATATAATTATGGAAGGATTGATTGAGGCAATTGCTAATGGCCTCCTTGTTGGCCTCCAAGCACTCGGGACCCTGCTCTGCCACAAAAAGAGCAATCTGATCGCCGCCACGGGAGCAGGCAAAGCCCAGCAGGGCGGCTCCAATGCGGGACACAGTCTCCTGGTGGCGCTTCTCCTCGGCGGTAAGACAATGCTGAGCCTTCTCGTTAAACTCCTTTACACAGGCCTCTGCCTCGGGTGCCTTTTGGCAGTATTTGTGGAACACGGTGTCCAGTTCACCCTGTGGCTTGGCCTTCTCCATTTCCTCCTGAAGAGCCGTTAGGTTGGCCACACCGCTGATGCAGGTGCTCATCTTGGCCGCCGCCTTTTCAATTTCCTCGTAAAAGGTGGCATTATCCGCACCATTCACCTTCTTGCACTTTTCGCGATACATGCGCTTGATGTCATCTAAAGGGGGAAGAAATGCAGGTGCTATTAGTATCTAAAAAAAAACTAGAAATCCTCTAGAGAATCTTTATAAAATCTTTATTAAAATCGGTGATAAGTAACTCCTCCTTCAGCTGTTATGTCACTTACCCACACTGACATTGGTGTTACGATATTCCGGCGGCAGGAACTGAGCCGAGAGTCCACCCAGCTGGCTGGGATCTAGCTTGGTTCCAGCTGCTGTGCCGGCTGGCGTGGCCTGAGCCTCCAGGAGCAGGGCCCCCAAGGCGGCCATTAGGCAAAGGGCCATCATGGCGTACTTGTTCATGATGGCTGGCGAGGATTACGACCAAAGAGAGAGAGAGAGAGCTGGAGGAGAGAGATCGAAGCGCGTCCGTCCGTGGATCCGACTGTGGTTGAGTGATGGCCGCGAGTGAATGAATCCGGTGCTTCGGCGGCCAGGCTACCGAGCACCGAGCCCAGAGAGTGAGACAGTGGGACAAAGGTATCAGAATATCGCTGAGATCGCGTCCGTATCGCTGCCACCTCACACACTTAGTGTTTCTTTATTTTTGGGTGGGCGGCTATCTTTACCGATATCGGCTATCTTATCGTGTGTTCTTCGATTTTTAAACTGATTAATCAATCTATATATATGTCGGCGTATTAAGGGTACATTTGCATGCGATTGCATCATTGCTTCGAGTTGGTTTTTTACTGAGTAATATAGTTTAAGCGAAAAATATATTATTTTATGGAATTTTTGATTGATATATTTAATATATATTTTTTATAGAATTTTTAATTTTAGTCAAGGAGTCATTTCCGACCCTTTAAATCATATATATTATTAATCAGCGTCAAAAGCCGAGTCGATCTAGCCATGTCTGCTAGAAAAATATATTTTTTTTTTTAATTTTTTCAAAATTTTATAAGGGGTCATATTGTTCAATTACCATAAAAATTTACAAAAAAAAATTGCATTTAAGAATAGTTTAAATTTAGTAAACAGATTTATCAGCTTCATAAAAACTAACACAAAAACTCTTTCCGAATCGAATTTAATTAATTTTTGGCTTAAATATAGATTTTTTAGATTTTTTGTTCAGAAATTATATAAACAAATCATTATAAATCATTTATTAAATTCATTCACGCCCTTTTTATTCTATTTTTACCCCTTTGCCCCACTGTGCGATCTTAGTTCGGGCTTTTGCTCAATCAGCCGACAGTGACATCATTCACACTTCGGCCACGCGACATCTTTCTGAGAGTGTGAGTCCATTTTCAAAGTATGGTATGGGTACGGGTATATATTGGTAAGGGGGCAAAGTTTTTCCGGCAGTTACAAGTGACGATGAAGATTATATGTTGTGATTCATCCACAAGCAAAAATCGGTTTAAGAATTGCAGACAAATTTTAAATTTGCTAAAAAAGAATATATATATAAATATATGGGTGTATATACATATATTTCTCCAGTGTCCTCGGATATCTTATCGCTGGCCATAAGTAATATTTATGTAGGCAGTCGCCTCTCAGTCGCTATCGCAATTGCCGGCGGTTTTATGTTCTGTTCTTTGTCTGTGTTTACCTGCGATCGATGGGGATACAATAGTAAGGGTATATTGTTTACACCGGATTTCGAGGGAAAACCACGCCTAGTTTTAGTCATTATTTGGGCTAAAAGTCGGTTAAAGGGGTATTTATTCAGGGAAGTTTCTGTAGGAGTAAGTGTAAGTGTGTTTTTTTCTTAACTTCTAAAGTCGAAATTCTGCTTTGTAAAATGCTAAGTAATAAATGGGTTGTTTTTCTAAATATATAATAATAATATTTTATATGTAATATTTAATATATAATTAATTTTTATATATTAAAATATTTAGGGTATACTTGAAAATAATACATAAATAATATTTTAAATATGCAGCAGTTTCTATAAAGCAACACGCCACTGTCTCATAAGAAACGGCTACAGCTAGAACCCTTTGGGAATTCTAAGGCCTGAATATTATAAAACTTGCCATTAATACTGAAATAACTGTCTAAATTTTAGAGTTCTATTGACTGAATGTTATACAACTTGCTAGAAATATTAAAAAACGGTCTACATTTTTTTTTTAGATTTTTTTTTTACCTTCTCATTAAACATGATCTCTTTTTGTATAGTGTTTCTGTAATTTCCCTTCTCTAAAACCGCTTCACACTTTATATTTTCATTGTTTCATAGATCAAAACGTTTACAAAATTAATTTGCATATCTCTAAGCTCATTAATACTGCAATTAAAGGCAGAATATACCTGCCTCCTTTAATCCGCCTGCAATTAGTAAGTCGGAGAACAGGTATATAAAATATCTCACACAGCCAGGTAACACTAGAGCTAGCTCGGGACGTAAAGCGATTGAGTTGACTCGACAATTTGTCACCGCCACCGCACACAGCAACGCAACGATTGGGGAAAATTAAGAAAAAAAAAAAAAAAAATAAATAAAGAACAAAGGCAATCAAGGGGGGGTTTGGGAGATCTAGAACTAAGTCTTACCCGCCGATCGATTGCAGTGTCGGCGGAATATTCAATTGTGTCGTCGGTTTCAGGTGACTTCTTTGTTTTGAGTTCTCTGTTCGCTGTTCTCTGTTTTCTTTCCTCCGACATAAATCCCGATGGATTTCCTCATAATCCCACTTAACGGAAAACCCGGGATAAAACCCACGCACGCTCAAAGATTCTCTGAGATTTGAGCTTGGACTAATTTTAATTGCTCAATGCTATGTGTGTGTGCTTGGGCAATTTCAACTTTGACTTACATTGCGAGCGTACATGAAACCGGTTTGCATAACGTTAAATTCACCATGGAAACATCGCACCATCGAGCCACCGAACCACCGTACTTCCTAAAAAGTACCACCAAGCCACAAGCCACAGTGGGCAAAGTTCGCGGTATTGGCGACGTAACAGTCTGATAAGGTGTTATCGCTGCGGAACATGAATGAAATAAGCCGGAGGCGAAGTGCAATCATCCGAGAACAATGGAAATTCTGCCAGAGAATGCCCCTCAAAGCCATCAGATTTGTGCTCTTTTCACACACAATTCCAAACAAAATGACTAATGGGCAAGGCAAAGATCAGGGCTTAAGGTTTTACATATATAGCAAGAGGGTTACGTTGGCCAAGATAATTATAATTATGGGTTGGTCAAATGAGATTTTATTGGTTGTAATTGAACCTACAACATGGCTTAATATGAAATTGATAAGAAAAAACATTTAAAATAAGATAAACAAATTATAATTTTTTTAAATTATTTAGAATATTAAATAAAATGTTTAACAAAATATTAAAAGAATTAATTTGGAGAAAAAATAAATAGAATGAATAAATAGCGAGAATAAATGGAAAGGTAAAATAGAACCTAAGAATATAAAATTTTAATTAATTATTTTTTATATTTATTATTTTTTATATTTATTATTTTTTATATTTATTTTTTTTTATATTTATTATTTTTTATATTTATTATTTTTTATATTTATTATTTTTTATATTTATTATTTTTTATAATTATTCTTTTTTATTTTTATCAGTTTCTATATAGTTTAAAGTTCTTTTGTTTAATTTATTTTTATTGCATGAAATATATATATACAAATTCAGACAACCTTGAACATTAAAATACAATTTAAAACCAAACTTAATTAATCATTAAAAAAAATATCAGCCAAGCAAATTAAGAGGTTCAAAATGCAAACTTTTATTGAATTTTCTAGACCAAGAAAGATGTCATAATACAAAATTGATAAGAGATAATACATATATAAACATAAACATAGGAAAATATGTAAAAGTATGTTAACAAAACATTCCCAAGGCACAACAAAAATGCAGTATACTTTCAAGAGATCAACCTAAAGAAATCAAGTAAAGTAAGCAAAATAAAGCAAAAACTGGTTAAAAGAGATTAAAGCGAATAAAAAATCAAAGAATAATGCAATGGGAAAAAGGAACAAAGAAATGAAGAACCACTTTAAGGGCAAGAGGCAATAAAAAACTGCAATAATCGACAATCATCATTATGGTTAAGGCATTTCAAATATCGCGCATACGCCATGCTGGACGCACTCAAGCCTCGACGTGGATGAGCTGCTTATGAAGCCAAACAAATCCCTGGGCAAATCCTATACCCTGACCCCGGTATACTTGCTCCTCGGTTGGAAAATTTGAGGGAATTGCACACACACACACACACACACACACACACACACAACCAAAACGAGTGAATGGAATCTGCAGCCTCCCATTTCCCTATTCTCTCTGTTTCTTCCACCACCCCCCTTAGCTGCTTTTCTTCTTTATGCCACTGCCTTAATCAGACATCATCAAGGACTCTGGAGGGAGGCTGGAGGAGAGCTGCTGCTCCTGCTCCTGCTGCTGTTTGCCTTGCTGGCTGCTTTATGAGCTTAGTCCGTGTGCTTTACTACCCAATTAAGCTAGGAAATACATTTAGCAAACTAATGAATTATAAACACACATACACACACGAGCAGAGGCCAGTAAAAATACAGGGAAAATCGAAATAGCAGAGAGAGAGAGGGTCAGACCAAGTGATGCCCTCCCGAAAGTATGCTTAAGATCTTGATCTAAAAACTATACATGTAGATGTACTCTACATGTTGTTAAGATTTTTTTTATATTTAAAAAAATCTGTAAATAAATAACTTAACTTTTTGAGAAATGCATAGAGAGGCTCTGACTAGCTCTGTCTCTCTCTCTCTATTCCACCAGCTAAACTTTTTGAGAATCGCATAGAGAGGCGCTGATTTAACACTAAACCGAGTTACACCCGGAAACTGTAACCTGGAACCTGAAACCGTAACCTATCCCCGCACAAATCCACTCACCTGGTCTACTTTTAGAGAGCTCTGCTTGTTGGCAACTATTTAAATATTCCAGATTCCACACGGAACCAGTTAACTTTCCTCTTCGTTAGGTAGTTTTCCCATCCGCCAGAGAGAGAGAGAGAGAGAGGGAGAAAGAGAGTTTGGAATCAAACATGCCCCGCCCTACCCTGGAGCCTGGCATGCCCTATCCTGTGCCGTGCCGTGACTGCCTGCAACGCTGTATCCTTTTAAATGAAATTAAGCTAATTTGGGAAACAGGCAGCAGCGCGTCATCGTGGTCCGGGGAATGGATACGGCAACCGGCAACCGGCAACTGGCAACGGAACTCATTCTCGCCGTGGAGTTTAATTCAATGCGGAGGAGGGTAGGTAGAGCTACAAGCTCATGCATATGCAGGCCCCATTTCTGCGTACCAAATCAAAGTTGCCCCACATAGTGTGTGTGTGTGTGTTGGTGTGTGTGTTAGCCATTTGCAACACATGCCACATGTCTGCGTCCTCCACCCTACTTGGCTGCCTCTACCTGTATTGTAATTTATTATCCTGCATGGCAAAAAGGATTTTCATCAATTAATCATGCCCTGCGATGCTACTGCAGCTAGATAACACTAACGCAATGTTGTCCGTTGTCCGTTATACGCTGTCCGTTTGTCCGTTATATGATGTCCGTTTGTCCGTTATATGCTGTCCGTTATACGCTGCCCGTTTGTCCGTTGTCTGCTTATCCGTGTATCCAGAATTTAAGCTAAAGTCCGCCCTCTTGGTCAGTGGCCGTAAACAAACGCCAAAGCCTCGGCAAGGCCTGAGTTATGGACCACAAAACTGATAAATTAGTGCCAAGTAAGTGGGCTAGGATCAAAGGTGGCCCAGCAAGCAAGGCATCACTGGATTGAATTTGAGGAATCACAGCCCAATGCAACCAAATATAGATTAATCATCAGAGAGAGAGGCTAATTGAATATAAATAAGGTACTGAAACTCATAAGCTGACTAATCTCATTAAAGCCTTAACATAGTTGTTAGTAAGTATTTTATTTATATAAATATTTCTTTGGCTAATTTCCATACATTCAGCGCATATTCAGCGACTTAAAGCCAGACCAGAGACCAGCAAGCCAATGGCCTTGGCCTTACTATGTGTCCCCTGTGTTTCTCCTGTGCATCCCCTTGCGTGCCTCCTGTGTGTCCCTGGTGCTCTGTATCCTGTCTGTAAGCACTGTGATTTATGGAGTGCGAGCCAAGTCAGGTCGCCTGCTCTGACTCCGTCTCCTCACTCTTTTAATTCGTGTTGCCCAGTTAAATCAGCTTAAAGTGCATGAATGGCCATTTCATGGACGATTTCATCAGTTATTCAAAGCCAGTCTGCCTTCAAGTAAAAGTAAATTATTTTACACACACTATATACTATATATAGGATATACAACAGCAAAACCAAAGACCCAAAAGGCTGTAGCAATTTTTCCGTTTAGTTTATTATGCAAAATTTAATTTTAATAAACAAATAAGGCCCAGGGTCCGGGTTTGCGCTGCTGCTGCACTCGTGTGGCATTTGTTTGGCAATGCCATTTTCAGTACGAATGATTGATTGATTGATTGATTGACTGCCTCACTGGCGGACACACTGACGGAATGTCGAACGACGGTTGTTGGTGTGTGGCTGTTTGCCTGCAGGATTATTTCTGCCTTGGGAGTCCTTCTCTTAAGTTTGCCTTATTATTTCCATTTTACGATTTTCAATTAAAACCGTTTGTTTGGAGTCTTGTTTTGGCTTCATGGAAGGTAATTCAGTTTTGGTGTGTCTCTGGAGACAGAAAAGTCCTTGTCTTGTAAGGCTAATAAATTGGCTCACTTGTTATAGCTTTAAAATGCAAGGTTTTGGAAATGAATTTTAAACAAATTTATTGTTAAGTAGGTAAAGAGTGGGGTGTAAGTAGCTCTAACTACTTAATCTGTTGGGTTAATTGGTTGGTATTGGTATTCAACTAGATTTCAATTTAATAGATTTTCCAAAAATTTTAAGTAGCTTTTTTCTGCGCTCTGGCTCTGTAAGAGTTCATTTTATGAATTCATTCTAATTCTAATAAGCTTGAGAAGCACAGAAATATATTGTGTAAGACATTATTTTAATTTTATTTTAAAATGTTTTGTGATTTTATTATTTGAGGTAATAAATACTTAATATAAAATAGATTTTTTTTTTAACATTTTAAACATTTTGAAAGGCGAAGAGAAAGAGAGAGAAGACTCGCTCTCTTGGAGTTCATTTTAGAATGAATACTGTTAAAAAGCTTGAAAAGGTGGAGGAGAGAGGCTCAGTAATACTTCATTTTAAAATTAAGATAATATATGGATATATATATTTATAATATACAATAGATTTTTAAACATTTTAAATAGATTATAAAACGAAGAAAAAGTGAGATAGGAGTTCATTGCAAATTGAACATGATTACCTGTTTATCCTTCAAACTTTTTAATATCTTAAATATATATACAATTATTTATAATATTTTCTTATTATTTATGTCTAAAATATATATACATTTTATATAAAAAATATTTTATAATAATAATATACTCGTCTTTAATCACTAATATTTACTAATTAATTTAAAGCCTATTTCTTCTTCACAAACTCATATTCATAAGCATGTAAACACTTCTCTTTGAGCCATTTCTTCCTCTTTAAGACCCCAAGATAAACAGGTGGGTGACTCCCATACAGCCTTTGGTGTCTTTGTGTCCTTTCACCACGTGAAATAATTCAGCTCATTAGAGGAGACTCCTCTTCACACAGGGTGTGCTCGTCATCATCCAGCCAGTCTCAGAGAGTGGCTTGCCAAGGCGGTGGAGTTGCCACTACACCATGGCTATGGGGTTAATTCGGGCCATAAATTTTGCTAGTTGCATGTTGCTATTGTGGCTGCTGCTTCTCCTGCTCGGGGCCAACTAAGCCTCGCCTCCGCCTCGCTGATATAATGTGACACCAGCTGCTTAATGTTTTGGTTAAAAGCATTCTAAGTGAAATGCAACAGGGCGGAGACACACACACCGAGCGCCGAGCTGATGCACTCTCGACTTTCACTGGCCGCAAGCACCAGAGACAAAAGAAGGAGCTACAGGAGCAGGAGCTGGGAGAAGGAGAAGGAGCAGAAGTAGGAGCAGGAGCAGGAGCTGGGAGAAGGAGAAGGAGCAGAAGCAGGAGCAGTAGCTGGCACACAGGTAGCTGGAGGTCAGGAGGGCGTGCCAAGCTCCGGCTGGCAATTTGCTTAAGCGAAAGGTTGCGGCACACATATGAGGCAAGAAACAAACACAACTTCTTCTGGCAGTTACAGTGGGCCAAAAACACAATAAAATGGCTAAAAAAAATAATTAAAAAATTAGGCTGAATAAGTAATAAAGTAAATTAAAGTATAGTAGAGTGGGGGTAATTATCTTAAGAAGATTTAAAAAAAAAACTATTTCCTCATCAAAATCTCATTTTAAATCTCCACTAGTTAGTTAGTTTAGTTTATTATTATTCAATTATTTTTTAATTATTATTTAATTATTATTCAATTATTATTTCATTATTTCCCATCTCGTGACACTGTTTTTTGGTTTTGTTGGAAAATAAGTTTGTTGCCTGCTTTTGGCCTGCGGCTGTTGTGGCAACATCATCATCATTCATTTGCGCCCAGGTGCGTTTTCGTGTGCACTCAGCTTGTGCTCGTATTTGGTGTATTTTCTTGGTGTTTTCTTGTTGTTTTCATTTGGGTTTTCCTTTTTGCCGGTGTCTGTTGCACCTACCGGAGCAGCATCTTGCGGCGGCACCTTTTCCGCGGAGGCCACTGCCCGAAGGAGTCTGCTCCTTGTTTGCTTTATTATTTTTTAGGACTAGAGCGACGCCTGATTCCGCTCGACTGATTTTTTATTTTGGGTGTGTCTACTTGAGTTTTGGTTCTTGTTTCAATTTTTGGCTTTTAAAGGTTTTTGCAATTATGTTTTAATTTGTAAATTATTAAATTTTAATGTGATAGATATTAAGTTTAATTGTTTTATATTATATTTGGAATAATATAATATATTATATATATATAATATTCATTAAATAAATACCAATATTCTATAATCGTGGAAAATGGTCATATCTTAAAGAAAATTAATTTTATAATTATATTAAAAAAATCTAATAATATAAAAAAATATATAATAATATTAAAAAGAATATAATAATAATATAATTTTAATTTCTGGAATTTTTCCTAGACTTTATTTTATAAAATACTATATTTAATAGTCTTTGAATTTTAATTCAATTTAATTCGATACTAAATTTCTGCTTTAAACAAAGAAGCCATATAAAATCAATTGAAACTTTTGCAATAATAATAATAATAATAATAATAATAAATCTTTGCATTCATGCAACTTACTTTAAATTTCTTATCACTTAACGAGGAAACTTGCCCAGAAGTCCCTATTCCAAGAGTATAGTTCCTATATAGCTAGTAGATAAACCAATTTAAGGGTGTATACATACCTATACATTTATTTGTAGATAATGCTATTCCCATTTCCGGTACCTAGTCAGAAGGTAATACCTGGCAGATAGAGCCCAGGAAAGTAATTTTTTTCCTACTGCAAATATTCCCATTACGATAATTTTTGCCTTTAGCCGCCGCTGCTGCTGATATCTTTTACCACTTGGGCAGGTCAGCCACCGCGGCAGCAAGTGGATATAGCAATATAGTGAAACAGCTTTATCAAATATTGCGACATATAATGCGACATCGGAGGCATTGTTTTCTGTCTCTCCCGGGAGTTTTTGAGTTTGCTCTGGTTCCGGATCGATCAGTCGAGTGCCGAAATGTCAACGAGCTACACGCGCCTCTTCCGAATCCTATTCGTGATCATTTTCCTCAAGCTGCTCTTTCTGCTGGGCCTGTACTTTCGGAGTTACGATGTGAGCACCAGGCTACAGAGGCGACCAGTTGTGGTCTCCCAGGTGGATATATTTGATGAGATTTTATTGGATCGCAGGAAGTGTAAGGAGTGGGCCAGGATAACCTCGGAATCCTTAACTATCAAGTCTGCTTTTTCCAGCCCCCTCTTGGGAGCAGCAACTGAAATGGATACGCGAGGAGATGCCCTCGTTTCCCTTGGAGGAGCTTAAACAGCGGGAAAAACACCATCAGACAGTGAAATGTGGCCCTGCTCCGGATCTCATGAACATTGATTTCCACAATACCTACTGGCAAAAAGCGGTGAATCAGAATTTAACTTACTACCTCTTTGGGGCCTACTTTGATGACAGGGAAACAGTGCCAGAGGCACCTCTAGTCCGTCTCCTGACCATGGTCAATCAGCATCTGGACAAGAAGTTCAAATATCCACAAATATACTGTCAGCTTTGGTTCGAGGGCAAAGCGGATCCCCTCATTGTTAATGTCACCGAGCATCGGGTGATGTGGCCCTTTGGTCATGCCCCTCGTCGTGTCTATCCCACCTTCCTGAGCTGTCCCCTGCCGGGTAACAGCAGTTTGGAGGAAAAGGTGCCTCAGATGGTGTCTTTGGTGGGACAAAAGTGTGATAGGGCCAGGAATTTGCTTAGAGTGGTCTATGAACCAGCTGAGGAAGAGGTGGTCAAGGTCAAGGCTCAGGCCACAGGAAATGGCACAAATTTCAGCTCCTCCACGGAATCCACTTCCTCCTCTGCTGAGCAACCAACCAAAGATCCCCGTTTTATAGTCTGTGTCAAGGCCATGGACTTTCCCTACAAGGACAAGTCCTGGCGACTGATAGAGTGGCTGGAGCTAATGCGTCTCCTGGGAGCCTCCAAAGTCTGGCTGTACGATGCCCAAATGCATCCCAACATGACCCGAGTGCTAAAGGATTATCCCGGCTTTGTGGAAGTGCGTGCCATGTCCTTGGGTCGTGGAGAGCCCCATGCCCGTCCCCATTTCCATCACTACACCATGGCGGCGGATGGCTTCAATCGAATCCTGAATGAGATGATCCCGTACAATGATTGCTTCTACAGGAACATGTACAAGTACGACTATGTGGGTGTCTTTGACACTGATGAGGTGATCATGCCCCTGGGCAACACCACCGACTGGAAGCAACTGGTGAAACTGGCCCGCCATGTACCCGACTATGGCGGGGTCACCTCGCCGAAATGCACCGAATGGGTGAGCTTCTGCTTCCGCAATGTCTACTATCCCCGGTATCCGGAACGTCCCAAGGTCTATCGCAATCTCTCCAGCTCCTTCTATATGCTCCAGCATGTGGAGCGGGTGCGAGAGCATTGCAATCGAGGTGCGGCCACCAAGTGCCTCCATGACACTCGGTTTGCGGTGGGCTTGCACAATCATTTTACGTTCTTCCATACGGAAAATGCCGCCTGTGGGGCCAAGTCGGTGCCGATAGAGTTTGCCCAGATGCAGCACTACAGGGAGCCGGATACCAAGTCCCTGCTGATCGATCCGATCATTGATGCCAGCATCTGGCGATTCCAGCCGCAGTTGCAGTCAAGGATCGAGGAGAAGTACCGGCGATTGGGTTTCCTGCCCAATGAGCAGCAGCTGGCGGATTCGATGGAGCGGCGGCGACGCAACGATGAGCTCCAGCTGAAGGAGGCAGTGGGTCAGCAGGGTGGGTCGGGGTGAGAGGATAGGAAAATGATGTAAGATATGGCTCGGGATCTCTCTAGCTGGTATTTATTGAGCGTTGCAGAAAACAAAACCTGCAGAGTTGAAAATTATTTCAATTTTTTTAGTTTTAAAAATGATTGGTAAGTTTTAGTGACTTAATTATTCAGGGAGTTAATTTTAATTTTTTTTTTAGGTTACGTTTTTTTTTTTAACAAAATTTTTATATTTAATAAAAATAATATAAGTAATCTTTAAGTTCAGTTTAAACCATTCAAATTAACACAGTTCTTGGCCACATTCTTACTCAATAAAGTATAAACTTGTCGACTGGTTTTAGCACTCTTTTTTTTATGCTTAAAAACAATTTATTTGCTTTAGGGTTTTAACTAGACAATTTTTGTATTAAGATCACAAATAAAAAAGGCCTGTCAAGTGTTTAAACACCAAGAAGATGGTAAGCCAACCATGTGACGCGAGATCGAAATGAATCCCTAACAGTTGGGCAAACAAAGTCTGCCAAAAGTGGAACAATTTCGGAGCAGATCTACAAAAAAACCTTACTCAAAAATGCTTATTAACAAATGTGAATTTTGTTTATTGGTTTCACCATTCTGACGTTAATAGATAACGGGCCCTAAAAGCGGTCTAGGCTAAGAACCACAAACGTTATCCAAATGTGCAACATTCATTTAGTTATTAACACATTTTGTTAAAAAATTGTTTAATTTAATTTAAAAATTTTAGTCAAAAAGCTTGAAACGCAGCGAAGCAGTCATTTCCGAACCCACAAATCATATATATTCTTGATCAGCATTAAAAGGCGAATCGATTTAGGCATGTCGGGAGGGAAATAATTTTTTGATTTTTTTTTTGTTTAATTTTATGGATTGATTTCCAAGAATAATAAAAAAAAAAAAAGAAAAAAAATTTAATATTTTAAAAAATTAAATTAGGTATGCAAATTTATAAAACTAATAAAAACTAACTCAGATCAGTTTTCCGAATGAAAATTAATGCATTTTCGGCCAAGTTATCATAATGTTAACTTTAAAAACTTAAGCTTATATTAAGACGTTTTTTTTAAGTGCATAATCGAATTTTAATATTTTTGCTGGGTGAAGGAGTCATTTCCGACCCCACAAATCATATATATTCTTGATCAGCTTTAAAAGGCGAATCGATTTAGGCATGTTCGGAGAAAATCAAATTTTTTGAGATTTTTTTTTTAATTTTATGGATTGATTTCCAAAAATCATAAAAAAAATTTTTTTTTAATTTTATATTTATATCAACTGAGTATCCAAATTTATAAAACTAATAAAAACTAACTCAGATCAGTTTTCCGAATGAAAATTAATGCATTTTTGACAGAGTTATGATTTTTTTTAGACTTTGATGTGTCCCAAAAATTAACCCCAACTTTAACCTGCTGCTTTGGCACCTGTTTTGACCAGCTCTGTTAGCTTTCTTGGCCAAAAACGGCTAAAAGCCTCAGCGGCACTCTGTTAGTTCGTGGCAGCAGACTCTGTTGTTGCAGCGAACGTGTTGCAAAAGCAAATGTTGGCAGTTGTGGCTGTTGCTTTAGTTGGCCAAAAACAGCTGGAAGGCTTGGATGTGATGCCACGCCCTTTGACCCCGCCCCAAGCTTCTATATATTTTGTAAAATATTTTTTATGATGTGTTTTTGCTTAGTTTTTCATTTATTTCTTGAATTTTTGTATATTTCTGCTTAGTTTCTTATTTATTTCTAAAATTTGTTATGAATTTTTTGCTGCTAAAAATTCTATAAATATTTTTCTTGATTTACTAATTTTAATTGATAATTCTGCTCTTCAGTTTCGTAGCTTCAAAGTTAAAGTTTCAGCTTTAGCCTTTGGTTTTATATACATTTTCATAATTCCCTTGTTTGCACTCGAGCTTCGAGAGAGCTCTGGCCCTCTTCGTTGGCTTTTAAATTGCACATAGAATTTAATTTAATTTGCGTGTTCGGCCATTTATCCACTTCTAATTAATTGCATTGCACAAAGGCAGCCAGAGTAGGAAAAACATTTAAAACAACAAAAGCTGCAACAAAAATGTGAAAACGAATGCAAACATGAAACAAATATGGTTTAAAAAAAAATGTATAGAAAATAAAACATTCTTGTTTTTTTTTTGACGTAAAATAAAAATATTCATTATTATTTGGCCAAATGGCGATTTAATGATATGAGCAAACATGGCCAAACAGTGTTGCTGTTGGCATGCAAATTATGCGAGGCAGCCGGTTGGTTTTTCATTTTTTAATTAAATGTTTTAACGCTAATCCGGCGGCAACCAGCAGAGGGGTTGAGGGGGGGAGCTGGGATTAAGGAAAATATTTGAATAGCAACGACGATGAGTGGCAAACAAAGGATAAAACAGAGGCAGGACGAGCATAGCAGCTAGCCAGCGGAAGCGGAAACGGAAACGACAGCCAGCGACAATGGCGCCGCGTCACACAAATGTCACCAAATGCAGTTAGCTTTTAAGACCCAGGCAATGCATCCTTAAAAGAAGTGAGGCAAGGAGTAGACTTTAGATATTACCATTAATTTTTAGTTACATTTATTTATAGTTGAATTAATTAAATTAATTTTATTATATTATTTTTATTAAATTTATTTATATTTTTTGTATTTTTCGTATTTATTTTATTCATTTTATTGATTTTATTTATTTTATATATTTTATTGATTTTATTTATTTTATATATTTTATTTATTTTATATATTTTATTTATTTAATTGATTTTATTTATTTTTAATTATTTTTAATTATTTTAATTATTTTATTTTATTTATTTTATCAATTTTATTTATTTTATTGATTTTATTTATTTTATTGATTTTATTTTTTTTTATTTATTTTATTGATTTTATTTTTTTTTTAATTTATTTTATTGATTTCATTTTTTTAAATTATTTTAATTATTTTATTTGTTTTATTTATTTTATTGATTTTATTTATTTTCTTTATTTAAATATTTTTTTATATAAAATACATATTATTCAGATCGGAGCACTAGTAACCCCTGAATTGATCGTCACAGCTATTTCGTTTTTCAGACGACATTGAGCTCCCTTCATATTTGCACCTAAAAAAATAAAAAAAAAATCCAAACTTTTATATTGTTTTTGCCGGCCCTAATAAAATTACTATTTTTCGCCAAAAAGAAGAAAGGAAAGTCTGTCGCTCTGTATCACGAAATCACGCTCGTCTATATATCACTTTGTATATATAACATCTGCATAAATATATCTGTATTGTAGATCGTTTGAGTTTCTTTTTTGTATTTGCAATAACAAGTTTTCATTTCAAACGATAAACTTCAAATCAGTGTGCAAATTATTCGGCAAATTCTTATTTTCAAAACAAGCTAAACATTTTTCTCAAAATTTAAATCAAGGGAACGAAAAAAGAAGAAAGTGTTGTTAACCAGCAATGGAGGTGAGTTTATATTGTAAGCCAGATATTCTTTGATAGAAATGTAGGTAATTTCAGGGAATCCCCGAAAGTATGCCCATTGAAATTGAGCGGATCTCTCCCTCCCCTTTTGACCCCATTTTTCCCATTTGCCATATTTGTTAGCCATCTTGTTCAAAACCAAACTACAAGGATACAGGGGCCGAGTTCAAACTAAAAAACAAAACAAAAGCGAAACAAAACAAAACAAAACATTGGCGAAACAAAACACACAATGCAACAGGGAGCTGGCCATGTTTTTTGTTAATTAAAATTGGCATAGCAGCTGCAAAAGGGAGGAAGGAAGTAGGGAAATGCCTGGCAAAGCAACAACATTTTTGCATTTTCATCAGTTTTTCGGGGGCAAAGCGACAGGTCACGGGTCACAGGAAGTAAAGAAAAGGCAAACGAATGAATGAATGAATGTCTCACGATTTATAGGGTATATATAGTACTATATAATATACAAGTATATATATTTACCTTCAAAGTGCTTCATTTTTCAATGGATGACAACCCATTGAGAGAGAGCCCCCCTCGATTTATGTGCCGCCAATAAATTTACTCAACACTTTTGGCCCTTCCGACTAATACAATATTTACATCAAATTGGGCTAGCTGGGGGCGGGGGGAGGGTAACTGGGCGAAATAAAAAATTGCAATGCGTTTTTCTTAGCCAAGAACAGAGGGAGGGAAAGAGAGAGAGAGAGCGCAGTGGAAAAGGATTGCCTGAACTTGGAGAAAAATTTTGTGAATTTTTTAGTCATATTTTTTGTTGTAAATATTATATCTTAGAATTTTGTTTCTTTAGTTCATTTTCTTAATTAATTAATTTATTTTTAATAATAATTTTTATTTGATTTTATTTATTAAAATGTATTATTTATTTCTTTTAATTAAAACCAAAAAAATTTTTTTAAAATGATTTTCTTACCTAAAAACTAAAGATTTTTAATTTTTTACTTATTGTTTTGTGTTATTTTTAAGTAATTTTTGTATCACTAAGTTTATATATAAGAAAATATTAATAATATTTTATGGAAATAAATTTTTATAAAATAAAATATTTATAAATTTTGAAAAGGAAACCCTTTTATATATTTTATATATATTTTATTTTATAAAAAATTAATAATTTTATTTTAAAATATATATAAAATTTATAAAGAAACCCCGTGTCTTTTATAAATTGTATATATTTTTTCTTTTATTCTTAAATACTGTAAAGTTATTCCTATTTTCTCCCTCTGTCGCCTTGGCCTTCCTTGTACTGTTTTTGTTTCAGTTTTGGCTTTGCCTTTCTCCTTTTCCCCTCCTCCTGGCTGTCGTTTAAGTTAAAAGCGCATTTGTAAAGGGAAAATGGGGAAAAGCTTGGTTAAGGGATAGCAGGAAGAGGAGGAGGAGTAAGAGTAACAGTAGGGGAGCAGCAGCATCCTTCCAAGATCCCTGAGCGCCTTTTAAAAGGCAAATCTGCAGTGCAATGTCTTGGCATTTCTTCTCCACCTCCACCATTACATTAAGCGTTCAGTGTTAAGTGTGTGGGCGGCGCCCAAGGATCCAATGTGGATCTGCCGAGACACAGATTTACCATTAGGAGAGGGAGAGCCCAAAAAGGATTCCCCATAAAGAACCAAAAAGCCAAGAAACCAAAGAGCCAAAGAGCCTGTCAAAGGCCAAGTGGACCGACCACGGTCGAGTTCGCTCTCAAATATTTAACCCACGCTGCTTTTTTTGATTTCTATTTCGATTCCTGCGCCATATAGGATTTTTCGATATTTACCATTCATTTGCCCCCCTATTTAAACTTATGACAGCCAAAGCCAAATGAAAGTTTGCTCTTTTGCTTTGCTTTTTGCTCCTGCCGACTCTCAATAACATCCTGCGACACGAGCAAACAAAACAAATATAAAAAGAAATAGAGAAATGTGGCCATTAGTTAAAGTTTGCCTGATGGCAGAGTGTTGAAAAATATCCTTAAATAAACCTTGAAACTTTTTTAAGACCTGTAATTTCCTTTTCTTAATTATAAAGAATAATTTATAGTTTGATTATATTTAGATAAGAATTTTTTAAAATTATTTCTTTATACTTAACTTTTTATTTTATTTTTAATACCTTTTTTAACATATTTTTGGGCTTAGAGTTATCCAAATTTATTTCTTTATATTTATAAATATCTTAACAATTTTTTTTTTTATTTTTATAACCTTTTTTTAACATATTTTTGGGCTAAGAATTTCCTAAAATTATTTCTTTATATTTTTAAATATCTCAACAATTTTTTTTTTTATTATTGTTATTATCTTTTTTTAAACATTTTTTTAGGCTTAGAATTTTTAAAATTTTTTTTAATATTTAAAAATATCTTTATATATATATTCTTTACTTTTAACACACTTTTTTGGGCTTAGAGTATTTAGTTGTTCGTGGCTAAAATATAGCAAGTATTTTGTCCTTTTTTTTTTTACTTCGTTTCGAATCGAAGCACCGTAATAAGTTTTAAGCGCTTTCCCGCTTTTCCAGGCCAATAAGAAATGCGTGATGTGTTACCCTCCACACACACAGACACACACACTCACACATCATTCTCTCAAGTGTTTTGGGTGTCGCACCCACTCAATTCATCGAGTCCCAAGTCCAAGTCCCCGTCAAGGGTGTGTAAATATTTGTTCCTCGAGCTGGCAACTTCTGTGCACACGTTCCGTCTCCCTTCTATGGTCAGTTCGCAGTTCGAGTGGAACTTGTCCGTGGCCCCTACGCTTTTCTAGCTTGAAAATTTTTCAGAAAATTTAGCTCACGTCCCAAGGAGCTCACGTGTCCGGGTGTGTCCATCTAAGGCATAGGGAGTAGAGGAGAGTGGGGAAAATTCGCGTGATTGTCTCATTAGCAGGGAGAGAGAGAAAGAAAAAACTAGAAAATAAAGGAGCCTTACATAATGACTGAATAGTTGCATCTGAGTTTCATTTCAACTTTAGATTTTTTCAGAAGAAAGTCCATAGAAATAAAGGCTGCCAAGGCATCTCTTTCTGATAGAAGTTCTAGTAGAACTCCCAGTATTTTCTCGTAAATTTAAAATACATAGAAAATATCTTAAATATATAATATATAATTTTTATAAACTCTTCTAAATCTTCAAAATATATATAATATAGATTTTTTTGCTGACATCCCTATAGCTTTGACCCCATATCTGTCATTATTCATTTCGATTTTTGTTAAGAAATTCAGTCTACATTTTGCTTTCGACTAACAAACACCACAAAAACCAGATAACCCCAGATTGGAATTCTGTTCTGGTCGAGTATAGAACATATTATTCCATAAGTTTATTGTACGTTTTTTTTATGAATTTATTATTATTATTTTTAATTAAATAAATCTCACAGATTAACGCCAGCCAGCAGACGAGTGCGAAAATGTTTTCGACGAATTTCTACAAAATGAAGAATTTCGCCAATCCGAATATTTTTTTTAGACGCAACCCAAAGATCGCCACGGAGCCTAAAGAAGCCGTCAAAGCAATGCCTACAACTGATGTCGCCAAGGATAATGTATTAACGGTGTCGAAATTGGAGAAATTAGAGAAGGAGAATGAGATTCAAATGGTGAAATTAGAGAAGGAAATTAAAGTTGAGAAATTAGAGAAGGAAATTAAAGTGGAGAAATTAGAGAAAGTGCTTCAAGTGGAGAGTTCAGTTACGGCGGAGCCAGATCCTGTGCCATCCACTCTGAGCAAGGCCAAGAAGAGAAGGAACCGTTATATAAACAGGAAGATTAACAACATCAACAAGAATGTGGTTCCAGGTAGCTCCCCGTCCAGAGATTCCAGTGGGTCTAGTAGCAATCCAAAAAGTGCCAAGCTGAGGAAGATCGAGCCATCGCAGGAGCTGCAGAAGAATGAGCAGGATCAGCAAAAGCCACAGCAGCAGAAGGCACAACAGCAGAAGCAACAGCAGCAGCAAACGCAGCAGAAACCTCAACAACAGCAGCAGCAGCTGCAACAGCAACAGCAGAAACCTCAGCTGCAGAAGCCGCAGCAGGAGAACTCTCAGCAGCAGAACCCTCAGCAGCAACACCAAAAACAGCAGCTAAATCGAAGGCAGAAGGTAAAGCAGAAGCAACAGCAACAGAACCCGCAGCAGGAAATGGAGCAGAAGCAGCAGCAGAACCCGCAGCAGCAGCTTCAAAAACCTCTACAGCAACAGCAACAGAAACCCATGCAGCAGAAACAGCTGCAACAGCAGCAGCAGAAACCTCAGCAACAGAAACCTCAGCAACAAAAGCCGCAGCAGCTGCAACAGCAGCAGCAGAAACCTCAGCAACAGCAGCACCTGAAACAGCAGCAAAAACCGAAGCAACAAAAGAAGCCGCTGCAGCCTGAGACAATCGAGAAGGCGCCGGAGAGCATAAACAAGTACGAGATGAAATTTTCTGAAGTGGTAAAGGGGCAAGAAAAGACCACTTCCGAAATGAATATGATCCAGGTGAAGACAACTTCCGAAATGAATAAGATCCAGGTGAAGACAACTCTTTCAAGCAATAAGAACCAGGCAAAGAACCCGGAAAACAAAGGTCTTGATAATCAGAAGAATCAGAAAGTAAAACATACTGAAAGCCTAAAAAACCAGGAGAAGACATTTTCCGAAGTCGTAAAGGCGATCACTGAGAAGCAAAAGAAACGGGATAATAAAGATATCGACAGAATTAATCTGGATAAGGCACAAGAAGACGAAATACAGAAGAGCCAGGAGATGGTACTGCAAACCGAAGACTTAAAGGTGAACCAGGAGAAGGTACAATCCGAAAGCCTAAAGAGCCAGGAGAAGACACAACAATCCGAAGGTTTAAAGACCCAGGAGATGGTACCACAACCCGAGAGCCTGGAGACCCAGGAGATGCAACAACAACCCGATAGCCTGAAGACCCAGGAGAAGCAACAACAACCCGAGAGCCAGAAGTTGAACCAGGAGAAGTTACCACAACCCGAAAGCTTAACGACCCTGAAGAAGCCAGAACAACCCGAAAGCCTGAATGTGAATCAGGACGAGACCATTCCCGATACAATGTCATCACAGATCCCCGCTCCTTCCCAGCCCGACAAGTCACCCCATGAACCCAAAGAAACCTCTTCCCAAGAACTCGATCTCCTTAAACCAAAGCAGGGCGACATGGAGACCGAAAGCGAGCCGAGTCTCAATGAATCCAACGAGTCAAACGACGACCCAAAAGTGCCCCATCATCCACTAAACAGCCTGTGGACCCTATGGTACCTAGAGAGCGATCGCACCAAGTCCTGGGAGGATTTGCAGAACAAGGTGGCCAGCTTTGATACCGTGGAGAATTTCTGGAGCCTCTGGTCGCACATCAAGCCACCATCAGAGCTAAAGACCGGCAGTGATTATAGCATTTTCAAGCGTGGCATTCGTCCCATGTGGGAGGATGAGGCCAATAAGAATGGCGGCCGGTGGGTCATCTCCATTAACAAGAACAACAAGCATGATTTGGACAACTTTTGGCTGGACACAATGCTCTGCCTGATCGGTGAGACCTCGGACTATGCCGATGACATTTGCGGTGCTGTGGTCAACATACGTTCCAAGTCCAACAAGATATCCATTTGGACATCGGATGGCAAGAACGAGACAGCCACCTGGGAAATTGGTCAAATGCTGCGCGACTGTATGCGTCTCTCCACTGACTACACCCTGTCCTATTTTCTTCACATAGACACCATGGCCAAGCAGGGCTCCATTGTGAAGGCTGTGTATACGCTGTAGGCGTGGCTATAATACAACAACATTACATATATAGCACTCGAACTCTACTACTACTCCCAAAAGCAGATCCTTGTATATATTATAGACTTTCGGTATTTTTACACACCCGCACTCGTTCTCGCACACAGGCAAAAGAACACACACAAAAAAACACACAAACAAACACAGTTAGTCGAACATCGAGTCTGGAAGCATACTACACATATTCGACAATCATATTAGACCACGATCCCAAAAACGAGGGAATCAATCAAGCATCCAAAATCCCGAGTCAAGCCGCCTTACTTTCATATAAATTTTAACGTTGTTCCTGGGAACCCAAAGAATATATATATATTCAAATGTTTGCTAAGCTATTCGAAAATAATGGGATTTTCTTTTTATTTTATTTGGGTTTTTATTGGGAATTGTAATGGGAATTATTTGGGACTTTTTTTTGGGCATTTTTTCAATATTTTTAATAAGTTATTTAATAATACATTTTTTAATAATAAATAATAAGTTAATTAATGGGTTTTTATTGGGTTAAATCAATTATAATGGGAATTATTTGGGATTTTTTATTTTGGGAAAGGCTTTTAATATATTTAATAAGTTATTTAATAAGAGGGTATTTTATATTAAGGTATTTAATAATTAATAATAAGTATATGAATTTCAGGGTCTTATTTTTTTTAATTGGGTTTTTATTGGGAATTGTAAAGGGAATTATTTGGGATTTTTTTTTCGGGAAGTTTTGGAACAAAAAAATTAAATGTATTATAATATTTGATTATATAGTAAATCTTTAAAGTGTTGGAAATACTTTTCAACAAGTTGTGTAATGTCGGGGTCTTATTTTCTAAATTTTTCCAGCCACTCCTTTTGGTGTCAAATCTAGTTTAGGAGGACCCAGGGAAGACCCTTTTTCTTTCCCATTTTCCAATGACTGTCATTCCTCCTTGTCCTGGCCTTCTCTCTCTGCTTCAGAAGCATCTTTCTGTGGTTTTTTTCGGGGGGTTAACAGGATGGACTTTGGACAGGGTACAAGGACAACAGACTTGGGACGCTGAACATTGGATGTCGGAGCTTTGGACTTATTTGGCGTTTGCCATTGCAAAACTTGGCCGTGTTCAATTGTTTGATTTATTGACGTTTATTGGCAGTTGGCATTTTATTGTGACTATTTTTGGGAAAAAAAAAAGCTGAAGTTGAAGCTGCCCCCCCACTTTACTTCCATTCGATTGGTTTTTTATGTGCTTAATGTGTGTCCAAAGCCAACCAGCTGGCTGCCCCCAGAGGCAACTTACCTATTTGTGTAACATAATTTCACCCTGAAAAAAAAAAGGAAACTCTTCTGTGTTGACCCCGCTATAAGGTCAAGGCCCAGATGGTCCTTGGTCCTTGGTTCTTGCTCTCCTCGTCGACATATTTTCCGCCTCTGATTTATGGCCCTCAATTTCAGGCAATATTTGGGGAGAGTCTACCATTGATTAAACACTTTAACCATTTTTATGGCCACCGCTAGTTGTTCTGCTGGACTCATTAGTTGGAGAAATATAGCTGCTGCCAGGTGGGTAGAGAGAGTCGAGCAGCTAAAGGTGGCTTTGTGTGGATGAGCTCGATGTTTAACAATGGAATTGGCAATAAAACGAAACGAAAAAAAAATCTGTAAATATGCAGAGTAGTGAAAAAGGGAGGTAGGGGAAGAACATTTCACATTTCACGTATAACAATTGCAAAAAAAAAAAAAAAAAAAAAATGTGCAAAAAAAGAAAAGACTACTCCCCAAACGACAGACATGTTGTGTGGAAAAGAAGGAGAGAGAAAACTGCATGAAATAAGCCGACTTTGGGTTATCCTTCAATAGAAAGAAAGCCTTAAAAATTATAAAACAAGTTAATATATTTTGTTAATAAAACCAAGAGTAAGTTATTTAATTTTATAAATTTTAATATTATTTTATTTAACTAAAAAATATATTGATATATTTATTTAAAGCCTTTGCAGGTTGATTTTAGTCACTTGATTTAGCTTATAATCTCCGATTATTCAATTTTATAAATATTAATATTATTTTATTAAAAAAATTATTTTAAAAAATGTTATATAATTTTTTTTAACCATTTAGACATATGTATATATTTATTTTAGATATTTATTTATTTGTTTATATTTATTTATATATTTATTTCATTTATTTATATATGTTATTTCATTTATTTATATATTTTATTTTATTTATTTTTATATTTTATTTATTTTTATATTTTATTATTATTTTTATATTTTATTATTATTTTTTTAATATTTATTTCAGTTTTTTTAATATATTTTTTTTTTTTTTTATTTTATATATTTATGTTTTATATTTATTTATAGCCTTTGCAGTTAATTTGATCTTTTTTACTTAGCTCATCGACCCTCTCCGATCCTGGACCCCCCAAAAAAAAAAAACCTAAAAAAATGTAGAAAAGCAAATTTACCTTTAAGCTGCCAACTACCCCCCAGACAGGGTTGAGACTTGGGCTGATTCGAGAGGGGGAGGGGTTTTTTGGGGCGCCCCACAGGTGGCATTTGTGTTGTAAAGCGTCGATTTACATGCGTGTTGTATGCACAGGGATACACACAGGCTACCTCCGGTGGCTGACGAATTTCAATTTATTTACTTTTATTTGCGTATGCAAAATAGTCTGCGGCTGCGGCTTGACTTTGGGCTTGGAGAAGCCAGAAAAATCCAGGAGATACAAAAGGGATCTCTGCCAAAAAGGAGCTGCTTGTTTTCAAAGCCTTTAACTTGTTGGCTAACTTCGAAAAGCTTTAAGATAAAACATAAAATATAAATTAAATTTTTATTTAAAATCAAAAATATATATATTTTTCCAAGCTTAGTTATCTCTTTTTTTATATATAAATAAAGTCAAAATAATATATATATATTTTCTAAAACAATTAACTTGTGTAAACTTAGCTAACCCCACAGTTCAATCGATTTTCTGAACCCCACATTAGCTTCTTTTTCCCCGTAATTGCTTCTGCATAAATATCCTGGACTAAAAAGATGTCAAAACCCTGCCTTAGCCAAGGACAACGACTACGTCTAGAGTGCCTATACCCAATCCATAATCCATAAACTATAAAGACAAGGGGGGATCGAGGGGGGATGTGTCCTCCCGTTTACCCAGCAGCTGTCAATTGCCGTTAGGACAAGGCAGGACATTGGACATGGGACATAGACGAGTATGTTCCGGATACGGACCAAAGCCGAGTGCCATGTCAAGGGGAAATACCCAAACTCCTGCCCCGAATTGGGGCTAATTATATGGCTACGACCAGGACTACGGCTACGGCTAATGCCCCAGCCCGGACTCTATGCCTGTGTCCTCGTACTGGCCTGGGTCCTGAATAAGTCATGTCGTCGGTGTGATTACCTTTGGTCGGTCTGGGGGATCGGATCGGATGGGTTCAATGGCCAGTGGCTCGCACGATATGTCAATCTGGGAGGCAGAGCCTCCTCCTCCTCTTGGTGTGTGTGTGTGTATGTTTGCCAGTTGCCAAATTGTTGCAACAAATTCGTAGCTGCATTAATTAAATGCGGCCCCAGCTAGGCCAGTCACAGGCACCGGACGAGGCACACGGGTGCCATTGGATATGCAAATGCCAAAGAGAGAGAGAGGGGGGAAGAGTGCATATTGGATTATGTTCCAAGGCACATCATTAGTGTGTTTGCCACACACAGAAATCCACACAGAAATCTTCTCCAGCCGAAAGCCAAACAAATGTCATTTTGTATCACAAAAATATGCCAGCTATGTGATCTGCATTCAGCAATACGAATTTCTGCTTTATATCTGTTTTAAAAATATGAAATCAGCACTTCGGGGTATATTTAGGCTTAATAATGATTAAAGAAAAACTATAATTAGAGGCTAAGCCTAAAGTAAATTTTTTTTTATTAAATTTTAAGAATGTTTTATGAAGAAATATATATGTTTGAATTTTGAAAATTGAAAATTTGTTTTAATATTTTATTAGAAAATGTTAAATAATATACTTTAATATTTGCCACTTTTTATAATATTTACCTCGAACTCTGCTGACCCAAGTCCTCATTCAGTTAAGTCAATCACTCCTTTAGCTTTGGCCAGAAACTTCATTAAGTTCAAATTGAATCGATTGTTTAGCTGTGATCAAGATAACTGAAAACTAAGCCGACAGACAAGTCCCGGTAGACAGTCTTCTCCTCATCCTTAGGGTTCCCTGGAGTCCACAGAGTGCAAGTGCACTTGGCTGGCAAATGTTGACATTTCTTCTTGGGGATTTTCGTGGAGCAAGGAGCAGGAACAAGAAGCATTTGTGCGCTTGGATTTTGTTTTTATTATGATTATTTTAACTGCTAAGACAAACACACACACACACACACACACATAAAATGCAATTTTCCGAGGGGGGTGGAAAGCGCCCAGCTTCAGTCCCAGCTTCAGCCAAAGCCAGACAAAGTGAAATGCAATAAAACAAAGGCCAGCAAGGACAAGAAGGAGGCGAAGAGCCAGAAGAGAGCTCCAGCAACTGTCTTGTCTTGCCTTGTCTTTGCCGCTCGACTGCGCCTGCAGCTGTGACCCCCCTGGAAAAACCCACTGCTGCACTTTACCCATTTTACCCAGGATTTAACCAACACCCCGCCCTGCTCCTGGTCCTGGTCCTGATCCTGTGGCCCCCTGGGAAAAGCGCAACGCATTTACAGCGCAATGATTCAAATTGTCGCCTCGGATTATGGATTTATTACGCGTCTCGCTCCTCGTAAGCTGCCAGCGAGCTGCAATTGTGCATGCTGCCTGCAATTACTATCAGTTTTCAGTTTTCAGTTGCCAGTTGCCAGTACCCAGTACCCAGTGTACCCGGTTTCCAGTTACCAGTTTCCCATAGCCCATAGCTTCTCCTAACCCATGAGTCCTCCCTCACATCCCTCACATTTCTCTCATCCTCCCATCCGGTATCCTTAGAGCGAACGGGCCCCTCTGTCTCTTTGTAGAAAATGTGCCAGTAATTCGCGTTGACAATTTTTCGGGTTTACTCTGCTTTTCTTTGTTGTTTTTCAAGCTTTAACATTTTGGCATAACTTTTCAGTTGTTTTTATATATATTTATGTGTTCCGGGTTAAAGTTGACTTGACTTTTTGATACTGGTTAGGGATAAAGTGGATATGTTTCCTGGGTTAAATTATGTTTTATTTACACAAATGTATAGGGATTTATGGGTCTGGAAACTAGGAGAAGCTTTACAAAATAAGGTAAAGATATTTAAAGCTTTGTTAATTTTAAAATTTATTTAAAATTAAATTAAATTTAATTACATTTTATTTTTAACATTTATTAGGTGACTATAAGT